GAATTTAATATTCTGGCCATACTTATATATATTAAGTAATTATATCTACCTCTTGCTTTCTCTCCTATTAATATTACTACTTCCCCCCCAACTTCAGCCCCTATGTTATACAGCCCTTAACTGTTCCATAATATTTAAGCCCTTAAGTACTTTACTTATTAATTTTCAAACTGTAATAAAAGCTATATATAATACCCTTAAAGTAATCCTAAAGCGCTATATTAATAGAAAATAAACTATTTATTTTAAGCTATAAATATAATATAATAATATAATATTTATAAAATATATTATAATTTTATAATAATATTAACATTATTTATAAGTATTATTAAGTATAATTTTTAATTATAAAAAGAAATTAATAATTATTAAATAATAATATTATATCTTATAGGAAATATTAAATACTCTTTTAATTTAATAAGATATATAAATTAAAATTTATATAATCCTTTAACTTTAATAAAAAGCTGGGTTAATATTTAATAATACTAATAAGGATTAAAAGAAATAAAGAGGGTATATTATTTATAGGTTATAATATAAGGTTTCCTAAATTAACCTTAAGTTCCTAAGTAGTAATTTCCTAACGGTAAAGATTAATTAAGAGTTTTAAAAAGTTTATAATATAATTAATTTTAATACCCTATAGTTATTTAGATTTAATTCCTATAAAAACTATAAAGAAGCTATATATAGCAATTAAGTTATATACTTTATATTAAGGTATTATATAATATTATTTAATAGCTTTAAAATAAGGGATATACATTTAAGGAGCAGCTTATATACCACTGCTTAAAAAAGTATAAAAGATTTAACATTGTTATAAGCTATATAGCTTAAGTTAATATTTTTAAATAGGTTGCGGTAATGGGCTCCAAAAGCTTATAAACAGTAATATTTATTATAGGTAATTAATACTTAAAGCTTACAATTTATTAAATAACACCTTTAATTAAAATAAGTTTAAAGATTTTATAGTAATATATTAAATAACTAATTAAGCTACTTAAAACTTAAAGAAGCTTTTAAAAAATAATAAAACTATAGTGGAATACTAAAAAGGAATATATAAAATCTAAATAAAAAATAAGGGTTAAATATACTATTAGCTTTATTATAATATTTTAATATAAATATTATAGCTTTTATATAAAAATGGTTAAATTTTAATATAATAATTATAAAGGTGTTTTTAATTATTTAAATATTAATTAATGTTTTAAATAATATAGCCTCTTATATAAAACAGCTAAATATAAAAGAAATAAATTAAACTAATATATATTTCATTTTATTTAATTATTAATAATTATTAACTTCTTTATAATACTTTTATTAAAAATATTATAATCCATTTTATTAACTTATATTTAACTATTATATAAAAATAGCTAGGTTTTAATATAATAATTAATTAAATATTAATTAATGTTTTAAATAATATAACCTTTTATATTAAATAATTAAATATAAAAGTAAAAGATAAATTAAATTAATATATATTTATTTTATTTAATTGTTAACTTTTTTATAATACTTTTAATTATATCCAATTATATAAATAGTATTTAATAAAGAAAGAAATAATTAATATATTATTATATATTAAAGAAAGATTATTTTATTATAAAAACCTTAATTCCTACTTTATTTAATTCATTTAACCGTTACCTTATTATCATTTACCAATTATAATACATTAATATACCTTAGTTCCTACTTCATTTAATTTATTTAACCGTTACCTTATTATTACTTACCAGTTTTAATATATTAATATACTTTAATTCCTATTTTATTTAACTCATTTAACCGTTGCTTTATTATTATAAACTAGTTATAATATATTAATAATAGCCCTTTTAATTAATAGATCTTTCATTACTTAAGTAATATATCCCTGAATAATATACCTTTTATTTATAAAGCTTAAACCTATTTTAATAATATCCATTTCCTTTATTTTCTTTATCTCCTTTATCTTTATTTATTTATATATATTTACCCTATATTAATTTTAATTATATTGATATAAGTTCTTTATTATCTTTATCTACTTATATATATTTACCTTATACCAGTTTTAACTATAATATATAGATTAGGTCTATTGTTAAAAGATTGGTAACAAATAGGCTAGCTATTAAAGGTAAACTATAACAGCCTGCCGCAACTATTTATACCTAGAGCGGCTATAATGTTGACTACTATGATACTAACTACCACGATATAGACTATGACAAGGTGGATTATGATATAACCCCCGACCTAGAAGATTTGGATTATAATACCGATTATAGTTATTGTAATGATTTAGGGGCTTTAGACTTAAGCTCCAAGAACGAGTCTTTTCCTGTTGCCCCTGCTACCCCTACTACTAAAGAAAAGCTGGACGACGTGGACAATATTATCAACACCTATATAAAAAAGAAGCCGATCCAAAAGAAGGGTAACCGGACCCAAGATAACTAAGGCTATATATGAGTAGCAGAGAGAAAGGGACTATTAAACCTGCTATATATAACTTGGGTGCCTAATAGGGTTATTAAAGCTCTTTTACTTAAGGTAGTTAATAAAGAGCTATCTTTAAAATATTAAAAGAACCTTAAGGAACTTAGCTTATTATTTTATATTAAAAAGGAAGCATTTAAATAATATATTAAAGCAATATTGGAATATCTTTTAACCTTTTTTAATTAAGTTAAAAATTAAAATTAGTTAATAGCTTTTTATAATTAAATAAAGCTTAAGCTATAGTTTAACTTTAATCTTTTTTCCCTTTCCTTTAAGGTAGGGTATAATTATATAAACCTCTTCCTTAATAATAATAGTAATTATATATTAATAAACTATATAACGAATAATCTATTTTTAAGTTTTTTTTATATAAACTTTATAAAACGATATATAGCTTTAATTATTTTTCCTTTATTAAGGTAATAATTATATATATATTATAATTAATATAACTTTAAAGCTAAGGAACTTAAATTAAGGTTTCTTTTTTATACTTTAATAAATTATATAATTATTTATATTTTATTTAATATTAATATTCCTAATTATATAAAGTAACTTAATAGGTTATAATAGATTATTAATAATAAGAACGAATAGTTTTAACAACTTTTTAATATATTATAAATTAATATTTAGTTAAGCTTTATTAAAAAGTGCTTATTAAAATAGAAGTTATAATTATTAAATAAATTCCTTAATTAAATATTCTTATCTTTATAATATATTATAAAGGAATATTGTTAATTTAATCCTTAGCTTTATAATAATTTATATAACGTTTTATTTTAAATCGTTTAAAACTATAACATTAATTAAATTAAGTTTAATAAATATTTAACAATTCTATTAATTAATAATTATAAAAAGAGGGTTTTTTATTTATTTTATATATAAAGTATCCTTTTTATTAAATTAAAATTTTAGGATTATAATATTACTTTTTTTTAAGTAATAAATTAAATCTAAATATTATAAAAATATAATTAAAATATAGTAATATTAAATATTAATAAAGAAAATTTAACGCTTTAATAGCTTTTATATAAGATTATATATTAATAATATTTTAAAGTATAATAATTAAAGATTTAAAACCTATAATTAGGTTTAAAAGAACTTTAATTTAAAGTTAGCCTTAATATAATAGGTTTCCCTTTAATTCCCTTTTTAAATCACTTAATAATAATAACTATAATAAAATACCCTTAATATAGTATTATAATAGAAATAGAATATTAAAGCGCCCTTAATAATTAAAACTTTTATTATATTTTTAGCTAGAAGTTAAAGTATTTAACTATATAGTTTATTATAGCAATAATTAATTACGGGCAAAACATGTACGATTTTAACATTATACTAAACGTAAGTACGGCTATCCAATCAATCCTATAGGATAGTGCACTTGCCGCCCCCTATGATATAATAGGTAATAAGATCTAAAGTATTAAATTACCGTTAAAAAAGGTAAGATACCCGCTATAACAGTTTATGTATAGCGCTTTACTATTAGTTAAGCTATAGATTAAAAGTAAACTATATAATTTTTTATGCCTAGTTTACTACATGCCTTATACATTAATAAGCTTATATATATATTATATATATAATAACTACCTATTAGGTATAACGTTTAACTATAAGGTATACTCGGAAAAGTTTCTTATAATTAAAACCTATTACTTTTATAAAGAGTATAAACACCTTAAGGATATTAAAGCTTATAATTATATTATTAAAAATTATTAGGATAAGCTTTTATATCCTTATAAAAATTATAATATATAAATATTCTTTTTATAAAATAAATATTTTTAAAGGTATATATAAGCTATATATAATAAAAAAAAACTATTTACCTATAATAAATATTTAAAATCCTTTATATAAAATATATATCTTTAAAGGTATATATAAGCTATATATAATAAAAAAAAACCATTTACTTATAATAAATGTTTAAAATCCTTTATATAAAATAAAAATCTTTAAAGGTATATATAAGCTATATATAATAAGAAAAAACTATTTATCTATAATAGATATCCAAAATCCTTTATATAAAATAAATATCTTTAAAGGTATATATAAGCTATATATAATAAAAAAAAACCATTTGCTTATAATAGATGTTTAAAATCCTTTATATAAAATATATATCTTTAAAGGTATATATAAACTATATATAATAAAAAAAAACCATTTACTTATAACAAATGTCCAAAATCCTTTATATAAAATGCATATCTTTAAAGGCATATATAAGCATTATACCTTAAAGACGAACTAGCAAACCCAGCTAAGCGGCGTAAGTTAAACCCGGATATAACGCCAAAATCGCATATAGAATAGGAGTTAGATTCAGGTTCAGAATCTTTGCTTCATAAAGCAATTGTACAGGCGGACGTTAGTTAGTTAGGTAGTATATTGCTTTATATTAAATGAGATATATTACTCCCGAAACAAACTCCCGAAACATGTCTTTAGAGTTGAGATACTTCCGAAAATGGAAAATCATGACTCCAGCGGTTAAGGTGGTATATTGATGGACGCCCTGTTATGAAGAACTTGATGCCTCCCGGAACTAGGCGTATCGAAGACTGGACCGTTTTGCTTAACATAGCCATGGGTGGCAATGTCTGTCAAGGGAAGAACCCAAGGGACGGCGCATACGATATGGTCGTGCACGATCTACATATGAGCGAGGCACCAGATGGCGGGTGGCCAAGGTTTGATAGTGACTGGCAGCATTGTCCTGATGGTGCCGTGATGTGATATTTCTAACTTTCAAGCGAAATTCACAGGATTTTAGTATTGGGAGATCACCGAATCATCATTACTGTCTATGTCACTGGTATTATAACTGAACTACGGTCAGCGCTTAGACACATATACTTGAGAGCTCGTAAACAAACCTGCTCCGAATGATGCGATCAAGTCAGGTAGTTCTGCGGCCACCAACAATGCAGGATTGTGGCACCTATCGACTCTTCCGTTGCTCGGAGTGATCTCAGCTCCGGTAAAGACTTAAGGCATACCCAACCATACAAGGGTGAACATATTACTACGGTATTTTCATGTCCACCATTAAGCGCCACTTACACAGTGGTGTAAAGCAATCAGTTATCTCATCAAGCGAAAACGCGACAACGCGAACCGAATTTCCTGCTCGATATTGTTTATAAGACATAGTGTCATGTCCTGCTTGAACCTATCTTGAGTTTCTCTAGTTCGTTTTCACAAGCCTACGTGAGGTCCGGCTTCGGCCCACCACGTTTGCTGTATACGATGGCGGGACGGCAGAATGCTCATTTACGAAGAAAACAATGTATGATGCGCCGCTTTTATAGTGCGAGACGGTGCAACTCGTGACAATACGCACTTTTCAGCACTCCTAAGTCCGCCAGTAGCGGGCAAAGTCCAGATTTGGTTTGGAGATGATTGAAAATTCATGGCTTGCTCCGCTGCACAATTCAGATCGGAATTTCTAACAAGCGAATATCTATGCAATACGCTGACCGTGAGTATATATATGGGAAGCTAAAGAATTATAGGATAAATCTCTTGGACCTGACCATGCTATCCTAGCGCATTTCGGAAGACTTTGGAGCACCTGCTCAACCCCCGGACAGAATTTTTGCCAATTCGTAGTAACTAGAAGAGTATAGGCAATTATATCTCCTCACTCTAAGTAACGATTCGATTCTTAGAGTAGACTACTAGAACTAGACCAGATATCGAGCCCGCAAAACGTTCAAAATGACCAGATCTCAGTTGATCGCTGTGAATGGGTGAGCAAGGCCTTAGGACAACCGGACTGGAATGAAATGAAACAAGGCATTGGATGGAGTTTGAGCTACGTACATCAGACTTGAACGCATTAGAGGCGATGGTAAGCGACATCGGAAGCTGATTTTCGTGTATCACGATTGAAAACTGGTTGGATTGCCTTAATAATTTCGAGGTAACCATCTAGTCCGTGGCATCAATGACCAGTTGAGGTTTTAACTGACATAGTCAGGGTGGTCATCAAGATGTCTCACATTGGGTTAAAACTTGCTACTAGTCAGATCGTCATTCATAGCGGGAATAGATCAATGCAGCAATCATGCCAACTCCAAATTGAAGAAGGCTCTGCTCTCATTGCTTCTCCTCCCAATGGTTGGTCTAATATATAAACTGAGCAAGGTAGACTTGAACTACGCGGGCGCAGATAAAGTAAATTTACCTACTGCTTCACGTTCACTCACTTTAATTGTTTCTATACAGGCCATTAGCTATACCTTCTTCTTCATTCCTTAGAGCGCAGCTCTGGGCTTAGGACAGCTGTGTAGCTAATGCTAGTATTCAACATACTGAATCGACCTAAGTTTCCAAAAGAGGCAATATTTCATCACTTGAATACTGCGATATCGGACCTTCGTTCAACACTTCGTCCTGCTTCCCACTTGACACTGTTATGGTCTCTCGTCGTATTTCAAGTATAAATAATTAGAAGCCGCATCACAAGTGCTCAGTCCGACTGTTAGAACCAAGTAGCTTTCTGTTGTGAACGCTTTGACTCATATTACGCCCACTCTTGTCACCTATTTGAATACACGATGCCAGAACAGTCAGTATTATTCTGTCTCTGGTTACCCTTGAGAAGAATTAAATAACGCTTCGCTGCTAGTAGCTTTGGCATTCTCTTGGGCCTGATTACTAGGTAATTTTCTGTCATTGAAAATGCACGTTCTGACATCTGAATCCTTATAGAGCTGTTTATACTCATGGCCATCATGCCTCGGTTGTGAATTCTCACGCACGTCGGACCGCGGAGAACTCAGCAGCATTCCTCATTCCACATATAAAACCACACTACCGAATACTCGATGTCGGGTGCGGTCCTGGCTCCATCACTGTCGATTGTGAGTCTCAATGTTATTACCTCCCGCCTGCTTTGGTCGTGCTTCGATATATATTTGCTCTTGTTCAAATTAGGGTCGAGGCGGGGAAGCTTTTCACACAAAAAAGCTCTTATTAATCATTCCCAGCTTGTGGTGGCTAACCTAATGCCTTATAGTAGCAAAGCTTGTACCACAAGGCTCAGTGATCGGAATCGATGCTGTAGAAGACGTGTTATCACAGGCAAAAGACCTAGCTCGGGCACGTGGCGTAGAGGGAAACTTAACTTTCCGGCAACATGACGCCAATGAATTGCCCTTTGCCAGTGGCGAGTTCGATATCGTCTTCTGTCATCAGGTCTTACATCATGTGCACAATCCCGTCGCAATTTTGAAAGAGATGGCTCGTGTCACGCGAAAAGGCGGCATAGTCGCAGCGCGCGAAGTCGACTACGGTGCACTGTCCTGGTATCCTGAGCTTCCGGGGATTCAAAAATGGGAAGACACTCATATGGCAGTGATGAACTCTAACGGTGCCCATCCGAAAGCCGGTAGATACGTGAAAGCCTGGGCTAGGGAGGCTGGTTTCAGGTCCGAGGATATCACATTCACATGGGACACGTGGAATTATCAAGACGACGAGGCTGTTATCTGGGGGAAGTCTTGGTCGGATCGTGCCCTACATTCGTCGTATGCGACGACAGCTCTCAGCAAGGGTATCTCAACACAGGTCAGTACACCGAAGTCTTTACACTATCTCTTAACTTGTGTCGTGAACGAAGATTACCTAATTTACATATTTTCGTCTCCGTCACTACCGCGGGTTGCTGAAACTCTTGGTAACGGTTACTATCGATGGACGAATGCTAAACTAAGATTGTTTAATAGGAGGATTTAGATCATGTATCAGATACCTGGCGGAAGTGGGGAGAAGTCGATGGGGCATTCATCATTATACCGAACGGGGAGATATTGTGTCGCGCATGAGCGCGCTCACATGAAATAGTGTCCCGTGCCACTAAGCTAACAAGAAGGGGTCAAAGGTTTTCGCGAAAACCTCTTGAAACTCACGTAGGCCTCAGCGGAAACGAGCTTCTTACGTTGTCCTTATCAATCAAGTGTTAAACACAGCCCCTCAAATACACTTTTACACATCTGAAAATAAAATTGAAATAATGCAATGCATTTGTGTTTCTATATACGCCACCACGATAATCTAATATCGTATGAGAGTTGTACGCACCGAATGCGCCAAACAGAAGACTTCATGATACATTTCTCCCCAAGACGGTAGACTAGTCCTCTTCCAAGTGACAATATTTAGATAGGTAACTCTACTACCAAATCTTTCTTATGAATCGTTGGTTGACCATCTCAGTCAAAAATGAAAATTCGACGGGGCTTGAGAGAATTGAATTGTTATTTCATACGCTGAGCCTTTCGACTTGTTGCTTTTATCCGGTGATCTTGCGGGGGCGGGTATTGTTATGCGAGAGTTGGATGATCCGCCAAGCCCCAAGTTAGGAAGAGCGGTTTCGGTCAAGTAGTAGTGACAAGCGAACAGCGTTACCATTGAAAGAAACTAGTGGGACGCGACAGCAAAAGATTTTGATGTTGTTTTATGCATACAACACGATAGCGAGCCGCGTATTTAAGGAAAATAGGGCAGAGATTCCGGGTTATTGGAGTATAAACGCGGAGCGGAGGATGTTGTAGAGATGCAATCATATACGACGGAAGCTTGAGCTCCGAGTCAATGCCCTTAAATAATGCGACTTCACTCTCGTTGCTAAAATTGCATTATCATGTTAAATACACTGGTTGTACTCACAAGAAAGACCCTGTAAAGATGTTTCCCAAAACTGTTGCTTTAGCTCTAGCCCTAGTCCCCTTCTCCCTGGGCCAAGTCTCCTCGGACTTTGAGAGCGGATGGGATTCCACGGCGTGGCCGACCTACGCGCTCGACTGTAGCCAGGGAGGCAAAGTCTCGCTCGACAGTACGACAGCTCACAGCGGCAAGAACAGTATCCGTGTTGATGGGGCAGGCGGCTACTGCGGGCATATTTTCTTTGGTACGACGAAAGTACCTAGTGGCGACGTCTATGTCAGAACATACCTGTATGTACCGAAAACGAACAAACAGAAAAAGAAGGCCGAGAAAACTCGATCAGGCTGTTGATAGTTGACACTGATACTAATTTCCTTCTAGAAAAGCCTCTAGGGCTCTCACCGACTCCCACGTCAGCTTCATCACGATGCCCGACTCAGCTCAAGGAAGCAAGAAACATCTTCGCATCGGCGGGCAGAGCAGGATTCTCATGTATAACCGTGAATCAGACGATGCCACCTTACCCGACCTATCGCCACAAGGTATCGCTACTTCCACTGCTTTGCCGACTGGCTCCTGGCAGTGCTTCGAGTATCATTTGGGGACTGATGGGTCTGTCGAGACATGGCTGAACAACAGCACGGTTGCTGGTATTACTGTAACGAAAGGCACGACCAACCCCAACGCCGCTCAATGGACAAGAAGTCGTGTCGTCCCGAAGATAACGGCAGTTTATTTTGGCTGGGAGTCCTACGGTGGAGATGCTAATACCTTCTGGTATGATGATATCGTAGTGAGCTCTAGTCGCATTGGATGCTAGTCAGATCCTAGATCGTGTGTATACCTACCAGCATTGTATGCAAGGAGGAGTCGGGGGAGAATGTGACAACATATCTATGAATTGAGCTGAACTGGAAATTGTAGTTTCGCAACTGGGATGTCAGACCTTCAACAACATTCGTTGCCAATTCGATCGGATTGACTCAAGACAATATGTGTTTAGATCTAGCTACAAGAGAACCCAATCCTAGTCTCACTTCGCGCTGCTCAGTAGGCTGTATTTTTCTACTTGAAACTATTTACATTGCCATTCTGAATGAGCTAGAGCCCTCTCTCTGTCTAAGTTAAGCATCACAGTGAGTGATTTACGGGGTTGCAGATCTTAGGCACATCTTGCAGACCATACAAAGCATGCATGTGTCTACAAGCTGAGCCCATCTTGGCTGCTCGTAAGGCACCATTGAGGCAGCTGAGAGAGTACAATAAGGAGCTTACGGCTGGATTATTTTGTTCAAGTCCTTGTGGTTTGCCTCATGTAGAACCATGCGAACCTCCTGAACGGCTCGGAGCATCTAAGGTCTCTGCGGCGATCATTTAATCCAATGGGAGGATCTGGCCTTCGTCCTGAGATTCATGGGAAGTCTCGAGACGCTCCGCTCTCTTCAGCGTACCGAGGAGATTGGGATAGTCGCATGTGACCAAGACAGCCTACGTTACGCAAACACTATTATCTCTACGAGACGGTTTACGTTAAGAGGCCTTTCATCTAGCCTAGCCTTTTCGCTTTCCAATCTCTGCAGTCTGAAGTGCAAGTATCCTCGTGATAAGGTTTTGGACGTCTAGGATTGGTCCGCGCCGCTGACCATCCTCTTATATATCCAAATTACGACAAAACTGAGATCGAAGTCTAGAAGGATGTTGCAAAGTATATTTTCATGGTCGAAGATATTTCCAGAACACTTTTCGCCCTTCCGTTCGCAGGGATAGGCTATTGCGAGCGTTTACAAAATCTGCTACCTTGGGTGCTAGATTGGGCACTGAACATGTGTGCAAGACGTGGCGAGAGGGCGAATGGGAACTAGGTAGAGAATCTGCTGAGTGACAGCCAATCTACATTCTCATACCTCATTCAGCCGTGGAGTAACTTTGGTAACAGCATTGATGTGATGGAGTCAGATCAGTCTGACTTCAAGGCAACTGACCTTAGGCTTGGTTACTAGGCAGCTCTCGACACGGAAGTTGAGATTGATCTGGTTGGCGATGACATACTAAGTATTGGTGGCTTCGTGATTGACGAGATTCAAAGCCTCACCTCCATTTTCGACATTCTGTTCGATGAGAATATGAAAATTTCACATACTGTCATGACTCTTGCAATGCTAGGGTGGTTTGACGAAGCTGAGGCGCTGGTTACTCAAGTGCCATCTCCTTACTTCACAGGTCAAAGTACTCAAGAAGTCGTTTGGCGTACTATAATAGGGGATCGAGTGTAGGAGCAGAAGGTTTCCAGGTAGTGCGCCCAGCTCCTGAGGACTACGGCCAAGTCTATCAGAACTATGAAAGTACAGACAAGCTTGCTCATTATTGGGTTTGGAAATAGTGGGCGAATTGCGAGATATCCGGCAAGAAATATTTATGCAGGCTTGGTACCTGTAATCTCTCAATTCACCGAGGGCCTGCGGTTAAGCTTCGAGAGCAGGATGTGTGCTACGAGAAACGGCTATATCGGCCTGGCTCCTCCATTAGCTCGGGTAGGAGATGTCGTAAGCATATTCCACGGCGGAGATGCCCCATATCTCATAAGGCCAGAGACGAACCCAGTAGTTAGGGACGAGATAGGGGTCCTCCGCTGTCAGCTGGTTGGGGAATGCCATATGCATGGCATGATGGATGGAGAAATGCTACAACCACCTAGAGAGGACGCCGCTACGGTTCGATGTAGTATGAGCAGACGATGTAGCATTATAAACACGTTTCCTGGGTAAAGAGGATGAAAACAAGAAGAATGGATTTGATATCACATCATCCCTCGTCGTCGTCGTCGTTGTCGTACATACCTAGTACAGTTCTTAGCTGCCTGATAATAGGTACCTAGTACCTACTACTACCTATAGCGGGGTACCGGTAGTAGGTAGGGAGTGAGACACCTAAAGATACCTACCTACAGTACCTACCTAGGTAGGTAGGTAGGTATAGTAACAGGGCCCACTCCCCCGCAAATCAAGTACCCTTCCCCCCTCCCCCCCCTTCTCCTAGAGCATCCAATCTGCTAACCCTTTTCTCAACCTGGGTGTCTCGTGCATCACTGCATTGGCAGACCGAGCTGCCCTCTTTTTTACCAGCTCACACCTGACGCCAATCCCGTCACACGCCTCGGTGAAGTTCAGCTCGAGCAACAGCACTGCCGAAAAAAGGGGGGTCCCCTCCCACCAACAGATTGTTGCCGTTTGGTGTGTGCGTGCGTGTGTGCGTGTGTGCTTGTGTGCAGGCCAGTCACAGGCCCGGAAGGCGGAGGCCCACGATGGATGCGTCCGAGACCACAAAGCCTACTGCCGCTACTGTCCCGAATGAGAGAGCGAGCACTCACGAGCCACCCAGTGCCCCTAGGCCCCGCGTCGGTCAAGCCGCCGGTCCTACCATGCCCTCATCCGTACCGCCGCCGCTCGCTGCCAGACCTGGCCATGAGCTCCCCTTCGTCCAGCCATCCTCCTACCTGCGGCCTAGTTCTCGCAATCACCCTGTCCCTCCTGTCGCCGCTACTCCAATGAGTCCCATTGATGAAGAGCAGATGCAAGGTCTGGTGAGTCCAACGCCCGAATCCCTCCAAATGCGGGCCCACCCCTACTTGTGCCCACATGAGCCTTCGAGCCCGATGTTTCTTTAATTCTCCGTCCCTGTGCTCGTTGCCAGACTCACAGGCTGTTTCACCCACAGCCCGGATCATCGTGGTGACAAGAATCAGAGACACCAGTTGCCCTGCTGAGCCCCGAGGTGCATTAGCACGTAAGACTGACGGCTCACTCTTGGCGTTCTAGCAAGGCTTGCGTGACTTCCTTCGTGTCAGAACTAGCTATGATGTTCTACCACTCTCTTTTCGTCTCATTATCCTCGACAACGACCTACTCATCAAGAAGAGCCTGAACATCCTTATTCAGAATGGTATGGCCGCGACAGACTCCTCCCCTTACCACCCGGTGCTATCTATGTTCCGGCCATACTGATTGAATCGCGCGGTAGGCATCGTATCAGCGCCCCTTTGGGACTCCCAACGGTCGAAGTTTGCCGGCATCTTGACGGCTACAGATTACATCAACCTGATCCAATACTACTGCCAGTTTCCCGAGCATATTGACAATCTCGATAAGTTTCGTTTGAGTAGTCTTCGTGGTACGATCAGCGCAATGCGTGTATAATAGATACATCCACCGCAGGCTGTTGGCTGATCATTTTGCTCTTATAGACATTGAGAAAGCCATTGGCGTCCTTCCTATCGAAACCGTTTCCGTCCATCCGTCTAAACCACTATATGAGGCTATTAGTAGCATGCTTCAGACGCGAGCACGTCGTATACCCTTAGTCGATATCGATGCTGAAACGAAGAGAGAAACGGTCGTCAGTGTCATTACGCAATATCGTATTCTCAAGTTCATTGCCGTAAACACGGAACAGTATACATCGCTCTTGAAGAAGACGGTTCGTGAGATCAATTTGGGAACATATACAAATTTGCAGACGGGCAGCATGACACAATCAGTCCTGGAGATTATCAATACTATGGTCACTAACAATATTTCGGCTGTTCCTATTGTGGACAAGAACAACGTCGTTCTCAACGTCTTTGAAGCCATCGATGTGATACCAATTATCAAAACCGGGGTGGTCGAGGAGCTTCAGATAAACGTGGGCGAAGCATTATCCAAAAGAGGGGACGAATTCGGAGGCATTTTCACTTGCCAGGAAGAGGATCGCTTGGATTCGATATTCATAACATTACGCCAGTCTAGGGTACACAGACTGGTTGTAATTGATGACAACTGGCATTTGAAAGGGGTGATCTCTCTATCAGATATACTCAAATATGTTCTATTTTACGGCGAGAAATCCAGCTATTTCCCTTCTTTTTAACGATGCGACGATTCACTACAACCCCTGTTTTATCAGGAAGATGTTTGGGCGAATGCTTGGAATATTCATTACATTCCCTTAGGGGAGTCTGGTTTCGGAGGCTGGAATAGGGAGAGGCATTTCAATGGTGTACGGAGTTAACAAGATGGATGGAATCTCTGGATTTTCTATAGAAATTCTTGCCCTACTGTTGCAGCACGCCATCATGCAATTACTCGGACGCATCAGCTTATTCTCCTCACGCAAGACAGCTGGGGGGCAGGGGAAGTTCACGATGAAACTATTATAGTCTCGAAATTGGTAATCGAACGACAATCTCATGTCACCACCACACAGGATTTTATCGTTGTCAGAAGGGACAAATGATTTTAAAAAGCTAATGTCGCTGGCGTTTCGAGGTTTCGAATTCATCTGCACGTAAATGAGACACCAATGAAGTAGCCAGTTTTAGTAGCATCTTTCGTCCTCCCCTTACCCTCTCCAGGTTTTGATGCTTACTGAGTCATAATGTTATTCAATAGCGACCTGCTAAGCCGAGCTTTCATTGTAGGCAGCTACTACCTCCAGCAGACTGATTACGAACAAAACAAAGATGTGACGGTGCACAGGAGGAGTTCCTGCTTGGCTGGCCGAAAAGCCAGAAACCGCACTGGCCATTTTAAACCGGTCCATATCGTCATCTACCAGCCATCTCAGTATGCTCTTTATCGAATACATTTCCCCAAATCTTCTTTCAAATATACTATTGGTTCTCGAATTAGTACTACCTGGGGCTTGTGCCATTCAGTCGATTCAATGGCGCTTCATAATTATCACCGAGATCATGCTCTGAATGCCGCAAAGGGAAGACGAAAAGAGCCAGTGGTTGCGACGTGGTCATCTCTTACAAATGGCCCCATGGATTCTCCCAGCAAACCAACACGTAGAACTAGTTTATCGCAGTCAATATTTGCACAGTCCCAATCATCAAACAGCCCTCTCCTTACCAAAGACGGTCCTCATCATGAGAAACACAGTAGCAATACTTGGACGTCCTCAAGCGAGCACTCACACCTACTGTTTGGGGAGGAAGGCAAGGATGATCGAGAGCACTTTTTTGTCGAATACAATCGGCTTGCACAACGGGTAATTTATTCATCCCCCAAATTTCTAGACAAACTGTATCTGACACACTGCTTAGCATGGACTCCGTCCTCTTATCCCCGGAGATTTCTCGAACGCAGCTGTAGGTTATCGCGATGTGTCTGTTGTACAACCCGAGCTGATTCTAGTTGAGGGTCATAAGAATGGCGCAGTTGACGGCCGCCGAGATAGTTGGCTTTCCAAGATGTTGCGACAGGCCGCAGAACAGTCAGCGCAGGTCGATTCAGAAGCCCACAGGCTCCCCTTGCGAAATCTAAGTGACACTGCTACAAATCTTGTACAGAGTCACAAACGAGACGGACTGAAAGATCGGGATTTAACAGCTCTGGTTAGACTTTGTGGGAAAAGCCGTCTTTTCTTACCCAAGGATTATGCCCCATTCTCCTTGACACTACCTACTTGTCTTCGGGCACTCGCACAAGCTTTAGTTCAGCATGGCAAGTAATTATACAATCCCCGCGTTTTAACATACTTTAATGTGTTGTTAAAAACCTCGTTTTCGCTGCTAATACTTTGCACAGCGGACACCAAAGGAATATTCCGTGTGCCTGGATCGGCTCGAGTCGTCAATGCTTTGTATGACTACTATTGCCTTGACGGAAACACCGATGCCGTATCAAGTACAACACACTGTCCGACGCTACCAACGCATATTAGGTGTAATACCCATGATATTGCAAGTACTTTCAAGCGGCTATTGGCAGGTTTACCAGGTGGTATTTTAGGTTCCCTGTCGCTATTTGATGCGCTTGTATCTATCTACAGCCAGCTGCAAGGAGACGCAGAACTACACCGGACCAAGGAAAGCAAGCTCCGTGCTCGGCTCATCGCTCTGGCTATCGGAACCGTGGAATCTCGATACCAGCGAGAACTTATTTGCGCCGTATTTGGCCTCCTATGCCTCGTGGGTAGAATCGCCGAAAACGCCCCTCGAGAAGACGACAATGGCCGTCCACTCCCAACTACCGATCTTATGGGCTACAATTCTTTAGGAATTGTATTTGGGCCCCTTCTGGTAGGTGATATGATTGATAATTACAGCATGAAGGTAGCCGATCCCTCAGCTGGGCTAATTCTATTGCCTATTTCACCGCCAAGGTCGAGAAAAGAGCGGCATAAACACAAACAAAAACACGGACGCAAGCACAGACATAGGCATAAGCTCGAAAACAGGCACGAATCTATTATGACGCCGTCTATGAGTATAGACAAGATACGCGTCGCCAATAGCATCACTGAAATGCTCATTGTTCACTGGCGAGAGGTTGTTCGTCAAATAGGGAATACAGGGTCCGTGAAGAATGGGCGCGGCTCATCAAGCCTTTTACAACGTCACGATAGTGCTCGAAATAGTATATCGTCGTCTGTCTCTGAGGACCTTTTGCTCAAGAACCGACCTCATTTGCGCCATGATGGCACAAGATGTGTTTCACCAACTACGACTAATCCGACGGTGTCAGGTAGGAAAAATATTGTCTCAGTGCATACATAATTACTAATTGTATTTCGAGGCATGAAACCTACAGGCACGCCGAGTGAACAAAACAGCGCCTCTGATCCATATACTCCACATACGAGGCAAGCTAGTAGTATCTCGAGTTCTGGGTCCATACAGAAACAACTAACAAAAGCTGCTCCGAATTCACTATCTCCAATGATAGAAGAAAACCCTGCTCCCACTTTCGATGTAATAAAGTCTACTCATAATGATGAGATGCCCAGGGAACAAGGTGGTGATGATGTTACGCAGCTCAATCATCCTATTTCCACACGTACAAATCCCAGCCAAGTTCATGACGATAGCTCCTCAGAGAGTGTTAGCAGACTGGAGATGATTGGGAAATCAGTTGACAGCATAGATACTACAACGCTGGCTGCTGTTCCGGGGATACGACAGTGTGAAACCCCACCGCCATCTGATAGAGTGCTAAGCACGCCTTCTATGGAATTGCCCACAGTGCAGACAACTACTCGCCATAGACAGAATCCGGTGGTTTTGAGTACGGTACCTCCCCAGAAGACACTCCCGAATGACAGAAGTAAGGGGTTAGATCCAATCGCCTCAAAAGACGATAGTCTAGAAATTTGCTCAGAGCCAATAGAGACTGCCGCAAAGACAGTCGTTACAGGGAAAGTGTCTCCTTCAGAGCCATGTGCAAACAGCGATCGTGATGGCGATCTTAGAAACCATAGTTTTTCGCTGCTTAACCCAAACTCGAATCAACACCAGGGAGACAACCGGATAGAAACTCTGGACTCGGGATACGCACATACCAGACGTCTAGACAAAACCAATCCTAGAGGTGAAGTACTGGGAAACCCAATAGGCCAATGGAGAAACCTAAGGGCGTCGACCAAAGATAGTCCCGAGTCTCTGTTTAAATCAGCGAAGGCAAGGCGTCTGAAACGTAGCGCTATCCCGGTAGCATCCAGTTCGAGCCGGGACACATCTGTCCTAAAGGGATCCGAGTCGACACTACCGGAACGGAAGCAACGATCTATACAGGAAGGATATGGACTCAAAGGCAAGTCGACGCCGTCAAAGCCTGACTTTGAAAGGCACAGTAACCGGGAAGATGCACCACAATCTACACATCCACTTTTGGACACCCACGTCAAACAATATGCTTCAAATAAATTTCTCGGTAATGCTTCTCATAGAGGGGTCTCCCAGCGCTCGACTTCTAAGCCTATGCCGGGAGCTGTCAAGGCTATGGCAGCCTTATTTGACAATGCCGCAAAAGAATCGCCAGATAGCTCCGTTATTACTCTGAGCGGAAGGACCCTTCATAACCCACACGAGCCTAGCAACCTCCCTTGTTGTGATGTCTTGGACGGGTCACCAACGAAGTCTAAACCCTGCAGAGGTGCACTAACACTAACTAAATCTGCAATACGCTTGGATGAGCATTATCGCCAAAGACCGAATCACACCTCGACCCCAGAGAAGGACTCTCCTGTTGCTAATTATTGTGTAAGCACTGTTCGAACAGCACCTACTTGGCTGAAAGGAGAGCATACACCTACAAACACTATGCGCAGCACATTGAAGCCCGTGAAGATGTTCTCTTCGGCCAGAAATGAGCCACAGATATTGCCCACGGCAACAATTCCTGACCAACCACCCAGGTTGGGAACTATAGTTCCATACGACGAAGAACCTCCTATTGGGCATTTTGTACGGCCCAATTCGGCCACATCTGCTCAAAGTCGAAGCCAAACCGTGAATCCCGAGGGGCTCACTTCCCCACTCAACAACACAGAGTCGAGACAGACGTCCGCTGGGACCTCTTCGGTTTTACACGCCCAGATCCGCAGTCTCCATCGCCAGCTCGCCCTCAAAAACGAGGAAATACTACAACTGCGGCGCCAATTAGAGACGCAGGAGCACATGGACATCGGCACGCTCTGCGAGCAGCTGCGCTTCGCCAAACGAGAATGCCAAACGTGGCGCAAGAGGGCCGAGGCCGCGGAGAGGCGCGTCGCCGTCTTCCAGCGGTTCGGTGCCAAGATACGGGCTGTGCCGGACGGGGCTATCGAAGAAGATGAAAATGACAATGGAAATTATGGCGAGCTGAGGAATGACGGTTCTTCGTCTTACTCGCCCCGCACCGAAAACCGGAAATCATTCAACGACCGGATACGACGCAGCTTTGCAGAGAAAGCGAGGACTTTGGGAGGAGGCGACGGAGCTGTCTTTGGGGATTATGACGGGGCGCCTAGGGAGGTGTGCGCTGGGAGTGAATATCAGCTGCGAAGCGGCAGACTGCCGAAGACGGCGAGGCTATGGGAGGCCGCGTACGAGATGTTCGATCCTGGACATGGCGATAGCACGTGTATAACTAGGCGGGAACACTCGGCATGGTGACGAGTGCCGTGGAGGTGCTTACGTAGACGGAATGGTAACCCATACTGTGTGGCGCTCTTGTCTGGTTTGGAAGCCTGGTTTTCACAAAGCAATATCTTAAGACGCGCAGAAGGATAAGGATCATTGAGTATGTTTGTTCCCACGCCCAGACTGTGAGGACTGGGTTATTGTAGCCGCTGCTATTTTACATAGACAACAGACACGGTATGTATATACACTGTCGAAAAACGGTTTCCTTGCCGCATTGAAGCGACTTGATTTGCTGTGTGTACTTGCGTGTATAAATATCTAACGCAACTCAGAATACAGTGATTTTGCTATGGAATCGGATCTCAACAACAAAAGATTGACAGATCGATTACCAGATGAAAATTGGAGTATCCTCATGGGCTTAATCCGTGAGGTGATGATTAGGGCTCTAACTATCGGCCTCCGTATCGGAACAGGATGATGGTCGTGACGCCTCGGAGTTTAGAGGTCTCAAATGGGGCGCTGGTGGGCAATCAAGCTGAACCTGCAATGCCTATGGATGAAAGCCATTGTGATTTGGATAATGTTGCGAGGGAATCGGTAAAGAGTCATCGTATGCGCCTTTCGACTTTGATAATGTACATACATCCTAGGCTGTTCGACAGTGAAGTCATGCTGCGAAATGAGTTGTCTGTTACACGTGTAACCTCTGTACCGGTTGAAGAATGCAGTTCGCCTTGCACTTCGGCCGTACGAAGGACCATTGCAGGCTGTTCATGACCTTCCAAGACATGCAGGCAATATTGGAAAGTGAGGTTATACAGACTTCGCTTCTTGAAACAGACCCTAGAGACCCAGGCGGTCTGGGCTGGCAGATCATTTGTATATAGAGTCATCTCAAGCCACCAACAGCCAAGAAGGAGTTGGTTGGTCAAGGACTACTGCAGCCCTAGTTGATCATTGTAATCAGAATCCTCAGTTCCAAGCCCAGTTCAACTGCCCTTGTTATATTGTCTGAAAAGTATCGCATAGTAAAGAGCATCTTCCCAGTTTAAAAACTCTATTTACACACTCCTGATCACGATTTTATCTATATAACATCTTACATGCTCACTATCGCCAGCAATCACCAGCACCTCTCTTCCCACAACTCTCTCTCTTTCTTCCTCTTCGGCACGCAGACGTAGTCATTCACACTCGGCCAGACCGCTACCGAATCACACCGTTATCATACATACGATAGCACCTTTCACGACGACATCTTCCCAGAGCACCTCCTACGATGAACTCATTGACCCCACACCCCGATGCATCAGGATCTACCGAAGACAGAAGATCATCCGCGTCTAACCCATAATACGGGAAGGGTACTCTCGGCCGCGAAATACAAGGAATTGTGTCATGTGACTGCTCGTTTTCTTGGGGGTCTGATGACGACTTCCTTGCGCTCGGCCTCCCCAATGACATTTTGCGGCGCTGTAATTGCTACAGAATCTTAGCGAACCGGGATGTCCTCCCCCCCCCAGAACGCGTCTTCCGCCCCCGGAAGAGCTCAGGGCTGTGTAGTCCTCGCCCATTCTGGTATCCAAGTACGACAGTGCCAGTACAGTGGCATTGCTCGGAGTCATCGGCGTTCGGCCGAATTTTCTTAAAGCCGTAATCTCGGTGCATTACTCCCTTGCCATTACAAGCCTGGAATCCCGCTTGGCACGTATTCAAATTAGAAATCGCGGGCGCAAAATCCGTAACCCCGATCGTGGCTGAGGGCTGGCATTTCGAACGGATTTTGTAGACAACGAAGACCGAATGGGGCTTGTCGTCAGAGTAGTTGATTCGGAACGCCAAGTATTCCGAACAGGCAATCGAAGCCAATCGGAGCAGGGCATTTGATCCGTTTCGAGGAAAAGTTACATATAACGTTATCCCTGCGTTGCGGAGTTGGAATGGCGTTCAAACGGTCAGCGGTGTCCATCTTCCCGTTTGATTAGTCAAAACCTTTAACCCCAGATTCTCACGTCAGATCATAGTAGAGGCGATCTCGACCACTGTAATCGCTGGGGTCAGTAATTACACCTTTAGGTAAAATTTTGGAAGTTCTGCGTACTCCCGAGACACACTTGTGCCCCTAATAGGCAACTATGGCCTACTGGGGTAACTAGAGCAGGAAGAAAATGACTCCAGGGGTTTACATACTCAGGCCCAATTTGTCACAGCCGGCGAGCCAGTTGCTAAGCTGTCTGGCACAGTCGGGATCGAACGCGCGTTCGCGACTCTCTATCAAATCGCCCATTGTGCGTAGCGTAGTATTGTAAAGTGGTTCTTGGCGGTGTGCTCGTATCTCCGCTCGCGCCGCCTCCCACTCCTCCCGTGTCCTCGCACTCCAAAGAACGCCTGGCGCGGGCAGCGACAGCCCACGGTAACCGACTACGGGAGGACATGTTAGGCCGTGTCGTAAGTCGATTACTCGGCTCACGATAAACCAAAATAAAGCACACCTAGATTTAGTTGAGCCAGTTATGCTAATAGGAAGCACGAGACAAAGATACAAGGAGGAGGCCGGAGCGATAATCCGAATGATGTTGGGGCTCAAGGACAAGTGTTACGCACCTTCGCCGTGATTCAGCGTATATGAATTGCTCCCAAGTCTGATCTGGATCGTCATTCTTATCAACATCAAACGGCTCGTAATTGTCAGAATTAAAGCACTGGCGAGCGAGGGACGTCATCAAGGAGACATCGCATTCCCGTACCACAAGGTCGGGTGTGCAGCTCGCCTGAGGTCTGTAATCCTCAAACACGGCCATTGTAGTATACAAAGACTGTACCGAGAGCATATTGGCGGTATCCTCTCTGCTAGAAGTAAAAAGATGATGTGCAAATCGTGCGGCCTCTTCGCTCACAGCGGTATAGAAGAGTTCTCTGCCGTGTGGACTAGTATTTCTGGCAATATATAGCTCGCAGATGCGCATGCAATTGGTGATGGTAACGGGGACCTCGGGTTCATGCCATTGTCCGTGGATAAACATGGGGAAATTCTCTCGTCTGCTCATCATATAAGGCACACTCCGTAGCGTTTCTAATATGAATATAGCGTTTGCTTGATGCTTGGGGTCTCTGCGAAGCTCTACTGCGCTCCTTGGAGGAATATTTTGGTGGAGGTATACCATCTCTAGCGTTATTTCATGATTTAGGAATAAATCTGATGAGCCTGGTGAACCAGTGCCATCACTAGGACTGCTTTCAGCTGGCTCTGGTGTCGACGAATCTTGGACTTCGTTGCCCGATTCACTGTTGGCTGAAGGAAATGCAGGTTTTTCGTACTCGCATGTAAGACCTCTCGTTAAACAGCGGAAACACTAAAACGTCAAGTATCAGACCCTCGTTTCTTACAAAGATAGCTCCCATCAGCACTGCAAAGCAAGACATCGCCCCGCAGACAGAAACCAGTGAGATTAGAGAACCGATTTGAACTAGTTCAGCACTCACTTGTCGCTCAAAGCTGCACTTGGCCTTGGCACGATGGCATTCCCTACACGAACGTTTCCGCTTTTTGGGTTTCCCTGCTGTCCGGCGGCAGTAGGCCAGGTGACGTTTAAAGGCGGTTTCTAACGGCGGTCAGTGTCTGAAGCCTTTAAGAAAATGGTTGGGAAGCCTGCCTGCCTACCGCTGACTATCGGTTTGTTACACAAGTCACAGAACCGGATGTTGCCCACGCCATCGGGTTCAGTCTTCATCGGTGTATCAGCAACAGACATGTTTGCTCGCACGTTTACCCCCACGCTGAAGTTGTTTGAACAGACTACGTTATGGCGTGATTCGGACCGAGCTGCCTCTTGGATTGTTTTGCTCTACTCCCAGACTTCAACTTAAATCGAAACCAGCGCAGGCGAGCGGTGATGGTGGGAAACAGGTATTGGTCAGTGCGTAATGCTGTGAATAATGTTTGCACACCTCAGCAGTTGGCTCAATGATACGACGCGAGCGGGTGTATGGAGCGGCCGGTTCTGGTCCGTGCCGTGGCCGATCCTCTACGTACACCATGACCACACACTCGGCTTATGTGCTTGGCCGGCCGGGAACGCCACCCGACCCTGTCACACTAATCTCTCCAAGGAGCTAGTTAATATCGGGAGGCACAGGGGATCGCGCCAGGGCTTGACATGCTTATTATAGTACATCGTAGAAGTCAAGACGGTCTCCATACAGGTTCTGACCGGTGTGTCCTGTAAGGGTGTAGAGCGTGCCTCGCGTGCCAAGATAACTTGGAAGGATTTGGCGGGCCTGGGTCGACGTACGTAAGTAGGTACTACGAAGTATATGTAGGTACGTAAGTAGGCGTAAAATCAGGTGTGGTAAACGCTCGAGCCAAATACCTAGGTAGAGAGCAGTTTCGAGATATTACCTTGCATCTCGAGGGGATCGACCCATTAGCGTGACCCAAAGGTACTCAGCCTTGGCACTTTTTACTAGGTATATATCACAGTACACGTGCTGCCCATGACTCCATGGAACGATCGAAGACTCTTCCTACTATCTACTGTGTATGTACGACGTAGGACGATGTGATAAGTATGTACATAATCTCAGTACTGGGTCTGTCAGAGTCTGTACTAGGTATGCATGTAGCTACAAGGCTATCGCGCGGATTGCGCCGTTGCAGATGGACGTATCAGATTTGAAGGGTCTACCCGGCCAGCATCGAGATGACTTCCACATCTAGAGTAGTGGCCGATTTCCCTAGACTACCCTCGACTACCTACCTCGACTCCGTAAGTACATACTTACGAAGTAGTACATATAGGTAGTGACCCTGTCGAGCCGGCTCGCCTGTGACCCAACAAATACCAAGTGCTGCTGTTGCTAGCAGGTAAAAACGCTTGCTTAACTTGTTGGTGATACGGTATCTACACTTACCTAGACGCGGACATGACATTCTCCACTGCACGTTTGGTATGGTAGCATCGTTACCACCCTAAATAACCAGAAAGAGTAGGCATCATGCTGGTGTAAGTACCTAGGTATGAGAAATGCACTTGGTTCCTTCAACCATGCAACCCGGCATGCTCCCGCGGCCAGCTCGACGACAGACAGACCTTAAAAGCAGCATGGAACAATTCAAATGATCATGATGGCAAAGCCAAGTTGGGGAGGAATTTTGTCGTGCTACATAATATGTTTGACCGTGCCCTCGAGCAGGCATGATGAGACAGAACAAGAGCAGATTTAGGCAAATATTCAGACGGCGCCCAGTGAACTATCAGAAACGGGAAGAGGGAAGGACAGCATCTTACAACCACCAAATCGAAGTTGACTACAGGTCGCTTTTTGCCTCGGCTCCTATCTACCTACTTGGGTAATTACAGCGTACGTGTAGATTTGTCCATGCTCTTCATCTACTCATGGCTGATCTAGACTAATAGCGTACGGTACACATGTAAAGGCCTCACAGACCTCACAAGCAAGATACGCTTATCTGGGCAGAACCTGGCATCTGCCCGGGGAGCCCCACGCGAACTATGTCTCCTTCCTACTGAAGGCAATCAACAGCCTCAACAATAGCGGCGTCGCCGCGGTAAGTGAGCAGAGCCCTGCACATCCTCGGTGCCGTGGGTCGGTGCCGTGTGGTCAAGTCTCCTGGGAAACACCTGCCGAGTTCGACTAGGAGGCCACACCCTACATCACAACTGGTTTCTACCCCAGATTATTTACCAGCCCAAGCACTATAACATTGGAATAAAGGGGTAAGTGCCGAGGCAGACCGATGATAATTAGTATACCTAGGTAGGTAGGTACTCGTCGAGGCCAAACCTGCAAATGCACGCGACGCAAATCTCGGGGGCAAAGATGCCTACACAGCACCTACTCGCCTACGTCTAAAACAATCTGAAATGTCTTCAGGGGACTGTGCTTGCCGTTTAGTGCAGTTTATACAGGACTATAGCGCCTCGATAGCGTGTTTACTTAGGTAGTACTAGGTAACTAACCCCCGTACCTGGGGTAAGTACCATCTACCTATTCTAGGTAGATTTAGGGTACATGTAGCACGGGAGGTAGGAAAGGATCAGGTACCGGTACTGCAACCTGCTCTGCTTACTTATCTCTTTCTTAACCTAAACCTAACTGTCTTCCGATAGTCTCACGCCCATCGGCTGTCTAGGTAGCTTTATATGTGCTTTGTTGAAACTAGGTTCAAACTCATCGAAACGCCCAATGCATGACTGATATGGGTTGCTAAAAATGAATCGTAGCATGAAGCCCCCTTTGCTACGTTCCTGCCTTATCAGTACATTCACGTGAAGTTGGCTCAGGGGCTGGACGTTGGCGTTGATCGACTTGACCTGCGCCCGCGCCCACGAGCCCACGAGCCCACGCCGTCGCCATGACGCGCCGAATAGTATGTCAACCCTCGAGAAACATTCAATCCCAACGCCCATCATGCAAACCTCGATACATGTCTTCTTCTATGTATGTATGTATGTCTTGATCTGCGACGCTAATCCTCGGCGCCTCCCTATCGCAGGTACGCACCATCACCCAGCTCGGTGCCGCCGCCTTCTTCGCCTTCCTCCTCATCTTCCTCCTCGATCGCAACTTTCGACTCCTGCCTAATGTCGTCCACGAGTACATGCCCCAACATCACCATGGCCTTGTCGTTACCGACATCGCCATAACCACGTGCAGCAAAGTCAACATATTCTCTTCGTGCAAGCTCGATCCCGAGGTTTGGCACCGAATCGACAAAGACCTGTACCTCGGCCACAAGTGGTCCAGCGCATATGTCCATGTCCAGCGGAAGAAGGAGGAAGAGCTCAACGCCAACGACAAGGTTGTTGTTGATGTCAAAGTGGGACCCCTGGACCCCTCCAATACTGCCAAAGAGCAGCCCGACCAAAAATGGGAACCGAGGCCAGCAGGGCTGTGGATCTTGCGATCTGCCAAACCACACGCGAGCGATTCGAAGGATGCCGTCACCGACGTCGATGTGCTCTTCGGCGATGACGCTTACGAAGTACGCCCTGGCTGGGCCATGCGAGGGGTCGCACTCATGCTCAAAATTGACCGAGACATGCCAGCTGCCCATATCACCGTTCGGCGTGGTGGCCACCAACAGTCGCCTAAGCAGCCAGTTCCTCGGATTAGAGATAATGGGAAATTCAAGATCATGCAGCTGGCTGATCTGCATCTGAGCACGGGTGTCGGAGTGTGCCGAGACGCTGTTCCAGATGAATACGAGGGCGGGCCATGTGAAGCTGATTCACGCACCCTCGACTTTGTCGCTCGGCTTCTTGAAGAGGAGAAGCCAGATTTTGTCGTATTAAGTGGCGACCAAGTCAATGGGGATACTGCGCCTGATGCCCAAACGGTAACTTCACCCTGATGAAACCAGCGTTTGGTGCCACAGACTGACCCGTGTTCCAATAGGCTATCTTCAAGTACGCGCATCTGCTCATCAAGCATAAGATACCTTATGTGTCAATATTTGGCAATCATGATGACGAGGGTTCTTTGCCGCGAGCTGGGCAGATGGCACTTATCGAACAGTTGCCATTTTCACTATCGAGGGCTGGGCCAGACGATATCGATGGAGTTGGCAATTATTACGTGGAAGTTCTAGCCCAAGGGAGCTCCATGCACTCTGCCCTTACCTTGTATCTTCTGGACACGCATTCATATTCTCCCGATGAGCGACACTTCAGTGGCTACGATTGGATCAAGCCAAACCAGATCGAATGGTTCAAGCAGACTGCTTCGAGCCTCAAGAAGAAGCATAAAGAATATACTCACATTCACATGGATCTTGCCTTCATACACATTCCTCTCCCCGAGTATGCAGTCCCTGAGAACCGCTACGTTGGCACGTGGCGGGAAGGTGTCACTGCTCCGTCATACAATACACACTTCCGTGACGCCTTGGTGGAAGAGGGGGTAGTTTTGGTCAGCTGTGGACAGTAAGTGATTGTGACATTTCTAATAGGCCCTCTTGCTAACTTGACGGCAGTGATCACGCGAATGATTATTGCATGCTTTCAACAAATGAAGAGAAGGGGAAGCCTGAGCTTTGGATGTGCTATGGAGGTGGTGCTGGTTTTGGCGGGTATGGAGGTTATGAAGGCTTCGTCCGACAAGTGCGCTTTTTCGACATTGATATGAACACGGCACGGATCACAACATACAAGCGACTCGAATATGGCGATACGGAGAAACGTATTGATCAGCAAATCATTGTAGACGGCGGCAATGTAATGCATGCGCCAGAACCGCCAGCGGAGGTGGAAGTGGCCGCCTAGCTGAAAATCACTCGAAACGTTAATACCGGCGATTACAAAGCTTTACATCAAAGGTTATTTCGCCATTGAAGATACCACACCAGCGATCATTCGATCATTCGGGACCTTCTAGATCCCCCCCCCTCTTAACTTGTATTACCCAGTGATACAGCAATGACGAAGTATGAAAGGTGATTTACAGGGGCAAGAAAAGCAGGGCAAACATAGGCGTTTTGTTTTCTTTCCCTTCTAATTTGATTCAAGGCCTCTTTAGGCTGCAAGCAGCCCAACGCTCGGATCAACATGGGAATAAAACAACGGAACGGCGTAATGCGACACGTCAGGGATAATGATCCTGCAGCTAATACTGCGTTCCATCTTACGATCTAGACTTTTTGCTGTATTGTCGACTTTGGGACTGGCGCCTCGTCTGTCTCTATTACATCAACTTAGCTGACTCGTATGTATCTAATACCCCATGTATGATATATCATGGTAGGAAAAAGAAAAAAAAGGAGACTCAAACAAAGAACGAAGCGATACCTCTCCGAGAAGATTAGATGATGATCTATCTTTATAGTAAGGTATTAACTTACGCCGTTCCGCTTTCCCTCCTCTCCAAAGAGATACACATTCGCAACAGGATGGACATCCTCTATGCTCATCCATTTCCGGACTTATCCCACGTATACGTGAAATAACTGATTTGCCTAACTACAGGTGTGATCGAGTCTGTTACCGCATCTTTTGCTAAGTGATTAGACTTTGCCTCGCAGCTCGATCTCTTTTTGGAGGGCGTGGTGAGTGTAAACGTGTGCTACCGTACCTCTAAAATATCACCATGCGGACGTGGCGTAAAGCTTAATCTTAACAGGTAAGGGTAGTTAGTAGGTAGGTAGGGTGCATATGCACGTCAGAGAGAAAGGCGCAAACACAAACCGCTAGTCGTGTTTTTATACTATAGATGTCAGTCGAAGAAGCAATAGCAAGAAACAACGTCTTGGAACAACACAGATATATAGGTGAAATTTTCATTTCCTTCAATTGATCGACTACGTAGGTACATGGTCCCTCTCTAAAGTCCGTCTATTTATATACCGTACCTTATGACGTAGGTTGATGCAATGTAGGTACATTTGAGGTAAGCCTCCTCTTTCCCCCTTGCCTTCTTTATTCTTCCAACCAACTTGAAGCGACAGGTGGATTGATTGATGAGCGGATTGGACGCAGAGCTAGGATGAAGCTAGGATGAGAATGAAGATGGATGGACAGGTAGGTTTCAATATAACTCCGCGCTATGCAGCAACGCTTTGCTTTCTCTCTCAAGGATTCCATAAAAAGAAAACTTGATGGAAGTCCCTTTGTTTGCGAAATTTTAGAGCACTTCTTTTATTTTTATGAATCGTGATTTTAAGCACCGGCGACCTTGAAGGTCTCCTCGAGAGGGAGGTGGTCCTTGGGACCGGGCTCGCCGGCGCGGCCGCCGAAGACGAGCTGGGCCGTCAGCTGCCAGTTGGCGGGGATGTTCCACTCGGCGGCGACGCGCTCGTCGATGAGGGGGTTGTAGTGCTGGAGGTTGGCGCCGAGCCCTTCGGCCTCGAGGGTGGTCCAGGTGGCGAACTGCAGCATGGCAGTACTGTGCTCAGCCCAGGTCGGGAAGCGGTCCTTGTACAGGGCGAACTTCTCCTGCATGTTGCTGACGACGGTGTTGTCGATGAAGAAGAGGACGGTGCCGGCGCCGGCCTTGAAGCCCGCGTTGCGCCCGGCCGTGGCGTCCCAGCTCTCGGCAGGGACCAGGGGCTTCAGGACCTCAGAGGTGATGTCCCATAGCTTGTCGTGCTCGGCACCGTACAGCACCAGCACCCGGTTCGACTGTGAGTTGAAGGACGAGGGGATCTGGATCAGGTTCTCCTGCACGATCGAGGTGACCTTGTCCTTGGGGACAGGCAGCTCCTTGTTCAACTGGTAGTAGGTCCGACGAGCCTTGAAGGACTCGAGAAGCGTGGCAGAGTTAGCGGACATGGTGATGGGTGTTGAGGGCGTGGGTATGCGAATTTCTTGCTTCGAGGCGGTGGTCTCGGCTTGAGGACTAACGAGCTTGCTAAGCGAGGAGCTCGTGGACAAAGGTCTAGCAATGCTGGGAGTGCAAGTCTTGAGAAGGTTGGAGGGTAAGAGCGCGTGAGTGGCTCGGCAGGTAGAAGAGGAGGCGGCAGTAGCAGTATAGAGTCGGGAAACGGAGACGAAGGCCGAGGTCAAGGTGTGAGGACGCATGGCGGGCTTTATACAAGTGTGTCTCGAAGGGCACTGGCTGGCGATGATACACAGGCTGGCTCAGGTAAGACTTACACTATCGTACTATGTATGGTACTGTGGCACCGGGGTGCTATGGCAGGCAGGTCAACGACAGCTTCGCGGTGGAGATATACGAACGGCGTGCTTCATGCAGGGCGATGTGACTGCGGTGGTGTCTAGACGCCAGATGGATACCCCTACCTCTGGACGGCGGAGGAGAAGAGGCGATGTGCTTGGTTCGGGTCTGCAAGCGCGAGACGCAAGTGGGTGAGGGGTTTCTGGACCCGGATTTCGAAGGGTTCCGTAAGGAATTATTAATGCAGGCTGAATAGACAGGCTCGACGGCGCCAAAATGACACCATCAAATCTTTCATCTCGTGCTCGTGTCGGTCCTCGGATAATGCGAGTCGCAATACCTAGGTACCTACAGGCTACCTATGCAGATAGAGACATAAGTATGTACCTACCCAGGTAGTATATCACTACGGTAAGTACCTACCTAACACCAACAGCCCTAGTGTAGTGGCTCTGTGCTGGAAAATCTAATTAAGTAGGTAGGTAGAGACTGAACTCGGTACCTGGTAGATAGATGCAAGTGGATTCGAATCTGATCAAACGGCTAGATCGGCCGTGACTTACTAGGGTTGCGTGTTCCTGGTCAATGGTCAATGGCGAGAATGGGTAGCGTAAGTACATCAAACTCACTCATCGTGGCTCATAATACTAATAGTTTCATGATGTATGTAGGTTAGGTATGTATGTAGTGTTCGGTACAATTTGTCAGGCAATGTCATCGTACCCTTCCACGATGAATGGGCTCCTCCTACCACTCTACTTACATACCTAACTAATGTACCCCGTGGTGGCCAGGCGGTCAGTCGCCTTGGGAGCAAATGCCCAGCAGGTCACGTACGCAATACATGGAGGTAGTATCGTCGTTATTCAGCTTGGGCCGAGGCGGCTACACGATGTATATTAACAGTATATCACATATGTCTTACCTATTGTCCTCGGCTATTCCATGTATACTACTATGTACATACATGTGGTGTTAATTACGACTCGCAGCACGCCAACGGCCGCGCGCTAAGACACGATACTATCCATACGGTGATGATGGGCCTCTCGACTTTTTCTTACCGCACGCTACTGATTGCAGCTTGACAAACCCATTCCTCATCACGATATATCGTGTCATGTGGACCTCGCCCAAGCCAGTGTACATAGTATTTCCAATGTTATTTCGTAGCAAAGGTAATGTCAAGTGGGGCTTGTTTGCTTACACAAGCCTGGGTAATCAAAGCAACGGATGGCGACGGACGCGGCGTTTTCACATATTTCCAATTCCGATCACCTACCCAAGTATTCCATACTCCCCTCTGCCATTCGCTTTTATTAGCCATGTCTCACACAATCTCGAGGTTAATGACTCGTCGCCTTTCACCGGCACTTGCGTCTAGCCCGGCTGTTGTGATCTTGGGCAATTCTTGCTGCGTGTCTGCTTACACATACTTACATCTGTTATCGGAGCGCAAGGGGCAAGCTGGATGGATTACTGGCAGCCCCATCTCTTTTTTTTTTTTTTTTTTTTTTTTTCTCTCGCTTTATATCATTTTGTCTTAATTCCTTCTTGAACTTTCCTCCCCTTCTAAGAGGAGGGGCAGTTTTGACTCGGTACCCCTCTTAACCCCTCTTAGCCCCTCCACACACGTAATTCCGGAACCCCGCGATATGCGACTTGGTTGTACGCGTTCACTTGCTCCTCTGTCCGTGTCCACCACAGCTCGACATCGACATCGCCCTCCAAAAAGCTTGGCCTGCTCTTCTTCCTCACCTTACGCCGAAACCTACTTACATAGTACTTACGGCTATGGTCAATGTAGCATTGACAGACGCCGCGTTGTTGCATTGCCGGAATAGGCAGTTCTCGCCCAGGACTCTAGCATTGCACCAAGGGAAAAACATTTCAACGTCCCATTCTAAAGCTTCATCTTCTTCCTTCTGATCTGAACTTGGTAGAGAATAGTAAGTCTACGTGATGCATAGATACCTCGTAACTATCAGGTCAGGCATACATGTATTAGTTTTACCCTACTGTCATCAATTATCATTTTGAGTTGCATCCGCACTCCAGAACATGAAGACCATGAAAATCCATACTTAAGACTCATTTCCGATTCTTGTTTCTGATAAATTTATTTTCAGTTGATAAGCTCCTAGCTAGTAACGAAGCACAACACTGACATTCGCAAATGTGCGTCGTCTGGGAAAGTCGCAAAAACTCCACTAATGCGCTTGACTATCCTTTATAATGCTTCTATGGTTTTATCAGAATGGATAGTCATCCGACTTCCATGTGGCGCGCGTGTTTCTGTCGGGCCCTCCAAGTGACGCACGCCCGCGGCGTGAAATACGTCTTGATGCCGGCTTGCGCGGTTTTCCTAGTTCTAGTTGTCCGTTTCATATAACTCCCAAATTTTGCAGTAGTCATGACACATGAGTAAATGAAAAAAAGATCCGATCCCAAATGACTCAAAAAAGTGCTGAGAAGCCAGGGTAGACATTGGCAACTACCAAGTCTCGGCAATATATTGGCCCACTACCTTCTTCAACTCCCAAAACTTCTTCGCTTCGGCGTGCTCTAAGTTGCCTTTGGCCATTGCGACTTTGATGAGTGCCTCTTCAACTCCTTCGCCCATGCCCTTACTGCTCCCACATACAAAAACGCGTCCATCGAGAGAGTTGATAATGTACCAAACCAAGTCCGCTTGGTTAACAACCTCTTCTTGGACGTAGCGGCCCTCGCCACGCCGACTCTGGATTACACGCTTGACCTCGTCTTCGTGAACACCCCACTCACCGCTGTACAGTTCGTCGACAAGCGAGTCGCGGATGCCTTGGAGAACCCACACCTTGTTGGCACAGTTGGCGTTCTTGAGTCGTCGTTGGACAAAGCCTCGGAATGGTGCGATGCCCACACCGGCTCCAATCAAGAGCATCGGTCCGTCCGTAACGAACTGCTTGGCTAAGGGGTTGGCCATTAATCCCTTGAACATGGGGATGTAGAGCTCCAACGATTTTTCACCACGAGCCTGCAAATCTTGGAACTGTAGAGCTTGACGCTGAAAGAAACCCGAGCCGACACCAGTGCGATTCCCACCACGCCAGTCAGCCGTCTCATGAACGGTGACAGCTATCTCGATGATGCGATGCTGCTTGCCGTCTCGAATCTCGTACGATTCATGTGGATCATTGGAAAGGGAATAAAATCTTGGCATTAGAGGTTGGAGGACAGTAAGGAGAACATCCATTGGAGGCTTGGAAGAAGGAAAAGCACTGAGGATCTGGGAGATGGAGATGTGAGGTCCGGTGCGGAAATCGCAAAAAACGCCTTGTCCCTCTCCGGAACACAGGAACAGCAGAACCTTCTTCTCGTTAGGATCATGACAGTATTCGGCCAGCACACGTAATAAGGGCTTTGTTGGGGGGTATGATTGAAGGTCCGAGCACCAGGTGAGTATATCCCGACGTGTTGTCACAAGTTCTCTTGCCTTATCCTGACCCCAAACAGTTGGCCACCGGCCCTTTGTGGTCCGCAATAACACAGGCTTATCACGAAGAAAGCGAGGAACTAGTAATAGGTCGAGAACGTCGTTCACAACAGAGGCGTCGTTGGGGGCAGAAACACCAATGGCACCTCCAACCTTGAACTCATTGTTATCTTCATCTGGATAGTCGGTAATATCAAGATCGAAATGGAAAGTTCTTTTTTCCGCACCGGGCTTGGTCAATTCTCTTGTATTGTGGATCTTTGCAGGATAGACGTGATAAGGGGGGTGTGGCTGAACGAAGGACGGGGGCTGGATGGAGGTGTCAAGGTCCTCAATATCCAATTTCTGGAGGGTTTGGGACAATGTCTTGGAGTTATTGGTCTCCTCACTGATGTCATTCCCGAATGAAATGGCCGAGTCAGTAGGTGAGGATGTCTCTGAGCGCCGATTTTGGTGCTTCTCAAGAAATATGAATTGTTCGGGCATGTCGGTGATGCCTGTTAAAACTGTAGGGATTTCCTTGATCCTTAACCCCAGAGAGCGGAAGGCATCATTGTCGGGAAGAGGAACTTGTTCATATTCAACTCCGAGCTTCTTCTTTTGAAAGTTCATACAGCAGCCAGCGCCGCAACATCGGCTGATGAGCTCCTGGGTGGATTCACCGGTAATCCTCTGTATATCGGTAGCACTCTGGGCTATTAACCGGGTGGATGCGCGCCGTTTCCGCGGTTCTTCTGAGACTCGTAACTCATCCTGGTCCTCCGAGTCTTCGGAGTATGTGAGTGAGGGGGCGATTGAGGGGAGGTTGGACTCTTCGGGAATGCTGTTAGCCGCCGAGGCAGCAATGAACTGGTCTGACACGGCGGCAGCCATTTCTTTTGATAACGTGTTCAGACGGCCTAGTCTCTTCTGCTAGATCCCGTAGTTGTCCCTTGCAGCTGGCTGCAGAAGGCAAAGGAAGGTAAAAGTGACAGGAGGGAGAGTATAGAAGCAATTGAAGTGGATTGGACCGCGAAGGATGTCGCGGGTCTGTACTGTGTCACGAAGGTATATATCACAAAACCGCTGGTCGATGCTATGCAATGCTATGCGGTGCAATTGGGGGATAGGTGAGTGCCTCAAGACAAGACAATGGATGATAGTATCAATGCTTGGGAGAGGCCGTGACTGGCGACAACTGACTAAACAAAAGCAGAGCCCGCGGGGCAAAACAATCGGCGACAGCGAACTATATAACCTGCTCCAGCCTCGAGGCAGAAGGGGAGGGTGAGGGAGAGGGTGCGCACTGTAGGAGGAGATACGCAGGCAGAGAGCAGCTGATGAATGAGGGTGATGAATGAGGGTTGGTAATATGTGAAGAACAGGCTGGGAAGGGGAAGATGGGGAGGCGGATGGGCAGTGATTAATGAATCGGGACAAATGGCCCAGATGGACGGGAAAGCAACTCCAGACCGCAGTCGGCAGGCCGTCGGTTGTGCCGTGGGCTCTGGGCTCGTGGATGGCTTGTGGAGGGCAGTGGAGGGCTTGTGGATGATGACAAGTCCGGTAAAAACTCCCTATCAGATGTGGCTTGCAAGGGTGCAGAGGTGGGACAGAGGCCCATCTGATAACTTTCCGTGCATGGTTAGGTAAGTACATAAGTAATAAGTACTGTAAGTAGTTGTAGGTGGCGAGGTGGTACCTAGTACATTAGTAACCCGTGTCTGCCCGCCGTGATTGCGTCTAGGTAGGTAGCCTACTTAGTTGTACCTAGATAGATCTCTAGATAAGGTCCCTAGGTAGGTACTTACTGCTGGCCAAGACACAAGTCTGCACAAGTCAAAGACGACGGCGTCATTTTGCCCCGGAAATGTGTAATTTGGATCGAATTATTACCGAGCAGTGTTACAATACAGTACCTACTCAAGATGCTACATATGTCAGCTTATCCTGCCACTGCCTATCACTGCAGACCATTGAATCATCCAATCGCTGAGGACCAATGTGATGGAAGCGATTAGATGCGTGATTACCTGACCTGACATGCCGTTGTTAATCCTATCACAAAACTTTCACTTCCTGTGCCACCGGCTCGTCTTTTTTGTCTTGGGGTGGGTTATGGCATCATCTTGATTGCTCAGCCGAATGGTCGCTCCCCCGGAAACCAAGAGCCAGAAACCCGACATATTGGCTGCTACCAGTAAACCGCTACACTAGGCAGGTATCCTACCGCACCAACAACGTGGATCACCATGATGAAGCTCCTTAGCCGAGAATTCCACAGACGGCAACCAGCAGTACTACTACCTAGTTTCCCTCTGGCTAGACACAGCTCCCGTTCCTGCAGATGTCAACCTCAGTATGGATTAGTTTAGGAGGAATAGGTAATGCTTTACCGCTCCAGAATCACAGAACCAGAGCGACATGTACTCCTAAGGTAAGTTGTACCAATGCTGGCATATTACCAGCGCCTAGAGCCTCGGTGCAACTCATAAGCGAGCACATGTCTACATGTATTAACTAGAACGCGAACACGTGTACGAGCTGGAAGCACAGTGCACTACTCTCTCGGCTGATGCTCTTCGCGAAGGCTTCCCATCTACTTATATTTGTCGCGCAGGATGTTCCTCGGAGACCGGGAAAACAAGCTGTGTCGAGCCGGAGATGGCACCACTGGGTAAACCATGCCTGCTTCGAACCCCCAATGTACATAGTATCCCCTACTGTACTTATACTAAGTATGTATCAAAATACTTGCTGCACATACAATCCATCCAATCCCCATTTCCAAGTCTCCAGCCAAGGTATCGTGGCTTCTTTGAGTGGCTAGTCGGATCAGCCCAGATGTCAAACATTACGGGGGATATCCAATCATAGCCGTTCATGGTAGGGTCCTATGGATGTCTGTGCAACCGTGCTTATGCTCGACTTCTGTAATCTAATCAATCAATCAATCAATCAGTCCCGTCAGGCAAATGATCCTGCTACTAGGGAATTTCTTTATCAATCTCATCTACTCTCCGAAATCGGCCCACTGGGTTGAGACCCTGTAACTCCCGAAATAGGCAACAGTGCTACCGTTTCGGCTACAGTGCGGCAGCCCACTTCGACGCCACTGGAGCGCCGACATTTCAGCTTTCAGCCAGGGCAAGATCAGATAAGATACAGTACGCTGCGAAACCCGCAATACTGTGCATAGTGCTAGCCGTTCTTTGGTTTTTTTTCTCCCTTATGCCTACCAATTGTATACCGATTGAACGCTGTTTGAAATCACCATTGACACCGTTCTTGCTGAATCCTGTTCTTTTCTTTTTGGTTATGAATTACTATGATCCGAATACGACAAGAACACGCCACGCTGCTTGCCGTGCCACTATCTGCCCCTGAGCAGCACGTTAATTGCTCTTGGGCGGTGCTAGAGCTGCTCACGCCATATGGCACGATTATCAGTATATAGTGAGCAAGAGTAGGGGAAAAAATAAAATAAAAACAAAATTGCGAAGATTCACCGCCAAAACCACTCCTTTGCATACTTGTAGTAATTTCTTAGATGGCGTGGTTCTACTTCGCCAGCCTCGTTAATTCATTCGCAACCCACAGACGTAATTATCTCGACTAGACTGAGTCACTTGTTACAGATGTAAATCCGATCCCCATGATCATAAGAGCCTGCTACAGTTACCTATTTTCACTATTAAGTAGATGCCACCGCTCGTTTCGGATTCGCCCAGGAAGCTCCCATATCCATACTTATCTCTTTAAGTCAGTCAGGTCCTTAGTTTTCTGTTTTCTGCCTTTATTTAACTCGACGCGCGGCAATGTACAGGCCCAGCTATGTTCCTCCTTGACTCTATACCGCTAGACCACGAATATTTTCCCAAAATGCTGCTAGGCATATATTCTTGGTTGCCTGATTGATGACCCATCGCTGTAACGAATTGAGCCACTTGTCGTAGCATAGTTGTCGTTTTGCCAAATTTGAATGCTCACGGTATAGAGGGCGACAACTTGTCCTGTTCATCAAGGTACAGTAGAAACTCGTTGAAATGGTAAGGAATTGGGTTTCGTTATGCCTCCGAGGTACCATAGCTATCCTTACAGCCCGGGTTGACAGCCAGCTAGCTTTTCACCATGCCAAGATAACCACTATGAAATACTGCGTGATACTGCAAACAATTTTATTTTTCGGCTTAGAAACCTCTAAGGAACTGTACTTTATACGGTTTCGTTTCCAGAGCAACTTGTCCTCTCCCTCCTCTTCAAATCAGTCCATCACGACACGGGTCAGCTATGCAATGATGTCCAAGATCAATATAGCAGTAGTTGGCGGTGGTATTGCTGGATTAGCTCTAGCTGCTGGCCTGGCTAAGAAGCTGCATCTCAGTGTGCACGTATATGAAGCTGTGGGCGAGTATTTGGATGTCGGGGCGGGCTTAGCACTTCATCGAAACGCTATCAGGGCCATGGCTCTTTTGGGGCCTGAAGTGCGCCAGGCTTACTTCGACAAAGCTTTGGCTCTAGGAGAAGAGCACGAGGAGATGGCTACTGAGGTTATCTTGGCCCAAGGATAGCATAAAGATGAACTCGTAGCTAAATTAGGAAGGGCGAAGGGAAGGAAGAGTGTGAGCCGTGCTGATCTTCTCGACGGGTTTCGGGCTCTAATCGCGACTGACTGCATCAGCTACAAAGGCTACTCACCATCACAGAGCATCCAGCACATTAGGGCCCAAAAATCCAACTCAAATTTGTGACCGGTATGTCTACGTTCGCCGACTGTCTCCTCGGGGCAGATGGTGTTCCTAGTGTTACAAGATCCTATCTGTTAGGGCCCGACCATCCAGCCACTGGGCCCAAAAACCACGGTGGTTGACTGATCTACAGAACGATGGTATCGAAAGAGGAGGCGAGAAAGCAGATTAACCCTACTTGGAAGACGTCTGTGCCTATCCTGCCTGGGCCGAGCGGCCATATCAACTGTACACCATTAAACAGGAATACACGCCTCAGTGCTGGTGTAGCCGTTCGAGGTGCTAGATTTACGGCTGATAGCCGCGCTCCACCCCTCGAACCTACGTTGTATGCAGACTACAGCGAAGACGCTCAAAAGGTGGTACGCTGGGTTGCGAAAGATACGAGCACGTCCTGAACCGCAGACGACCATGATCATGCACCCTTCTATTCATGCAACAACGTGGCCATGCTCGGAGACGCTGCGCATGCCTCTCTACCCTTCGCGGGGAACGGAGCAGCGCAGGCGTTGGAGGATGCAGCAGTTCTCAATTGTCTGTTTTGACCACGTCAAGAAACTCCAAGATATCGTCACCGCGCAGCAGGCGTTTCGCCAGGTACGACGGCCGAGGAGTCAGTCTGTTGTTGACCTGGCGCGGAAGCTCGGGCGTGTGTATGCCTTCGCGGAAGATGGAATGCATGGGGATCCGATGAGAACGAAGGCATTCTTCGCGGAGATGGCCGCCTTCACCAACGACTTCGACGTCGAATCCCAGAACCATGAGGCATTAGGGCCGTTTCGCCAATCGCTCGAAGGCGACGTGGATGCTCGAGTGTGGAGTCCTCCTGTACTGTCAAACTGATCTTGATTTGGCTTTGCTTCGTCCTGAGTCGGGTGGTTGTGCAGTCTATGAATATCTTTTTGCTTATCCCTACTACCTAGCAGGTACACGTATAGGTAACCTGACTGTATGCAACGTAACTCGAAGTGGTCGGGAGCTCGTGCCACCGACGCCCTCCAATCATTAGGCCATGATGCTGCTACTGTTTACGGTACCTACTCGGCTGGAGCTGCATCTTTGTGCATTGATCAGGTGGGAGTTCCCTTGTTTTCTCTTCTGCTGCTATTTCGTCCCTTTCGACTTCCTTGCAGTTACGTGTCTTCTGTTTTCCATCCGATGAAGAACAACACAATGGGCAGCCCAGTCTCCCAATCAGCTTCATGATTTACGAGCGGCTCAAACTTAAAGGAGTTGTCGATCAAGCTTGTTTGAGCCGGGCGGGTAAAGCACTTAGACGGAGGTGAGACAATGCCAAGATACGGGCGTCAAGAGAGCACCGGCACATGAGTTGCCATTGACAGTTCAATCAATCAATCAATTCAATCCGATTCAATCCGATTCCTGCTATTAGGAGCAGCTAGCAGTCACCTCCAGTGCAGCGATGACCAAATGGATAATTGATGTCTCTTTCCTCGTCGCCATAATGAGCGAGATACCATGTCGCCAGTTCTGAACAGTCTCGCTTTGCTTGCCGCACCACTGCCGTCCGGGCAAGCGCAGACCCTAGTTCGGGGTGGTCATACCCGAACTGTTTGGTCGGATGTTTTGGTCCCACGTTTCAGCCAGCCTTCCGACAGACGTCGGATAACCTCCCGCATCCTCGACAGGCAAGCGCATCTACCGTCGTAAGGCAGGGTAGTATTATAGATCGATCGGCTATCACGACACAGACCCTTTGCAATTCTACGCGTGACAGAACCGAGAATGTCAAACAGCCTTCCGGGGCGCCTCTGTGCCGGCCGGCCAGCTGAGCAGCCATGCCAGTAGCAGAATAGGTAGCAGAATAGGCAGTTGTATAGGTAGTTGTACGCTTTGAGCCTTGTTTCCCCGTGAAGATCAGGATCTCCCTTCACCACGGGAGATGCCATTTTAGAGTCCCTTCCCGTCCCATTACTGGTTAATGTCTTGTTTCCCATTCTATTTGTTCCCTTGCCTTGTTCTTGACTCTTCTCTCTTGTTAGTTAATCGTGCCCTTATCTGCACCTTCACTCGTCGGCGACATTGCGGTCCTGGGATAACTGGTTTAATACACCTCATCCGTTTCCCCAACTTCTCGAGTGTGCAAAGAACCTCAGGCTCTGATCTGGATTGAGAAGATCAAAAACCGAATGCCACAACTACTAAGGAGCACCGTGGCCCCTATCGTGGTGCTATATTGGACAGAGAGCTGGGTCGTATTCCCGCCACCATCACCTTCACGCGCAACTTTCCGCTTCGGGAAATCCTCATCCCCTTCTCCAATGGTATCGTTGAGGGATAGCTTTCCCAAGATACTTGTAACGCAGTGATAATATCCTCTCACTGTGCGACACTTCAACTCTTACGAGATGGACTTCTTACAGGCTCAAAACCTCAGTCTCACACCAGCAACAAATGACATAACGCACCAAATCCAGGCGAATGGCCGATTCATTTATTACGCCGCTCTCAGCATCATAGTGTTCTGTGTATGGCATTTCCACTCACCAAAACATGGACCTCATGTCTCGGCACCATTTTACGAGGTGTCCAGGTTGAGGTGGATGTTTAATGCTGATGCTTTAATCAAAGACAGCTACTGCAAGGTTAGTGTATCAGACTGCTGGGGATCTAGGTCAGCCTATTGATCGATCGTATAAAGTTCAGAGACAGTGTGTATCAGATAAGATCTACGGAAGGCGTGCGGACAATAATACCACCGACGCTCGTCGGTGAATTGAAGGGTCTGCCAGAGGATACCCTCAGCGCCAAGACGGCAGTCAGTGAGGTCAGTCAAAGCAACCCATTCTTGGGCCTTTAAGTCAGAGAGCCTCGGCTGATCTTATTGAGTAGGCTATGCTGAGTGAGTACACGCATTTATCGGCAGATGCTCACTCGGATGTCCTCACTCTGCTCTTGAAAACCAAAGCAACGCATCATCTACAGAGGATGGTTCCGACCCTTAAGGAGGAACTCCAATTCATATTAGATACAGAATTCCCTGTCTGTGAAGGTAGGGTCTGAAAATAAGACGAATTAGTCTAGGAGCTGCTAACACCTCTAGACTGGACACCGTTTAGGATACAGCCGTTCATGGTACGCGCCGTCTCTCGACTCAGCGGTCGAGTTTTCGTGGGATCGACATTGAGCCGGTCAGAGGAATGGCTTCAAGTTAGTGTGAGTTTCGCTGTCACAGCGTTTATCGCCGTGACAAAGTTACAATTCTTTCCGCCTTGGATGCGTCCAGTGGCACAATACTTTGTCTCGGAGCTTAAGACGATTCGTAAAGACCTCGCCAAAGCCCAGACTATGCTGCAACCCCTGATAGAAGAGCGCCTGAGCTATGCCGATGGATCAGACCAGGAGAAACCGGATGATTTCATACAATGGCTTTCGGACGCCCTGCCAGAGGAAGAGAAGCGGAATTATTTCATACAAGCAAAGATGCAACTATTACTCAGCGCGTCTTCGATACATACAACGAGTAACCTCACCACCGATTGTATATACGATCTCGCTGTGCATCAGGATATGCAGGATATCCTGCGAGACGAAGTTGCCGAAGCGTTTGCAGAAGACGATGCTTGGGAAAGGAAAGATACCATAGGAAGACTAAAGAAGATGGATAGCTTCATCAAGGAGTCGCAGCGGCTATCCAGTAACATAAGTATGTATAAGAATCTCGATACGTGCTTCAGTCTGCGCCCCCTCCCAACAACAAAGACAAATAGTGAGAAGAAAACGTGAGTCTAACCAGAGACAACTATAGCGTCATTCATTCGCAAAGTAATGAAACCAATCGACTTATCGGACGGCACACATCTTCCATCAGGAACAAGCGTCCTGACGCCGCTGGCAGGAATGTCATCTGACGAGCGGTATTTCTCCGACCCCGAAGTCTTCGACGGCCTGCGATTCTGGAAGCTGCGGCAGCAGAAATCACCCTCTTCAACACGGTCTCCATCTCCCTCATCTACCTCGTCCACAACCACCCATCGCAAATCCTCCACTTCACCACGATCTTCGTCTCCCGCCAACAATTCCAGCAAATATCAGTTCACCAGCATCGGCGATACGAATCAGAATTTCGGGCTGGGAAAGCACGCCTGCCCGGGCCGGTTCTTTGCCGCGCAGGAGATCAAGATAATCCTATCCTACCTTTTGCTCAACTACGATATCAAGCTCCGCGACGGCGAGGCTCGTCCCGCACCCGTCGTCTTTATGATGACCAAGAGTCCAAGCCAGACAACCGAGGTGCTCTTCCGCCGACGGAAGACGTAAAAGAGACCTTATCTCGAGACGTTATGTCATATATAAAGAAAATCAAAAGCGACATTATTCGGGTGTTTAAATCTTAAACTCAGGAGCCCGGAGCTTCCCGGGTCGAGTAGCCGCTGGCACATGTATGTGCTGCTGCTCAATGAATTAATTTCTAACGAGGAAGTACCAGGCGTTTTGGGGTTATTACATACATAGGAGGGTAAAGGTAAATATGCACATATACCAGACTATGAGACACATACATATGTATATATAATCTTTATACATAGCAATAAACAAAAGTAAACGACGGCTATTTGTCCTTGAACCGTTTCGCAGGTTATACTTGATGAGCAACCCAGCACTGTTCTCTGCGCAGTACCTGCGTGATTACTTACATGACGTGCGTGAATAGGTAGGTGAAATCGCGATCAAGGATGGCATTTTATATTGGCGCAAAGAGGCCTAATCTGTTTACTCACAGACCTATATTTTACTATAAATCTCGAATCATCTCTCTGCCATGCGACTGGTAACGAACTCACGAACAGAGTAAACGAACCGGCTGCTTCAAATCCAAAATAATTGGGGGTATCTCTTTATAATTATTACTAGCTTGTATCACGAACCCTGGACTCTAATACTTGCTAGTTTGCTCGCTTCATTCCAACCAAAGTGGCTGCCACACTGTCGTCATCGTCATCGTCATCACCGAATCGATGGGTGTAATATCATAACATCGTAACAAAACAATACAAACCTCCTCGTCCCACAACTGCTGCCATGTTCTAAAAGAAATATTTTTGTTTCCGACTCATCCTCTCGAACCACATTCCGTTGCCAGTGCCTTCCTCCTCTACCAAAGACTCAAATTCGTCGCCCAAGCGGAGGTGAAATGAAAGCATATTTACGAAGTTTTGTCAATCGCGCATCGTTTGGTGAAGGGAAACCGAATGAAGATCGACGAGTGCTTTCAATTTTTTGAGCACGCGAATTCAGTCATCTTCCTAACTCAGTGAATGCGCATAACCAGAAGCATCAGCAAGTTTGAATCCGACGCACCCATGTCCCCCAGGGAACTTCGTATGGTGACAAGGTATATGGAACACCCGTATATGCCCATATCTGACAAGGCAATATGCCCGGTAAATAGGTTCTCTCGAATGTATGTGTATGTCGCATAATATTTCATGTAATGCAATGAATTATATGTTTGGCTGTTGTCTGCCGATATGATATGCTACGAGATCTTTTGGTTCCTGCCACCGATCTATGCATGTAAGTAATATGCGAGCTTGCGCTCTTGAAAATCTTTATGAAAAATCTGAGAGCCCTCTTTATGACGAAATGTGAGGAAATGTGTAGTATGTGCAAATATAGCGGGTATGATATACCTGGGCCCAATAGAAGGGCCGTAAACAGGTACGTGAATATAATGGAAGAAACGAAGTTGTGATCGCTCTGGAGACATCAAACGCTTGCGTTTCGCGGTCTGGCTTCAGGTACTCTTGCGTGGCAAACCATCAGCTTCAAGCTAGTGCCCCATTCCTCGCATTCGGTAAGTAAAGCTTTATCGTGCCAGATACTGCTCTTCATTCCAATAGGAACTTCGTAGCATCGATTATACCACCACCGACCGACCTTGGAGACCATTTTGGTTATGCTCTTATCACCTACTTCAGTGTCATCGTTCATCATCTCTGCCAGACTGCGCTCGTCCTTTTTCCCATTCTTTTTCGGCGCTGTAATTGAGCTAGCAACCGGCACCCCCAGACGACAAGTTTTGATGTCAACGAATCCTTTCTTTCCCAGTAAGCGCAGAATGAGGTCTGCAGTACTACTAAGGTAGAAATCGGGATTTTGGTTACTGACTTGTTCCTTCAGATGTCGGACAGCCCGCCGGGTCCGATTGCCGACGTTGTTAAGGTCAACATCCAGAATGGCAAATTCAATGAACCCACCGGGTTTCAGAACCCTTTGGGCCTCCGATATAATATTGCGGTAGTGTGACTCTGGCGCGACCGCGGGGAAGCGAAAGACGAGGGCAGTAAAACTATCTGGACCGAACGGAAACTTGTCTGCATGAGATGTGAACTGAATTTGGTGATGGTTTGGTGGTGAGAGAGGAAATTTTGTTGTGGTTTGCTCTTGCTGCACCGGTGCACGAGGCGAAAGATTGAAAAAATTCGCTGCAGGGTACGTTTCTGCGGCATAGAAGGACCAATCATCATTGCCCAACCCATCAATAACAAGTAATGACTGGCGCTTGAGTGAGCTATCATTATCTGCGAGATCTTCTCTCACGGGGCTGAACAAAACATGACCGAATGTGAGCCATTTGCTGACAGTCATCGAGCCCACACGCAGATTCACCTGAGAAAGTGGCGTCTCTTCACTGAGCCCACTACTTGTTGAAATCCTCTCACTAGCGCGCGAGGTTCTCGCACTATTAGTTTTAGTCCCCTCATCAACATTGGACGATGAGCTGGCTCGAGGTGATGTATTGGAGTCTTGATCTGCTCCTGCCGCGCTGTGGTTGAGGCTATCGTAGCCTGGTACAGGTTCGGGTTTAGGTAAAGGTGCTGGTGGTGGCTCAGAATCGAATCGAAAAGCAGCGTTAATCCGTGCGGTCATGTCAGCACTATAGTGACTAGACTCAGTGGTAGTTCTAGCGGTTGCAGTAGAACTCCGAACATCATAGATAGGCTTGGTCACATAGGTCGGTGACTCGAGAGGTTTCACCGACTGCTTGACTAGACTGGAGTAATAGGTCTCAAGTGGAAATGGAAGTCCGCAAGATGATGTGGGAGATGGGGGTGAGTCCTCAAGTAGGTCGTTGAATTCGTCCCAGACCTCGTCTACTCCAAGCGGTGGCAATTGATGTTGTATGTGCGGTATGGGAACAGCATGATCAGGGGTATCAGAACCGCTTGATTCAGATCCCTCTGCTTGGCTAGAATCTCCATAAGGCGGAAACACTAGGAATTCCTGCTCTTGCTGCTCAAGTATGGATTTGTTGTCATAGCAACCCTCGTCTTTGTCTGATTTTACCTGTGATTGAGTCGCCGTGGGCAATTCAGCATCCTTGAGATTTGATGTTACCGAACCACGTGGACTCGGGCCTTTCGCAATGGAGTCTTGATCTGGTTCAGCTAATTGAGTTGGTAGCCCTTGAATACTCACGCGGTTGAACGGACGAGAAAAGCTCTTTGGAGATGTTTGTTCAGGGCGACTAGCCATGACTTTTGGAATCCTGCCAACTTGGGGGAGCCTACTAGGGCGATTAGGCGATGGTTCAACAGCGATCTTCTCGGCTTGGCGGTCGTCTTGATTTGCGCTAAGTCGCAAGATCTGGGGTAATATGTCGTTCCGTTTCGAATCGACACTGATTATGTCTTTTTCGGATTCCGTGTGAATTAGTTGGCTAGCGCTGCTACCGGTAGATGGTCTCTGGTTATTATTGAGCTGCATTTCCGCAACTGGAAGAACTTCCACTTCATGCAATACAGCATTTAAATTATATTTTTCATCGATGTATTCCTGTTCAAGGGAGCCCGTTGTTGTGCTAAATACCGGCGATTGGTTCTGAGAAGCTTGAATCACAACAGGTACCTCTACTTTCTTCTTTGGAGGTGATCCAGCCTGGTTTCTTCCGAAAAGGTTCCATTTTCGAGGCGATTTCGCCGTCTTGGTCAACTTTTTGACTGGTGAACTGGCCTGTGGAAGCGTATGACTTTGTAGTGGCTGTATATCCGGGAACGAATCATCAGTGTAGATAGTTGTGGCCATGCTTGCTGCCGAGGGAGCTCGAGTGTTGCTCACTTTTGGAAAACTGGGTTGTGAACCATTTCTTGGCCGAAATTCACGTGATGACCTTCGATCTAGAAGTGTCAATTTCGTTCTCATCTCCTCCGTGCTGTTGTGATCTGGGGGCCGGTGCGAGTGAGTCGTTTCCGAAAGAGAAGGGGATGGCCACAGTGTTTGACGGTTATCCTCCCTAGAGATGGTAGATGTAGCTGAAAGCTTTCGTGGGCTAAGGCTTGGTCGGTGCCAGGAAGCGCTCTGATTACTTTCAGTCCGGGTCAAATCAAAACTAGTATTCTGGTTCTTGACCACCTCACCACCAGCAATGATGACTGGACTCATACGTTCTAATAAGAACGTATCTGCCGATTGAGTGCTTAAAAGGCTCTCAGACGATGCAACAGGGCCTGAATCAGCAGTATGCAAAGTTGAGACTAAGAAGCTTCTTCTCCTGACTGCACCAACCCTGCCATAACCTTCATGTCCTGTCCCAGCAGCCGGCCCCTTCCTAGTGATTTTAGCTCTTTTCCTTTCAGTTTCTGCCACATCGGGGCTGGCTTTTGTTCGCCGTCCGAAAATTGGGAACCTATATCTAGATGGTGGAACGCTTGGGCTTGGGATTCGGTTAGTCTTTCTTGTATCGGCTCTTCCATCTTGTAAACCTTGTAGAAGGTCTGTTCGTGGACTTGAAGATTCTTGACTGATAGAAGGCCGTGAGGAACTAGGATGATCATGGCTTGTTCTCTGTGTTGTTGGTCTGGGAAGCGAGTTTGCCTGCAGTTGTCCACTTTGACGTCTTTCGGAGAGGCTTGTAGATGATAGGTTGCTGTGTATAACTGGGATTGGGCCACCGAATTGGGAGTAGAGATCAGGTGTTCCATCCCTACTTGGGCGGGACGGTGGCGTTGGCCTACGCTGATGGGACGGCGTGACACTAGAAGTTCTACTGTTGGTAGGCTCTGTGGCTTTGCCAGGCGAAGGCGATCTTATTCCTGAATGATGTGAAATCCGGGACTGGAATGACAGTTGAGTTTCATCCGTGCTTTGAACCTTTTTGAATTTCTGTGACGATTTCCTGGGAGGTGGACTCAGATGGGGAGCCGGGTGCCCTCGGCGGACTTTACTACTGATTTTCTCTTCTGTGCGTACCGTTGAGCTGGAAGATGATGATGTTAAAGCCTCCCTCACGGCAGCAAGTCCCTGGGGATCGGCGCTGAAAGAGCCTCCTTCATTTGATGTACTGCCAGCTCTTCTCCGAGTGATTGGGGGCCTCGTCTCGGCTGGACTTGTTTGTCTCGCTCTGGCAACTGTTAGACGCACTGGTGCCACAAAACCGGGAGACTGTGAGCACATCGATGTTGGTGTCGTATCTCGACTGTACGGACCAGTACCGGGCGAGCCCGAGAACCTTGTAGAAGGGCTGGCACTGAAGTTGCTTGATTGACTATAGCTGCTCGCGCCTGAAAAGAGGGGTGTTGGTGGAGGTAGGTCTTCCGTTGCGAGCCTGTACAGAGCATCTTTCCCTAGTGGATCCCTAGAAGCTGGTATTTGAATATCTTTGTAGCGATCTAGTTCCGGGTATATACGGGTTTGCTGCGCGGTGCTCCGAGTTAGGGTCTCGATTCGCGGTGTGCTGGGAGTGTCTCTCGATGTCTGCGTTATGTGTTGATTTGAAGAGGGGTTAGCTGGGTCACGCGATGTGTGAGAGGGTTTTTGGGGCGATGAGCTAATTCTAGAAGGATCTGAGGAATATTGATTCTGTGCATGGAGATTTGCAGGTTGCTTCAGAATAGTTGGCTGTTTCCGCCGTAACACCCTCCTTGGATGTTTTGGTGCCTCACAGTGATTCTCATCTAATGTTGTTGACTTGATCATAGGGATTCCGGAACGTGAGCCTGTTGAGGAGGCCTGTGTCTCATGACTGAAGGGTGGGCGAGAAGCCCTCGGCTCGGTCTTTATAGCCTGCTTGGGAATAGATGGGCTTTGAGGAATACGGCTCAATTGGGCGCGGGCCTGCGGAGCTGAAGCTATGTTTTTTTGAAACTCCTTTTGCGGAATTCGTTTCGCTGCGTTCAGGGGAGGTTCCCCACGAGAAAGATCCAGCAATGCCCCTATCCGCTTGCCCTTAGACTTGTTGCCAGCACTATGTGCAGTGACAACCGGGATGGAGGAAGCCATATTGCCTTATCCGTTCTCGACACTGCCCAAGTGTATGATATCTTGATCATATTATAAACCAAGCAGGATATCCATAGTGTGTTAACAATACTCTGCACTAGTTTGTTAGTTTACGTTATCTAATCCTGTATACATCAATGAGAAGCGCTTACAGTTATGAGTGAGTTCTCATGTACACAATTTCATCTTAAGAGATAGCTGCGTAAATTTTTGGTAATTTGTTGAGTCTTCGCCTCTAACAGAGACAATGTAGGGCACGGTGTTGATATGTTAACTCTTTCGAGTAGCTCAGAATTATTATCGGTCAAGGGATATGACCAGAAAGGGGCACCAAAATACAGTACATAAGTATGATGTTTCACAATAGCGAGAGGCTCGAAGATAGTTAGTTAGGATGTGTAAAGCCACAACAAGGAACACCGTTGAAGGGGACCTGACTCAGTTGAACTACTCAGCTCTTGTGCTAAGGGTGGGAGGGACCGTTCCGTGTAGTTAAGTAATCGAAGTTCTTGGGGGTGGTAAACGAAGTAAGCGTGGTGTGGTGGCGGGGTAGAGTAGGGCGTCAAACGGTTGGCACCACATACATCACACTAGTAGAATCTAGTCTGACACGGAGAGCTGTAACTGAACAGTCGGTTCGAATTTCTCACAGCTCTTGTCCATAGATGTTCTTCAGGCTGGCAATGGAAGAAACATGGCAGAGAAGCAGAATGACAATACAAAAAGAAAAAAAGAAAATACACAAAACAGTAAGGTGTTAGCAGGGCTAGACACCGGTATAGGAGCCAGAACCAAAATGAAATGGAAAGGTAACATCGGGGATGGTCGGAGGATCTGGGAGAGCGAGACGGCCAAGGGTATATAAGATACTTGACCGAGCTACATGGGTTGATCGACTCGTTTTGCAGTCAACCAGTAACACCAATTTACCCAAAGGAAATGGTGAGCAAAGATGATACCTGCTTGTTGGTTGGTATACTTGAGAATTCCCGTGGGTCGTCGTGGCGTAGACACCCCTGTCGACGGCCAAGAGGTGGCCATCGTTGCGTCGCTCTGCTTGTCTGGAATCGCCGAACGATGTACGTCCCTAGGCTTAGCTTACTTACACTAGTTGGCAGCAATCACAGCGATTTCTGTGGAGTAGCACAGGGCGATCAACAAGCTAGGGACTTGATTGTGCGCCGTATGCCGCCCTAGACAAATTCCCAAGATAGGGATAAGGACACCAAAAGTTTTGCCAAAGGGGCCACTGAGTCACACAGGACGAGGCATAGCTGGACCAGCGTCGCGGGCAACACTTCCTTCTGACGGGGCTACCTACTGCAGGTGGCCGGCACAGCGACTCCTGTCGCCATGAGGGTACTCAGAAACCCCTGCCGCTGAACAACAACATACTTAGAGTAGAGCAGTAGCTCAAGTTGAAGCTAAGGCCAGACACAGTCCCGAGACATGAGAGCATTAGCATGTCTCTCAAAACGAACAGTCCTTTTGGGTGCTTCCACTCTTGGTCAGGCAGGTCAGGCGACTGTGTACAGTGGGCAGTCCGGTAAACAGTTTGCGAGCGCTGGGTCAGGATGACATGCGTAGCCGCCGCATCGGGCCAATCTGCTAGTACGATGTAGGCCAGATGTGGGTGATGCATATTCTGATGTCCTATAAGAACGTTGAAAGTGTGTTGAAAGACGCGATTCGTCGACGAGGACCAGAGACGACCCTGGATCCCTCCTTTCGAGGGCTGGTGGGACTTTTCCTGGTTGGATAGACTCTGATGGACGGACGCAACCAAGGATCACTTGGGATGGGCAGAGGATGGGGCACATCTGGGCAACCCTGTTTGTTGGTCTGGCACCCTCCTTCTCGCTTGTGAAGAAACGCTAGCGGGGAAGCGAGGATACTAGGTAGTCGACTACCTACTTCGCTCTGTACTTCGTAAGGAGTGAATGCGGCGATATCTAACCTTGGTCTGCTTGGTGGTTCCAACATGGCACAAAACGCCGATTGACAAGATCATGTTAAGATGGCAATTGCAGAAAGCAAACAACTGTAGCAATGCCTTACATCCTCGCCTCCTACGTGTGTACCCAGCATGTAGGTACATACCTACGGGTAGGTTCCGCCAGGTGAGCTGATACCTGTAAGGGACGGCTATCTGCGGGGCCTTGGGGCGAAGAGGCAACCTACATATGTTGTACCTGGGTACTTGTTACTTCGCAGTAGGTACGACTATGTACATATGTAAGTTCTACCGCAGTTCGGGATTTTCAGGATTTTCGCCCACTTCAAGGCCCTTCGCCTGTCGTGTGGTGCCTTTTCTTGACCTTCAAAGTACCGACAGGAGGAAGGGACAGGGAAGAGACAGGGCAGAGACAGAGGGCAAGCTGTGGCAGTGACCAGTCGACGAACCGAACTGCCATTAACATATCCTCTTATAACAGGGTCTGCAAGCTTCCAAAGAATCAATGGTCCAAATGCGCTCTTAACTGATACCTTACAGATACCTAAGTACTGCATTTACTTACGCATACCGGTACATTATTCAGGTAAGTAGGCAGGCTATTGCTAGGTACCGAGGCAGGTACTGGGTACCTTATATTTATAGGCACTTAAGTACAAAGTCTGCCTTGCCACCGATAGCACTATTATACTAGGTAGGTATGTAAATACTTCATACATCGTCAATCTCTACGTATATTCTATGGAAATAATCCTCTCCCTAGGATAGGAGCTTGACTTCTTACCGCCATTCGAGAAATCGTAAGTCATCTTGTGTTTGCCTCCGCCGGAAAGTGAAGACGAAATTTCGTGTTGTGTCACATGTGAAAATACACCCTCCACTGCTTTATACTCGCCTATCTCGTGCTTTGGAGAGATCCACTCTATCGTGGTAGGTATCGTGGTGGCGTTATGTATGTCTCAGTCTGTTTAGCACCCATACTGCAACCAAAATGGACACATCCATGGTTCATGGCGCAACGGTCTACTCTACTACCGGTATATACGGAGATGATTAGGTCATCCCTTCAATTGCACTCCTGTACTTAGTAGCTGGCTATTGAGCTTGCTAGTCTTAGGGATTTGAGAAGCTTCTAAATCATTTAGTCATGCTAGCATATCATATCACCCTTCAAGCATCTGTTCAACTAACGACAAATACCTACATAGTAATGTTAGAGGTTTGATTGCTCGACGGGCACTCGACACGATCATGATGGGTTCGCAGACAGGCAAGATGAGCAACAACTTTTGCAATGCTACTTGCCGAGCCGTGTCTTACAGACAGCAGTAGGATGTCTTGTTTGCCGAATACTACCTTATGCAGGTGTAGACAGTTCTAGTAGGTACCTATTCGATAGCACCAGATGCAGAACGTGGTAACTGGGCTAATTTTTCTAGAAGTTTTCCTATTCCTATGTTGTACGAACACTTATAGACTAGTTACAATTTTTTACCCCCCAATGCCCCAGATTGTAAGCCTCATAATGGTGGTTGCTTACATATTGGTGTTATATGGGTATTTCCGTAAAAGCCCTGTTATCTACCTGGGTAAGCAGCGAGCAGCTTGAAAAGAATGTTGACGAGCTGAAAGTTGCATGATCCAAGGCAGAACTAATGCATCAACAGCCGATTGCCACAATGGGAAGTCGTTTGTCTAAGAGCATCCACCCCAAACTTCTGGGTATCTACTATATTCAAATGTAGTCTAAGCCTCAGTTGCCCAGTTCTCGCCAGTGGTGCTAATAGAGATATCTGCATCCCAGATGCATACCTACATACCTAGTACTTCAAACACTGCACTTCGCCACGCCGGGACTAGGTACCTAGGTAGCCCTTAGGCCGATCCGCCGTGGCTATGGCTCATGTGGCTAGTGACGTGGCATTCTGACCGCCACAGGTTGGGGAGCCGGAGGATCGAGGACAGGAGAGGCCGGCTGAAAGCAGGATCCACGCAGAAGCCATCCTCCCAAACGCATTAAGACGGTTCCTATATAGGTTGTTACTATCGTATCACGGCTCGCTCTACGGGGGTGTTCGCAAGATAGAATAACTAACTAAGCGTTGCCCTACACTACTATGTACTTAGAGGGAAAGTTACTAAGCAGGGATCAGGGCCCAATCGTAGCCGCCCGCCTAAGACCTACAAGGGTCTGATCAGGTGAACAGGGGCCCTTCCATTCTCATTGGGCAATATTGCGAGAAAGGGTTGAGGCCAGAGCTGTCAATAACTTGACTAAGAGATGGTGTCATTGAATACTCATCGTCCATGTTGGTGATGTTGGTGACTTACCTTGATAGCGCATCCCCCTACGCGTGTAAATAGACGTAAACAGACCCAACAAGTTCGGTTTGAGCTTAGCCCCATCCCTTTTAGGAAATCAACATCTTGAAGCCTTGAATGTGTTGTATGTACGTGTATCCTACTAAAGTCATGAGAGCTTCTACAGTAATCTGGCATATTCAGTCTTCCTCTCCTTGTTCCGTAACATGCGCAAGAATTGGCGCACTTCTACTTCCTCCGAATAACCTCGGCTATAAGCAGTGTAACATTGTCTCAAAACCACGTAGTCAACTTCTGAGTTGCACATGTAAAGCAAGCCGTCTCTTGTCTTGGCAGTATCTTGGTACCGAAGAACGGGAAGATGCATGTCTCAGACATGCTTACAGATGCACCCTAGACATCCGGGCCTCGCATCCAGCTTGCATAAGCTGATGCCCAGATCTTCAAACAGGTGCCTCCCTATTATCAAACTTGCCATGACTTTGTCTTGATTATCTTAGACCAGCTACGGTAGCTGACTTGATGCGATGACCGCCATCGCGCCTCCTTGTCTTCCAATAAGCGCGCCTACGTGAACAATTTCGCTTGGGATTGGCGCCACTGTTGAATCCAGTCAATGCATATGAGCACCAACTACTTGTATAAGACTGGTTCGGTCATCTAGGCTAGTTGATCCTGCCAACAAAGGGAGACCTCTGGGAGACCAACAATCCAAAAGCCATCGGGTGGAGCGCGTTACACGAATTAAGCGCCATCCCCCAAACTCCTAGTTTCGAAGGTGACTGACTGCTTTAGGTATTTAGCTCCGTTCGACAATCTGATGGCAAGGCGTGTGCAAACTGTCAGCCAACAACCCGCAGAGTATCCCCATTCGACGATATTGTTGGTTTGATATCATTATGGCTTGATGGCGAATCAATATTTGGTGTTTATCATCTCTGAATCTCGTCATATCCCTGATCAGTAGACATGCAGTCACCCGACCTAACTAAGGTCACATGACTTCATAACTATTCGCCTTCATACATGGTAACAGGAAATCATTGCTGATAGCATCGAGATTTTAGAAATTAGTTGCATGCCTTAGAATCACCAACTCTATCAGTGACCGATTTGGTGCGGTACTTGATAGTATAAGACTTTTGAATCTAGCTCATCGCTTAGCGTCCTTGGAACAAAAGCCGCTTCATTAGCTGTGCAAATAGATACCCAATGGGCTCCTATCCTCACGTAGAACGCTGGCATTAGCGACCCTTAGTCCAAGAGGTAGACTGAAGTTGCATCTGTGTGGAAAGAAGGCTGATTTTGGGGTATAGATTGTGAATCCCTTATCTCACTCGTGTCCCAATCCGATCTTTTCATAATTGTGAGTATCTACCTAGCTTGGCCGTCAAGCCACGATAAAAATAAGATGGACATAAGGTCGCACAGCATCAATAGTTTATGGCCCAGCGTTAGCTGAGAGACCTAATATCCCATTGTCTCTTCGAAATGCTAATTGCGACTCCTCATTCGCAGAGTTCTATCTTGGGTTTTAGTCAGGCGACTATGTTCTTCGTACCTGTCCCGGCAGACTCGATCATGAGGTTCGACGACAAGAGAACAAACATAGGCCTCGAGTGGGTTTGCTTTATCAAGAGCTGCTTGCCAATGTGGCTGCGGGCAACCGCTGCGAGTTGAAGCTACACCAGGATGCTCGTGACGGCGCTCTCCCATCCCTTTCTGAATGGGTAGAAGATGAAGGCTGCCATAGAGCTTCTTATGCTGTGTACAGTTTCTTCTGGCTTTTAACATTAACCTACAACCACGCCCCTGCCATTAGTTTCAACGAATTTGGAGATTTGCAGGTACCATCATCGGAGGCGCTCTTGAACTCGGTTCTCTAGAAGACAGCTTGGAACAAAGGAAGACCACAGATACTACTGGGTACTGCTTATACAATGCTACATTGCCTACCCAACGTTAAAGGACAACAACGCCCTTTCCATACCAATGTAGGTTAACTTACTATATATCCTCACTTCACCCTGTTCCCTGTGCTTTCGATCTTTCGCACTCTTTCCAAGTCTGCGTAGGTCGGAGAGGTTTTTCTGCTAGAGTGACCTTGACATTTTAGACGAATGTCACTCCTCACTCTGCTCATACACACCCATGTCGTCAATGTAATCTTCGTTAGGGATTCTTGGCTAAGTAGCAGTCGATAGCCTACCATTAGAGGAACATGGTGGTCGTACACATATATACGCATAGACCAGCAACCTACCTATTCGTAATCTTCGCTCAAAATAGATGAAAAAGTTTTGGCTAGCAGGTCAAACTCGCGGGCTAGGATGCAAGAGTTGTTTGCTATCCAACAAACCGCGCAAAGATTAATCAGCAAGCCCTAGGTAAATGACAGCAATACGTAACCACGCCTCGACGCGTGTGCCGTCCAGGGTCCATCCTTGTCATATTATCATTATGTTTTTGAAAAGGGTTTATAACATTCATCCCACACTGCCGCCGTAGGTTCACCAGGGTCTTGTTAACTGATGGAAATTTTGGACACTCGTAACTGCCACGCGTCAAAGTGTTCTAGATATGTTTCAAGTATGAGACACACATACACAGGTATCGGTGGCCACCAAACGAAATGAGATGAGATCGAATGAAATGGTTTACTTTTCAGTTTCAGTTGCCTTTTGATTTGTGAGTGATTTGGTATTGAGATTCATGGAAGTGTCGAGTGTGCTATTGTGGTTTTGTCCCAAAGATTCACAAGCCTCCCCTGGTAGTTGCCTTAGAGGAGCTTTCCAGGCGCAGGTTTCTACTTATATAGATGCGGCAGACGCTTGAACGAACCATTAAGCCGCTTATATACGGATGAGGAGGGACAGTCAAGAACCGACAACTCAAGCTGAATACGACCTATTCATATCTATAGAGCCGATCTGTATATCAGGTCACTAGAAATAATAATTGCATCACACATATCAGACCTTCAACGTCGGTGATCGCTAGCATTTGAGCTACCTATCCATATTAAGCAGGGATTTGATTCGTCATCGGCTTTGGATGTTCGAACCATGAAGGCTTCAATAGTGATGCATCCCGCACTTATCCCGACGATGGGTGTAGTTGTCCAAAGCAGTAAATGTTTCAATTGCGGCCAGCGGGCCACGCGCGAGAGCAAATGGGGAAATTGATAGATCCGTCATCAGTATTATTCATGGGCAGGCCTGGTGCTTGGCACGCATTTACTATGTACTACGGTCGCTGATCAATCGCGTGACGTTTCACTCGCCGACGTGCACCGTTTACGCTTTGAGTGGGCCGCTCATTTGTCATGGGAAGAGCCGCGATAGTAAGTCGCGACTATCGACGGATATAAGGAAACCGAAGGAAGCTCAACCCCTTGTCTGAGCGGAGGAGCTTGAATGTTTTCTTTGTCCTCTGACCGATACGTTTGATCCCTACTTGTCACATATAATATACGCCTAGAACCAACCACCCTATCTTAATTACATTGTTTACGCATTGCCAGGCAATCCACGTTGGAACAATCTCGAAATCGTAGTAATATCGAACAATACTCAACATGTTGTCGAAATCCCTCCTAGCGCTGGCGGCGTCGATGTCGGGCGCACTCGCTGCAACACCCGCTGGGTTCGAGCCCGGAAGTGAGACGGGTCTTCTCGTGACTTTTGGAGATGTCGAGGCTCTCGACGGCGCGGTAGTCGCAAAAGACAGTGAGTCTTCGATGGAAGGCAGGTCGCATATGCATCGTCACTAAATGGGAATTAGTCACACAGACAGCGCCTACACTTGCGACGCAGAGCAAGCTTGATGGAACCTCGTTCGCTGTCATTATGATCGATCTTGATATCCCAACTGACAATCCACCCGAAACCAATACACTACTACATTGGATGCAGACAGGTCTCACCCAGAGCCCCTCGGCCGAGACCACGGGCTCTACCAGTGCCTTTGTGTTTTCAGTACCGCAGGACGTGGCCGCTTTTGCCGACTATCTCGGTCCGGCGCCGCCCGCCCGGATCCCATTGTCTCATCGGTAGTGAGTGTCTCCCGCCCTAATGGATCCTCTTGTTCCGTTAATTGGATGATGATTCCTTACTACAATCATGCAATTTCTTGCGCATTCCAACTGTTCACTAACCCCGAGTAAACAGCACCGAGATCATAGTCGATACGTCAGACGTCTCGCAGGAAGCGTTATCCACCCTCGAGACCGCGGCAGCGAATCGACTGGGGTTCAATGCCCTGGACGTCTTGACATCGGCTGGATTGGCAGACAAAGTCGTCGCAGGAAATTTCTTCAACGTGACGAATCAAGATGCAACGGCAACAAACGGTACAGCAAGCGGCGGAAATGGGACCAACACTGGAGGCTCGCCTTCGCAGAGCCCGATCGTAGGTGCTGCAGTGTCGCAGCGCGCGAGCACATCGCTGTTGGCTGTTGTGTTGGCTGGCGTTGCATTTTTTGCCCTATAACGTTTTATCGCTGCCCTTGTGACTCGGACATCTTTTTACTCTCTGCCCAGAAGCGTGATCAATAAAACCACCTACTACGTTCTTCATTCTGTCCAAATGTCTTCGTGTTTCCGAGATGAGTGACCGGTCATAGGACATTATTCGGCTACAGCGTTGCGGTGTTGTTTGAAGCTGGGCCGACCACAAACCTAGGATTGGTAGAACTCCCTCTAGCGTAGGCTCCCGATTTCGTAATAGAATCCAGAACGCGACAACAACAAATACCTAATCGCATCGGCTGAGTTGGAGTTCGGTGTCTCGGAAACTAAGATACCGGGTCCAAGTCGCCCCGACTACTATGTAGTGCTCCACACAGTCATCAGGTCGTCCAGAGCTCGTGCGAAGGATCCTGGAGTCTGAGTTCTCAGCTCTCAGTGATCTGTTGCATCCGCCGCTGCATCTACTTCTTGCAGGAATGCGTCGCATAGTTGCTAGGTGGACAAGTCCAGCGCATTATTCTGTGCAGTACAAAGAGTGTTTGCCAGCCGAACCGCATGCTGTGTACTATGTAGCCATCTCGCCATTTAGAGCACAGCTCCATCTGTGCCACTATGATATCAGCTCCCACCTGGTTGGAAAGGAAAGCCAAGCTTCCCCACAGATAGTGTTGAAGCGCTCTCTCTCCACTTCGCCGAGAACCGAAAGCCATGTTTTGGAGCGCGGACTGGGAACCGAGTTATTGCCATTTGTGGCCCAACGGTCGAAGATAGGAATATGCGGCGAAGTCTAATCGTGCTGCAGTCCACTTTGCCAGGAGAGAGAGGGATTCGTGAAACCTAAACTCTCAACAAGTGTCCTTCTGGCCGAGCCGTTAGCATATGTAGTGCTGAACTAGTTGTACGACAACCCGCCACAGACACTCCGAGCCATCGCCGAACGCTGTCCGGTCCTGGGCCGAGGGGTCTCGCCCTGTCTCAGAACTCTAATCAAGCCAGCCCGGGGCCGGGGCGTATCGCACGAAACGGCCCTTCGCTCCCCCCAGCATGCAATGGGATTCGCGGCTCTGTGTCACTACAGCAAGAGAGACACCTAGAAGTGATCTGCAAGTGCGGGGTGGTTTACCTGATTCGTGGATGGCGGATTCGTCTGCTCGCGTTGCTATTCCGGCACAGTAGCCGCACTCCTGAGCATTGCAGCCCAGGGAGACATGGCCGACGAATAGGGGACACAGTATCGACCGCAGGTGACCGGTGAATCTATAGCTGATATTACCCGATACCGACATTGCGATGGAAAGCCATTACCCCTCAATCGCTGGATCTGCTTGGGTGTGTAGTAGTGCCGGGCTGTGTGCGTCTCTCGAGATGTGCTGTTCCACTTGAATGGGACGACGGGTATTCTTTTTCGTGCCTTGATCGCAGCCTGTCGACGACCATAAAAGTCAGGGTCCCCCTCCGTAGTAAGGTGTCCGACTCCCTTCTCTCATCATCGCCATAGTCTCAATATCATCATCACCATCAACTCGTCACCGAGCCCACTTGAAGCTGTCTTTTCGATTGCTTCACTTATAATTACACAAGGACCTTCCTAGGATCCGATAGATTCCCTCTTCCTCGGAACCATACGCCCTTTCTCTTAGTCGATATAGACTTCAATAATCAAAATGGTATTGTTAGCCCGTTCTCCTCCCGCTGCACTCGTCCCGTTTCAAGGGCACACTGCCTTCCCCATCTACATCTCGTTTTTCAAGCCATGCTCGTCCAGCCACGTCCCTGTGGGGTCTGACCTCGCGCGCGGCGTCGGTATCTACGAGAACTACCTCAAAAACACCATTTTGCCCGCTCTTAGCGCACCTGCATCGATTCGTTTACTGACAACACAACGTGAAAAGGTCAAAGTTCTAGCTGTTCTATACGATGGTGGCGAGCACGCCAAGCAGGTATGTATATCTTACGAAGTTCTTCATATTCCACCCGCCCCCAGATGAGCCAAACCCCAGCTCCCCTCCCAAGCTAGGGAAATCCAGTTAGCCTACGACCTTGTCCTGCAGTACAATGTAGATGCTTGCAGCCAATGGCGCGGTTCTTGGCGTTGGCATCGGTCTGCATGTGGCTCAAGTCGGAAAGGAAGCATGGAGAGGGGAGAGAGTGTGGGGTAGTGTCGAGACTCAACGCTTGTTGTATTACCCAAGATCTCTCCTCACCTGCAAACTACTGCATGCTTGGTGAGCATCGACTAATTGCGCTTCTTTAGCAACCCGACCTGCTTGGTACCACGGAGAACGAGCTTGGCATCCGCAAGTGGTTGGAGGACCAAGGCCACACACTAGTCACCACCTCTGACAAGGAGGGCGAGAACTCTACCTTCGACAAGGAGCTGGTAGACGCTGAAATTATCATCACAACCCCGTGCGTTAAACCCCGGATATCTTGGCCCTGCACACTGCCATAGGTCTAGCCGTAATCTCACTAACACATGGTAGATTCCACCCTGGTTACCTGACTGCTGAGCGTCTCGCCAAGGCCAAGAACCTGAAGATCGCCATCACTGCTGGTATCGGTTCCGACCACGTCGACCTCAACGCCGCCAACAAGACCAATGGCGGTGTCACAGTTATCGAAGTTACTGGCTCCAACGTCGTGTCAGTCGCTGAGCACGTCGTCATGACCATCCTCGTCTTGGTCCGCAACTTCGTTCCCGCCCACGAGCAGATCGAGGCTGGCGACTGGGATGTTGCCGCCGCCGCCAAGAACGAGTACGATCTTGAGGGCAAGGTTGTCGGTACCGTCGCCGTCGGCCGTATCGGTGAGCGTGTGTTGCGCCGTCTTAAGGCTTTCGATTGCAAGGAGCTTCTGTACTTCGACTACCAGCCCCTGAAGCCCGAGGTCGAGGCCGAGATTGGCTGCCGTCGTGTTGAGAACCTCGAAGAGATGCTTGCTCAGTGTGACGTTGTTACCATTAACTGCCCCTTGCACGAGAAGACCCGGGGTCTCTTCAACAAGGAGCTCATTTCCAAGATGAAGCCTGGTGAGTTTCTTAGCACTGCATCGCTCTATACATGGGATCTTCTCCCTCTTCAAGTATCTATCTACTAACTCTTCTCCCCAGGCTCGTGGCTCGTCAACACAGCCCGTGGCGCCATTGTTGTCAAGGAGGACGTTGCCGAGGCTCTCGCGAGCGGTCACCTCCGAGGATATGGTGGTGACGTTTGGTTCCCCCAGCCTGCCCCCAAGGACCACCCTCTGCGCACTGCCAAGAACCCCTGGGGTGGTGGCAACGCCATGGTCCCTCACATGTCCGGTACCTCGCTCGACGCTCAGAAGCGTTACGCCGACGGCACCAAGGCCATCCTCACCAGCTACCTCACCGGCAAGCACGACTACAGGCCCGAGGATCTCATCGTCAAGGACGGTGACTACGTAACAAAGGCTTACGGCCAGCGGAACAAGGCCTAAACAGAGAAGTAAAAATCAATAATTAAACATAGGGCAATTTACGACCGGTTCTCTCTTGATGATAGAAAGCGAAGAAGTAGAGGCGGACGTATGTATTTTTTTCCCTTATGACCATGTATATTTTGGAAGGATATGCCCTAATTGGATGCGTGGCTCGACATCCATCTTTATTCCGCTGCAGAATGTGGTCAGCAGCATAGTAGCGTCATAGCGCCAGCCTTTTAACAATAAAGAAGCATGAATTAATAAAAAAATTTTGAAACATATGAATACATTTGTTGCCATTTATTGCAAACTTACATCAAAAGTACATCATTGATAGGAACACATCGATCCAGATAAGTTCTTCCCAACTGTTGCGGCGATTATCATGAACAATCAGTTCAGTAGGGATGTTTCTGGCCCACAATATCCGGTTTTATCTATGTACACCATGAGACTAGATGAGCGAGGTGTCTACTCTAAGTCCAAGTGATGAGAACCCCACGACTGAGAATCCGACGTCCTCCCCACGGCAATAGTCTACCACCTGCGTTACGCTTCGATGACACAGATATGATTGTTGAAGGCGTCATAGGAGCGCACTAGCTCCATCCTGACGTGGAGGCTATCCGGTCCTATTGGCTCGACCGCAACGTTTTGCACTTGGGTAGTCTACGCCCTAGCTGACCATGTCGAGCATACTTCATGGAACTTGCGGAGAAGGGGAGAGTTGAGCGACTATAAATACCCGCCGGATGAGGACCTTGCTGGTCAATTTCATTTCAACTCTTACTCGTTGTGAACCAATCAGACAGCAAGGAGCTTGCAACATCTTACTCTAATGTGAGTATACCATGTTCAGAGAGACTCAAGCGAATTGGATACCTATGGTGCTCGGACTAACTGCGCACAAAGTCATATATATATAACCACACATAGTCATTTTAGTCATGGCCTGCGACTGCAATACCAACTCTGGCACTTGCACCTGCGCCTCTTCAGGCACCTGCAAATGCGGTGACAGCTGCGGCTGCTCCAACTGCCCTGTGAGTCTCGTCTTCAGCGTCTCTCCTTTGCCGGCATCAGTCTATATTGTCAAGGCACAACAAGCTATATCCCCTCAGAAAACAACCAGCATTGCTGATCGATTATTCTCGAGTAGAAGAAATAGGCGACCGTCGCTGAATCGGGGGACCGCTGAGTGCCTCAATTTGGGACCACAACCATTTAGTTATATCTGGCGTTGACTGGGTCATGCCGCCTTTGTATTATAATTGGCAGCTTAAGCTTTCATAATAGCAAACACTCTTTTACTGACCTATGATGCCTGTAAAACTGCCACCTCCAGACACTGCACATGTTGTTTTACATACCTATATTATAGCATGCAAATGTATTCTGACCAGACATTTACATACTAAGTACGTCTTTTACTGCATAGCACGGATAGCGACAGCTTTAATCAAGGGTATTTCGGTTTAATCAGTAAATGCATGTTATATGACACAATGGCTTTTGTTAAAATAAACAGCTCCAGGATATTCTCAATCGACATATACAACATGACATACGCCTGGAGCCTTGGTATACCGTAAGAATAAACGCCGTATCCCTATGCAGTCATCATGCCCGGCCTTTTATTACTCTTCGTCGCTGCTATCTACTATAAACCCTGCCCTGGCCCTTGGTCGGCGCTGTTGGCTTCGTTTAGATGCTGGGCCATCTTCGCCTGCATCTTCCATATTTTCATCTTCCTCTACATCTGCAGAACGTGCTGGTGAACTTGGGGCCTTGGAAACGCGTCTCCGCTTGGACCCCGATGAGGAACCGTTGTGTGAAGTTGACGAGAGCGGTGTATCATCTGTTCCAGACGCGCCTTCTTCATTTTCGTCATCGTCAGCTAAAGCCGCACTGCTATTCAGCCTGCCCGGTGCCGAGTCTTGCGTCATAATTAGGTCATCGTCATTGTCACTATCACCGTCCAAATCAAGAAAGCTAGCCTTTCGCTTCTCGGCGGTCGTGGCTGGATTTCGATCTGCGGCGTTATCGGAGGCAGTAAGCGCAACAGCTTTCTGTTTCTGTCGTATCCGCTCCTCATTAGCATAGAATTCGGCCCACTTCTCCCCATCATCTGACTCGTCGTCACTCGCATGTACGAAGAGTTCGCTCTTGAAGCGTTTCGCCTTCGCTTTCTCGCGTTCTCGGCGAGCGCGGGCTTTCTCTTCAAGTTGCTCTTCGGTCAACTGCTCGGCATCGCTGCGACGACGGCGACGTCTTGTCTTCTTGGGTTTGTCGAGGAAATCATCGACAGCCTTTCTATTGGTTGGCCCGCCAGCGGGGAATAAAATATCATCATCATCATCATCGATACCTTCTTCGTCGTCGTCAAAGACGGCTTTCTTTCGTGGCGCGGTTTTGCGTCTCAATTGGTCTTGAGCTAGTTTACCATCTTCAAAGGTAGGCGGATTAAACTCGGCTTTATTGATCAGATCAAGCGAATCTTGTAGTTGCTCGGACGATAGCTGCGCCGGAACAATCCATGAAGACTCGGGCGTCTCATCTAACGTAGGTGCGAGCCGCTCGAATCCGGCTAATTTCATGAGTAGCCTGAGGTGAGAATTTTTGAATATGGCTGTACGGCGTGAATCATCATCAGGCCGTATGGCTACAGGTTGTTAGCCACGACATCATAACGCTATACAACGCAGTAACTTACAAACTAACGGTGGCTGTTTGGCTGTGGCATCTTCAGGGTGGTCTGAAGTTTCTATCAGGTTAACAGACGATATAGCCTTTTCAGCATTTTCCCACGCCTTTCTCTCCTCGATGGCATTCGACAGCTGGTCTTTCACCCATTTGACATGGTGCATCAAATTTTTATCGAGCAAAACGCCGACTGCGATCGCAACCTGCTGATCTCTGTCCACAATGTGTCGAAATTCAAGCTCTGCACCCGGCCTGGAGTGGGCAACTGAGAGTGTCTGCTTCTCATAACCAAATTCGAGATAGTGAGCGGTTGCAGCAATTTTTGAGAAGAGCATTTCGATAACGAGTTGTGGTCGGTCCTCTATCTTGCGTATGCATTTTCGCAAGACTTGCTTCGCCAGCTCTTCCCATTCTTTGAATATGCTAGAATTGCTATCCAATGGCTCTTGACCCTTGATCATGTTGTAGAAGAGCTGAATGATGTCGACCCGAAACAGCATTACGCTCATCTCTTGCTTGAAAGCAATTCGATAGAAATACCGGTGTGCTCGCTTCAGCTGTGCTTCGTTCAGGTCTTGGTAGTACTTGGTAAAGGCAACGAACGTGTCAACCACGCCCTGAGGGATGAAGCGGTTGGCGAATCTGTTGAAGTCAAACTTCCGTTCTCGTGATGTCCGTTCAGCATTCGCTTCATCATTCTCCGACTCATCTTGCCCTTCTATGGCATTCTCCTCGGCCTCGCCGTCAGCTTTCGCTGCCTTCTTATTTTTTCGTACTCGGCGCCGTGACCGAACTTGCATGTCCACGTTTTGCTTCGAATACGCTTCTAGAACTCGAAGATAGGTATGAGTCAACTCCGTGCAGGCATCAAGATATTCAAAACCCTGGTCTTTAAAGTTCTTGGCAATATTCGCCACACGGTCGTGCGTCTCTTCCTCGTAGAAGATTCGGCTGAGTATATTCTCTGCGATTTCCTCGTCTTCTTCGTGGCTAGAGTCAAGCATCTCTTGGACAGTCAACAAGATTTGAGTAAAGCATCTCATATTAGCGCATAATTCTTGCCAGCGCTTGTTTTCCATCGAATCCGTCATCGCCCGATTTAGCGTGATGAACGTCTGTTGGTTTAGCACACCGGCTACTAAGTTGAAACTTCCAACATCAGCATGATTTGTGGTTTGATTGCCTTTTTCCGCCTTCTTTCTAGCCCTTTCTGCTTCCAAAAACCATGCGACTAGATAGAAGAATTGCCGTGAATGATATTCAAAGATGTAATCCTTCTGATCGTCCAGCTTCTTCCGTATGTGTTGAAATAGGGGATTGAACCCCGAGTCAAGAAATTCCTCGACAAAATTTTTTAGTTGTTGTCGAGCTCGAGTGTTAAGTGTCACAGGAGGGCCAAGATCCTTGGGTTCCATTTCATCCTTTGTTGGCCTCCGAGGAGGACGGAAGACTTTGCTATTGTCTAATTTTTTTTGCCGAGTAGCAGCATCTAGTAGTGCATCTTGTCCAGTAACCGTAGACATCTTGCCATCGCCACGGTCTACCCAAATCATAGTTCCCCATCGATTGTGCCGAGATGGGGCTTTACGATTGTATGGTCGGTGCATAGCTGCTTCTTTGTTCATCATGACGGTGAGCTCGTTCGCCTTTGTCTTGCTCAGCTGCTTCTCATCCATAAACAACTTAGTAACATCGACTCGTTTTACTAAATGAAATATAATTTCTAACAATATCACGCCTTCCTGGTTGAAATCTTCTCCGATATTGGAAGCGATAGTCAGGATGGTGATAAAGATGTCCTGATAAGAAAACGCATCGATCAGGGCAGATCGCGAGATTTGCGACTCGTCACCGTCATATTTGACTCCAGGCGGAGGTTGTATCATCGCAATGTTTCGTAGGAATAGGAGAATAAGCTTGATGATGCCTTCATCGCGAGCAGTACGGTCTCCCCGGGAGAGCGCCATGGATGGCAATGCAACGCGGACGGCACTGTGTAGTATCTGAGCGGCATCGTAGTTTATAATGGCTCTTTTATAACCGAGTTGGGCGAGTTGAAGCACAGGGAGGTGTCTGTGGTGATTGACGGTCATCTGGTCGAGGTCTCGTTCTAGTGGCCAAGTAAGGGGGACCATGATCTCGAAACAGGCGAGGGCGGCTCGGGCCTTGAATTTGTTGTCGGTGGCATTCTCGGGCCAGGTGGCGAGTATGTGTAGAAGGTCCCCATCAATCAGATTCGCCTCGAACAGGCATCGTGCAACGTCCATACGATTGGTTTTCTCATCGTAGAAGCGAATCCATTTCTTGATGTCGCGCAAAACCTCCAGTGCCGAATCACCAAGTACATATCTCCCGTCATCCTCACCATCGACACCCAAACCGCCTAGCTGCACGATGACTCAAGTCAGCCAAAACAATGCCATGACAGAGTAAACACAACATATGGTCGAGGAACCTACAGCAGACACCAGACTGTTGATGTGTGCCCGAACTTCGGGGTGGACAATATCCGATAAGCCATCTTGTGCCTCCATGTCGATGATGGGCAGACAATGAAGGACAGATGCCTCTTCGGCAAATCGGGAGAGAAATTAGTTGTAGCAACTCATTTAGATAACGTTCATCACTGGCTGGCTGGTTGCCTATACTAGCATCATCAGTGCAGCAACGTTGGAAACCCGTGAAATTGGTAGACGCGACTTGACGCGCCGGCTTGGAGGGGCGTGCAACGCGAGCTAAATTGATTCGATACGTACAGTTTTAAATACAGTGCCCACCAATATCTATACTGTATCCGTGTCGCTGAGATCATGGTACCCACATTTACCCGAGCTCCGAGGCTATGCGGGCTAGCATCCCGAGCTTGAAGCTCATTCCAGATTCCAGTGAGAGTGAGCGCAACACTATCATTCAAGCCCCCATCGTCAATTGTTTCTTTATAGCATACCGGGCTTGGACGACTGATAATGGCGAGTGCCCTTGCGAGAAGACAAGCTTTCCGGCTTGCAACCCAGATCAGGACATTTAGCTCCACCCCAGCTCGGAATGCAGCAGAGGTGAAGCGGCTCGGTGTCATTGGTGCTGGTCAAATGGTAGGCGTCCTCCTGACATGTGATCTCTCTTTGCGAGCCTCTTCTCACCGGGTCTCACAGGGCTTGGGCATTGCGCTGGTCGCCGCTCAGAAGGCAGGTGTTCCGGTAACACTCGTAGACAACTCACAGGCTTCGCTGGATAAAGGGTTGGCATTTGCAGGTTAGCACATGGCTCATACCACAGCCGTCTACACCCCTCTACCGAAACAAGCCGCTCAATAGTTTGCAGATAAACTCCTAGCTAAGGATGTCTCGAAGAACCGTATCACGCAGGAACAGGCAGACCATGTCCGCTCGAATCTGACCAGTACGACATTGATTGACCAGTTAGCTGAAGTTGACTTTGTTATTGAGGCAGTGCCCGAGATCCCCAAGCTCAAGTTCGATATCTTTGCCAAGCTTGCTGAAATCTGCCCTCAACACGTCATTTTAGCAACAAACACATCCTCTATTTCAATTACTAGGATAGCTGCGGCGACGACGAAAGACCCCAAGGACACTTCGACTAGCTCCCGCGTAGTCTCGACTCACTTTATGAACCCCGTGCCTATACAGAAGGGTGTCGAGATTATCAGCGGCCTACAGACGAGTGCTGAGACTCTCGACACTGCTATAACGTTTTGCAAGGCTATGGGGAAAATTCCCTCGGTATCAGCCGACTCACCTGGTTTCCTCGCCAATCGGATCTTGATGCCCTACATCAACGAAGCCGTAATCTGCCTGGAAACCGGCGTCGGTGATCGGGATTCTATTGATTCGATCATGAAGAACGGTACTAATGTTCCCATGGGACCATTGCAGTTGGCTGATTTCATTGGGCTAGACACATGCCTTGCTATCATGAGAGTTCTACATCAGGAGACGGGTGACTCAAAGTACCGCCCAAGCGTCTTACTGGCCAAGATGGTCAATGCGGGCTGGCTTGGAAAGAAGAGTGGTAAAGGATTCTATGATTACTGAAAGAAGCAAAGGCTAAGCCTATCATCGTATTCAATACCTACAATTTCTCGATCTTAGTTTCGTTGTTCGATGGTAGTCTATAATTGCAAGTTGGGTCTTAGACACATTCGGGTTCTTTCTTGGTTTGGGATTTTCCCTTCTTTTTTTTTTTTTTTTCCTCTTGCACACACTTAGCAACCCGCTGGATATGTCCAGGGCCTTATTGTAATCACGATCGATATGCGGTGAACAATTGCTCTACTATGTAAAAATGAGTGGTGCGGTACTGATGGCAGGTACGGTGGGAGTGGCTATATTACCCCTCACAGTGGATTCCTTCAGTAGACTAGAACTTCTACTCAACAACATCAATACAATCCTTTGGCAAACCATGCACCTATCAATACATGGGGTATCTCCATCTATTTTCTCAGACGCCCCAACCTACTAAGTACTTTTGCGGAGAATAGCCCCGCGTCTGATCCATGTCTACCTAGTAATTAGTAGATGACGCTATCAGCAATGTGGGCTTAGTACCCCACGAGATTTCACAGGCTCGACAGGATGGATGTTACAGTAGGTATCCTGTTCGCAACAAGCACAACCTTTCCCGATATGTCGTTGTACTGGGATCGTGGCGAACATTCGCATGAGGCGTGAAATCGCCTATGTTATATGGTATCGAAGGGCTAACAAATACATCTTCCTACGTTTACAATAGTTCATATAATAGTAGTGCTACGCTAACAACGGTAGATCACATGTGTACTCAACCTTCTTGACCTGTTTTTATCCATTAGGGTTTGCTAAGTGCTGTTGATTATCCCTTTCGGAGGTAATCGACACTCCCGAAGCCATCGGGGACAAGCCGACGATAGTATCGGAGAATGGCCGATTCAAAATCCACTAAGCCATAGCCATCAAATAGGACTCTCGCAATTCGACGACCAACCAGAGTCCCCACCAAGATACTTAGTTCAAATTTCATCAGTCTAGACTTTGCTGCCTAATATTTGGTACCTATAGTATAATGCCGAGTACTAGTAAGTAGGTAGAAAATAGAGATCCGCGATCGTTCATTACAACGGTTTGACGCAATCCCAGTTTGAACCAACATCCCTCAAAGAAGAAGATGTCTAACCCTGTTCGTATTTGCACCGTTCACTGGCTCTCAGATGGTAGCACAGAGCGGTGCACAGATTCTTACACAAATAGGTAGTGTCGAATCAACGGTCATGTTGCAGGCTAGTTGTATGTACATCTACAATATTAATATACGTGCGCCAGCGTTCTAATTCGCACACCATGCCTTCTATTAACTAACTACCAACATAGGAATTTATATGCGGAAGACATAACTGCATAACTGCATACTAACTAACCCCTGAACCAGGGCAGTCTGGCTAGGTAGCCAGCTACATGTATGTATATTCTGCTTCATCAAGCGTTCCTCTAACTCTCAGAGTTATCCTGGCAACACTTTACCTGGTACGTGGTTGATGCTGACAACTTACCTACAAGTTACGGAATTCAAACTTCGTGCATCATGTGATGTATAACATACAGGGAACAGGCACGACAAAACCCTGTACGCTGCGGTACCCCATCTCTGTAAACACGCTGCCCACCTAGGTAGCTTAGCTAACTCGTGGTGTATACTTGAGTTAGTCGTGACAGTAAGACACTGCCTCGACTGCTAGAATGATTGGAGCCCAGCTCTGCCCAGGAAAGGACTCTCTTAGCATGACGTCCCATTGGCCGCTTCACACGCCCAGCTGAGTTTTTACCTTGGCGCAGACTTAGTGACTCGAGCTTGACCTTGACCTGGAGTTCACGATCACAGCTCGCGGTTTCGGGACTTAGTCTGGAGCCGGAGACAACGCGGGAATAATAATGCCCGTACTGTACCCTTACCCTTTCCAATCTGGATCACAAACCTCCAACAGGCTCAAACGATACGGGTCCTTAGCATATTTTGCTCGCCCTCGCTTCAATCTAAGCGTCTGTGAGACATTGAGGCGGGCGCCAACTTCAGCAACTCGTCGGTACCACCATACTACAAAGTTTGGTCATGGTTACAAGATATGGGAGAGAATTAGGCACTGACATCAAGGAGGTGCGCGGGTGATGAAGCAGGACGTTTCTCGCCGTTCGGTTTTCCATCATGAAGAACTTTCCAACAGGGTCCCCTGTCGAGTTGGCTTGATGGTATCGCCAAGAACCATTTGTGCACGCACTCCTCCCTCGCTCCCTTCCTTTTTATGGAGCGCGTCACCACCCCCTACAAACTTACATATTCCTTCCTTGCGCAGTAGTACACGAGTTCGCTCGAAAGGATCCGCGACTAGCGTAGATGGATACAGAACATGTGCTAGGAAACATGACGGTACTATAATCAGCAGCGGCTTACTTACGAGCTACCTACATGTAAGTATGTATCTACACTACTTATATGTATTTGTAGACCTATCTCGGTGGAGTCAATAATAACACTTCCCTAGATGGGGCTCTGCCGTAATGTATGTGTGGGTGTGCGCACTACGTTAGTAAGTATGGAGCTCGCTCTGTTGGACCTTTGGGGTGGTCATCATCATAAGTATATTAGCTCCAGACCCCCAAGCGAGGCAGCCTTCAGCCACTTGATCGTTTTTAGCCATCTCGAATAATTGCTACCGTTTACTGGAGACGTTTAGATTCTTCCATGCCGTCGATTCCTGATACCTGTGTCTCAAGTGCCGCGTGGTTGCCAAAGCCACATAGAAAGGACCTCGGGAAGTCAGAGCGGAGGGTCATCCCATCACGACACATAGCTCTGAGCATCTGGCACGGTTAGGACCTTCAAGAGAACGGTGCCCCGCCTGGCTGCTCTCACACTTGGTATTTCCTCTTGGCAACTCAGACATACAATATCGGTTTTGTTTAAGCCAGAAGTTTTATGCTGTTGAGAGCCTATCCACATAGGGGGCTCTTAGCTTGATTGGCTGGTCGCAACATGGCCGCGGAAGACACGCAATCCGTCCGTTCGCCCGAATCCCATACCGAAGACGGCACAGCATCAACGACGATGCCTACAACACCACCACCGACGGAAACCACGGCGATGGACCTAAAGGCAGCAGAGAAGAAGACTTCTCCGTCGCCTAAAAAGCGATTATCCACAGCATCGGAACAAAGCGCCACGGCCAAAGTCACGAAAAGGCGAGCTGCTCGGGCCTGCGTTTCTTGCCGAGCCCGGAAAGTCAGATGCGACGTTGTCGAGGGTGCCCCTTGCGGGAATTGCCGGTGGGACGGTGTTGAATGCGTTGTACAAGAAAGTCGCCGCCGCAAGTGAGTGGATTCCAACCAGTCAATCTATCCATCCATCCATCCATCCATTCATCAATCAATCAAATGATTGAGTTGCTTTCTCTGTCCCATCACCCCCTCCCCGCTCATCATATACCTACTATGTAGACATGGAGGCTTTGTTCATGGGTGTATCGCATGGGGATGAGCTGAGCTGAGCTGAGCTGAGCCGTTCTACCACCAAATGCGTCACGCATATGATTTCCTTTTCTAGTTTTTCTCGTTCCTAGTCTCCGAATCTGCATTTCCTTAAATCTGCACCCTACCTACTACTTACCACCTACTGCATATCGCTGGGAAAGTGGCCTCACATCAGCCTGCACACTCGATTACTGCAGAGGTTCAGACACACGGGACTGACTAAGACCCTTGTCTCTCTCTCTTACAGGAAAGGTCTGTTCAATGCAAACTCTTCGCTCATTGGCAGCGGCTGCGCCCCGCACCATCACCATACCGAGGCACACTTGCTGAAAGCGAAGACAACACCGAGCCCGATTGCCATCGCCTCTGCGGCATCCGTTCAACAACCCCTGCAGCGCCCCGCCGATGTATCGCAAAATTCGGCCCTAAACATCGCCGCGAGCAAGCTGGGGGTGAGCGGGCATGATCGCGTTGAGCCCCATGCGGCGTCTCTCCCATGTAAGTTGATCGTCTCTAGTGTAGATCACTGTACCTTTCAGATTTCACATGTCAAATATCGTGACCCCCTCGGTCGCCGTCTGTGTCGGATCTATGGCGTCACAATCCTACAGCCCCCGGATGCAAAGTACTCACATGTGAATCAGATCAGCGTCCAAGTTTGATTCCCGCGACGCAAATTGAGAACCATCAAGGCTCGAGATATGCCAGCATATTCCCAAACCCGACTACAAGACAGAATGATACAGGCTCTGGTGTTAGTGACGCTGGTGCTGCCGTGGCCGCCAACGCTGTGAACGCGTCGCAGTCCTTTAGTCCGCTGGACAAGAGTGACGTTTTCTCTTCGCAAGAGTATGGTTTTCTCCGGCCCTTGCCGTCAAAGTTCGCTCCCGAAGATGTAGATTATCTTCGTGCTAAGGGCGCATTATCGGTGCCCAGCTTCGCGCTCCAAAGGGCTTTGTTGCGTGCCTACGCGGAGTATGTACACCCATATATGCCTTTGCTGGATTTGCACAGCTTCCTGGGTATCGTCGACGCCCGCGATGGGTCTCGTGGGCAGACAAGTTTGTTTCTGTATCAGGCTGTGATGTTTTGTGCCACGGCGTTTGTGAGCAACAAGGCGCTAAAGGAAGCGGGCTATGCCTCCAGAAAAATAGCCAGGAGAACGTTTTTCTCTAAAGCTAGGGTAAGGGCCATCTGCTGCTGTTATTTTAGGTGTATTGGAAAGCTTACACGTATAGCTTCTTTACGATTTTGATTACGAGAACGATCGCCTACTGCTTGTTCAAGGGCTCCTCTTGATGACCTACTGGTATGAAACACCGGATGATCAAAAGGACACATGGCATTGGATGGGTGTTGCGATCTCGCTGGGCCACACGATCGGGCTGCATCGAAACCCAGCAAACACGAATATGGCGCCTCAAAGGCGGAAACTGTGGAAGCGAATATGGTGGTCCTGCTTCATGCGCGACCGCTTAATCGCCCTGGGCATGCGGAGACCAACCCGTATAAAGGACGAGGATTTTGATGTGCCCATGTTAGAGGAGGAAGACTTTGATATCATGGCGATACCTGACGACATCCAGGTCGTAGATCCGGAATGCACGCTTTTGCGCGATGTCGCCATGCAGCGAGAGTTAGCCCAAATGTGTGTTGCCAAGGCAAAGCTCAGTCTTTGCATCAGTCAGATGTTGAAGACTCAGTATTCAGTGCTGGTTTGTGCCAAAACACACCCCGAGAACACAACCCATAGCACCATGATGCTGCTCCCGAACAAGCAGCTCGATAATATGGAAAAGATTGCCAAGTGCGACCGCGAGCTCACGAGATGGGCTGAGGCACTCCCAGATGCTTGCAAATACCGAGCGCTCACGCCGCTCGACGTGCAGAATGGGCGCGGCGTCATTGCTCTACAGCGCAACCTATTGCACATGGTGTATTTCACAACCGTGTCTGCTTTGCACCGGCCGCTTTTCCTACCCTCATCACCAAGGGATATTCAACAGAGCCCGAGTCAGGTGCACCAACAAATTTCCCGGATGCGTGTATGTAGCTCGGCAGTTCAAATTACTCGGATGGTGTCGGAATTGAGCGCCTTGCACCTAGATAGGTTCTTACCGACCACGGGCGTCACCGTCATCTTGCCAGCCATGATCATTCACATGATTGAGATGAAGAACCCTTCACAGGTTGTCCAACTTGCGGCTCACAAAGGCTTCCAGCAGTGCATGCGTGTCATGACACGCCTACGTGACACGTATTCCGCGGCCGATTATGCTGTCGCCTTCGTCGATGCTGCAATGCGCAAAGGAGCCCAAGTAGACCAAGCACAGCACCCTGAGGCTTTCGACCATCGAAACAACAGCAACGACTCCACGAGTGCGAATGGATTTAAAGCCACCATGGCGCCTCAGTATGCCGCTTCCGCGAGCCATGGTATGCCTAATGGGGTCGAAAATGTGACGACGCCGCCCCCGGAATCTATGCTGTTGCCAAAAGCCCCAGAAGACGCCTCCGTCTTAGTGGCTGGCCCAACTTTGAGTTCAGACGTGGTAGAGTCATTTGCACCATCTTCAAATCTTATGGTGGGCAATTTCGCCACCACCAACAGTCTTACAATCTCGAACCCTGACACAACAACTCAGGCCTCAAGTGGTGTGGGAACCGCTCACTCGCCGCCGTCAACGGATATTCTGACGCCAGGATCGAGCGAGGCATCGGTCGGATCACCGTCTTCAGGGGACCGTTCGTTTGACGTCGGCAACATGGATCTAGACATCTTAGACAACGGGCAACCCGATGAGTTCGACTGGAATGCCATTACAGGTCCCAAGATCGATTTCGACCAGTGGCTGCAGTTTCCACCCGGTGAGGGCGCGGCCGTGGGTCCTGGAATGGGTCTGAATATGTGCGACAATGGACTGGTTGCGCTTGGCCAGATCGAAGCATCAAATACAAACTTCAGTATGGGACCCATGGACGCATCTGAGGATATCGTGATGGGATGAAACCCAGCACCCCGTAAAACCAACGTTTAGCATTATTGATGATTGATCAACTGCGAGGGTGCTCACCGTGAGCATCTGTTCTTTTCTTGCCGGCATGTGGAAGGTATATAAGAAAGATGCCCGTCTCATAGTCTCATAATCTTTGTTTCTATCTTTTTCCTCGCCCGTCTTATAGGGTACTTGGAGCTCTGGGCTATTTGGCGTCCGTGGGAAAATTAGGGTGGACTGATTATGGTCCGACAAATGGGGCGATTGGGGTCAACAGGTTTCGAGTTTCATGGGATTCTTATCGTGGTGTACTCAGTGATTGATATCAGGTATATATATATAAAGCTAACCTCTATATCCTCCCTATACCGTAAGCATTCTCTTATCGCATTTACTTCTTTCTTCCCTTTCTGGCCATATGCCTATTCGTTACCCTTATATCCTAATTTACGAGGCCATGATCAACACGTATTGGGGGCAAGAGACTCAAAAAATGCACAAGAGGGCTTTCATGGGCCTGGGTTTCTTTTCATATAATATATACACAAGGTAGCAATAGCCACCAAAATGAGTAGACTATTAGATCGACACGCGTACCGGACTCTATGACTTGATCATAATCTCAACATCACGAACCGGCCGATAGACGGGCGGAGTTATCACCGTCCGTTAGATCGAGATTATAACCAGATCTTGGAACTCGGACTTTCACGCGCGGGTATTACATCAGCCATTTTCCTTTTACGGCAAGACAAGCCCGCGTCAAGACAGTTTATTGGACAAGCTCTTCTTACTAAGTAAATGCTTGTTTGGCATCATCCAAGGGCCAAGTCGATGTGCTACAGTAATTCAGCCCTGTCTACAATTATACCAGACCCAAGAGGCTATTCATCGGCTTGGCAGTCAGGTCCATGGACCGATTAGTCATTCATTATCTCCGTTTGCTCGTATGCTTACATGGATATGCGTAAAGCTTGATACAGCCCGCCGAGTTATCCTGGACTCCGCCATCACAATCTCCCTATTACACGGATGGATTCTAGCTGCCGCCGCGGCGAGGGATTAGGAGCGGAGAGTAATCGGCCGAAATGACATAACCAAACCTGGTCTTACAGCAAGTCCGCTCGGGGAGTTTGCAGGTGTCCCATTCCACCTATTTACCATAAACGGCGTTCCTAACAGTAAGAATGGTACGAGCGGTACAGGAAAAAGGTGTAAATACCATAATATAAGAATGCTTTACAACCCCTAGCTATCTATGTGTTCTCTATCATATTCAAGCAACATAAACTTCAAAAGAAGAAGACACAAGTACAAGAAGAGAAAGCAACAGCCCTAGCAAAGTAACACACGCCAGTGACACTCATCCGAAGCATAGCATCCATTAAACCATCGCCGCCATGACCAAGACAGTCGTCGTCCTAGGCGCCGGCCCAGCTGGTTTGCCCATCGCGCACTATCTGCTGCGCCGAACCGCAAAGCAGCATCCCGATCTCCGCGTAATCCTCGTCTCCCCCCACGACACATTCTACTGGAAATTTGCGTCCGTTCGCTTCGCGCTGCCGGGACAAATGGGAGAGGAAAAATACATGGTTCCGCTCGCAGAATGCTTCGCCTCATATCCCACCAAGGCTTTCGAGCTCGTGATCGGCGCTGCCGAGACGCTGGATCCAAAGCGTAACACCGTTGGCGTTCGAGTGGGCGAGGAGGTCCGCGAAATAGGATATCACACGCTAGTGGTGGCCACGGGCTCGCGGGCCCGCGACGACATGCCGTGGAAGGAAACCGGGACGACTGAGCAGACGCGAGCCGCACTAACAAAACTGCAGACGGCGATCCGCGACGCTCGGTCCATCGTTGTCGCGGGGGCAGGCGTAACGGGAGTTGAGTTCGCGGGCGAGTTGGGGTCCGCGTATGCGAAGACAGGCCTAAAGGACGTCACCCTGGTTGGTACCGAGGTGCTGCCGCTCGAACCGAGGACAAAGGATGATGTGCGCAGAGTGGCGAAGCATGAACTCGAGAAGCTCGGGGTCAAGTATATTGGCGGGGCGAGGGTTACAGCGGAGGTAAAGGATGACAACAAGAAGAAGGGGAAGACCGTTGTCACGCTCACGCGAAGTGATGGTTCCACGGAGACGTTAACTGCGGACCTCGTTGTGCCCACACATGGCCTCGTGCCGAATACCGAATTTGCGCCAGAGGCAATGCGTGATGGAGCCCTGGGGTACTTGAAGCAGGATGCGGACTTGCGAGCCCCAGGATACCAAAATGGTGAGCGGATTTTTTTTTTTTTAGATTATCTTACCCTCTTCCTCGAATCGAAGCGCCCAAGGCACAGTTCACACTTGAAACTTGACGATACGCTGACGCCGAAATGCTACAGTATTTGTCCTAGGCGATGTTGGAAACTTACAACCAGCACAAGGTGTGAACACAGATGCTCAGGTACGACACCTCATGACGCAGCTCAACGCGTACTTCTCAGGAGAGCCGACCAAACCCTATACGTTCGACCCCAACAAAGTTCAACTCGCGATAAGCATCGGCCGTGACCGTGGTACTGGTCAGCTTGGCTCATGGAGGCTCTGGAGCTTCCTTGTCGTATGTATTTCCTGGAGTCGTTTATTCCTGTTATAGTTATTTGCGGAGGTAGATTCATCCCTTTGGGACGATTACAATGTCCCAAGGGCATATAGAGTTCCTCAACACTCATCAGTTTTGCCTGAAACAAAATAATTACTGACTTCAGCGGGTTATAGTGGTACCTCAAGGGACGATATCTTGGTACGAATCACGTCGAAGCGTATGCCAAAGGAGACGTTGGTGGCGCTGGGAGGGCGTGGCCCAAATAATGTTGAACCTGGTTCTGTCCATGTCTTGCTTTGTTCCGAGTACATGATGTCTGACCTTTTTTGTCGTTGGGTCGGAGCTATTGACTCGCAGCAGAGTGTTTACTGGTCTTTCTTTTTATCCAAGCGGTTTATAAACTTTCGGGCTTTCTATATGTAGTCGGTAATTGGTAATTCTTGATAATGATAGAAAGGGCCCTCCTTTGGTCTTAAGGGTCGGATAGGACAACTCTACCGATGCCAAAGCCTAGAAAATATAGTTGTTATTGTGATGCTTTATTGATCAAACGCCACTATATCGTGAGTCTACAGGTACGCACACATTGGTTCAACTTGTCTTGTGTCTTTCAACTTTACGTTTTTGAGCCCGTTGACGGCGACAGAATCAGGTAGGTGGAGACACAAATGGATTGTACGCTTCGCAGCGTATAGAGGGGAATACCAACGAGAACTCCTTGGCTTTCCTTGTATCATGGAAACCTGGATACACTGAAACTCACATATTATATATTTGCTGATGTTGATGCTATCATTATGAATACAGTGCTTTTAGCCTAGTCCTATATCAACCACTGCCTCGCAGAAAGCCAACAGTTATCTATTCAGCTGCAATCTCCGTGGCAGGTGGCAGCGCTGTTGAGCTTGGCTCACCGCTGAGACTAGATACCTGCCCTTCAAGATGCGGTCGCTTAGATTCTGGGTGAACCTCAGAACCCGATGGCGGTCTCTTTCTCTCTTTGTCTTGTCCGCCGTCCCTAGATGCTGCTGCGCGACGCGCCTCTCTTTGTTGTTTTTCCTGCTTCTCTTTTTCACGACGAAGCGCCTTGGATTCGAATTCATGCCAATCCCCCTTGATCTCTTTTAGTCTAGGGACTGGTCAGTAACACGTCATCTATTTGATTGGGACATTGCTTACTCGACGGCTTGCCGAGGAGGTGGCTGCTCCGTAGTAAAGTATGGGTGCTCAAGGACACCAGCAGCCGAGGGCCGTTTGGCTGGATCGTACTTGAACATCTCTGCAAGGAGATCGAAGGCGGCTGGGGGAACTCTGTCCCTATACTTGTCCGCAAATACGTTCGGTTTTCGATAATCAGGTCGTAGAAGCTCAAACCAAGGGGTATCTGCAAGTCCAGGCCACTCTTTCCGATTAGGAGTCCCGAGTACATTGTAGATCTTTTCAAGCTGACTTATTTCACCACCGTCGCCAGGGAATATAGCATGACGAGTGAAGATCTCCACCATAACACACGCAGCGCTCCATATATCGACTGCCGCGCCGTAGCGCGTCTCGCCCAGCAATAGTTCAGGGGATCGATACCATATAGTGATAACACGGTTGGTATAATCCAGCTGGTGTCGTTTGGCATAAAAACGAGCTAAACCGAAATCAGCCAGTTTTAGAATACCATCGCTGCTAACCAAAATATTTGCGGCTTTGATATCGCGGTGCAGCACGCCGCGTTTGTGTAAGTAATCCAACCCTTCAAAGAGTTGCATAGCTAGATGCTTCTTCTGCGCTGCATCAAGCTTATACGTCGGATGATTGAGCAACCCGGTGAGGTCATGAGAGAGGTACTCGAAGACCATGTAGCATTCATTCCTCTCAATCATTACTTCATGTAAATCCACGATATTGTCGTGCCTCAGTGACTGGAGAAGCTTGACTTCACGCATGGCGGTAACGGGGAAGCCGTCTCTTTCTCCCTCCATGCGAATTCTCTTCAATGCAACCAGTTTCTGGGTGTAAACATGTTTTCCCTTGAAGACTTTGCCATAAGTACCTGATCCAACCACAGACTCGTTACCTGGCTTTCTAAAGTAGACGGAAGTGGACTGAGCAAGCTCGGCATCTAGTGGAGGTTTTGGCTTTAGCTTTCTCCGTGTCTTCATTACTTTACGAGTCCGCGGTTGCTCTGGTGGTGGGGCTCTGCTATGATGGTACTCGGTTCGGGCTCGTGCAGATGCTGGTTCCCTGGGAGTGTCTTTCGGTAGGTCTCGGTCCCGAGCGTCAAGTATAGGTTGAGTCTCCTTCTTGAGCGCAGCGCTAAACTTTTGAGATATTTCTGGCTTTGGAGCAGTGACTGGGTTTTTGGTTGAGGTTTTGAATGCAAAGCTGAACTTGGAGTTTGCGGCAGGGCCCGTAGGTGCTACGAGAGGCGGTTGCGGGCAAGGTTCTTGACCAGACGCGGATTTATCGTCCTTGAACACTTCTTCATCTGCTGGGTTTTCTTGGGGTTGCTTCGGGATATTATCTTCCTCTTCGTCTTCGTCTTTGGTATTCGATACGCTAGAATGGACGGGCAAATCGCGGCTAGGAGAGCCCAATGCATCCGTAATAGAGTCACTTGATACTGGCCACTGGTTATGCTTTGCAGAAGTATAGTCATTGAAGCCACCACGAGCGGAAGACATTCCACCTCGGAAACCACCTCTAGAGAATCCGCGGCCACGAGAATTGGTTAAGGCCATAGGGCCGGTTGGAGGATGAGGCGGAGATTGGCTGGATCGCTGACGTCCCACAGGGCCTTTTGGAAAGGCATGACTTCGATCTCGTGATTGGTGGCTATTGGGGGTTAGTGGAAATTATTGATTTAGAATAGGTGCATTGTCATACCTTCTATGTGGATAGTGAGTGTCAATACTCTTGTTTGATTTAGCTATCGCAAGAGGCTGAGGCGAGCCTGGAGAGTTATAATGGGGTGAATCTGCGTTAACCTGCTGGGCCGTTGGTCCTTGCGGGAAATCGTCAAAGCGTCTGGGGCCAGTGTCTCTTGATGGCTCTGATACATCGAAACTACCGCGTCGATCCGTTCTTCGAAATGTGCTCACTTCGATACTGTTAGCGCCAGAGGCTAGTGGCCCGCCTGAAGGAATTCGAGGCTCGTCGCGATACTTCGCCTTTTTTCGAGAACGACGAGAGCCGCGGTCTTTAGGGGAGCGAGGAGGATAATCAGGCCTCGAGAGGTCAAAGGAAGGAGATCCTGGGCGAGATTGCACACCAGCCTCTGAAGGGCCTCTAGGCGGATGCCGTCCCGTTGAGCGGCTCGGCGAGTAAGTATGAGAGAATGAGGAACGGCGGGAGGTGGGCCGTGGAGAATGACTAAAGTCTCGAGATTTAGAATCGATGAGCGGGCGGGTAGGTTTTGTAGAGCGATCATCAACATTGGCCTCCCAAGGCGGAGATCGGCTTCGACGTCGGGGACGAGTTTCGTTCAGATGATCACCTCGGTCGGGGTATCGACGATATCGCGGGGAGGTGGAGGGCCTACGAGACGGGGAGAGTATGTGATCAGGCCTCGAAGACCCGTGCCCCTTTGCATGTTCTCGATCAAATCGCTCCTCTCTTTCCAGACGACGGCGGCGGTCGCGATCACGGTCGCGCTTCGATCTTTTAGAGCGCGAGGAGGGGAATGGTAGTGGGCTTCGGCTTCTAGGTCGCTTTCTGGAGGGCGGAGAAAATGAACGATCACGGACATATTCCGAATAATCGTGGGGCTTAGGGTGGTGCCTAGGAGATGGGGTTTCATCACGTCGCTTTCTTGACTCAGCAACAGAATTTCGAGTCGGGGATTTCTTCCCTCGGTTCACATCATCAAAATGATGGTCGTGATGGTCAGATGATCTGCTGCGACGCCTCTCGTCTACTCGACGTTCACCATCATCGCGGTATGCTTCATCCCCGTGGTGCTTTTTGTCCCTAGCCCCCTGATATTTAGAAGAACGAAAACCAGACGATGACGACCGTGGACGAGGTTGTGTACTAGAAGCATAACCTCGACGGCCATGCTGGGGCCTGCCTCGGCCTCGAGAGTCGTCGTGGCTCTCCCTGCTTCGGTCGCGTTTCATGGCTCCGTCTCGAGAAAAGGCCTTTGTGCGGGAACGACGGGCTGAATCTGCAAACGATGGAGACCCAGTATCAGCACCAGCATTGGCAGGGTCCCGAGGCCTTATGGTAACACCATCGACGTCGCTCATTTTGGCGGTATCTGAGGTGCAGGTAGAGCGGACGACACGGTAAAATTATGATGCCGAGACATGGATTGGGCCACTCTCCGAGTGGGTGGCAGCCTCACGCAGACAACCATCCAAGTTGGTCGAATCATAGACTACAGCTAACTCTGTTTTGATGTGCCGACAGCACCCGTCGAAACGACCACGTAAATCAAGATAAACCAAGCGCGCAATAGCAGAAAATCGAGACAAAACTACGGGCAGCACGTGTACGCGCTGGTGACAATACCCTCGTACTGCACCTAGAGGCAGACAGGTACTTACTTAGGTACCTAGTTAGAGTGCAGGCTGGCGGTCGGCAGGGCTATCGTTGCGCAGCGAAGGCAGCGACAGCAGTGGAGGTAGAGTGGCGTTAGTAGGCGATTGAGGAAAAAAAAAACTACCTAGCTGGTGCACGTTCAGGCGGCACGGGTGCGCGAAATAGACTGGGAGCTGCCCCGGGCCTTAGTGCAGTTGGTGCTGACGAGACCCCTAGCGCCCAGGCGCGCGCTGGAGGTAGGTAGGTATGTATGTATGTAGGTAGGTTGTACCATAGGCGTCTATGGCTTTGGTTGAGGTCAAGCTACCCGGCCACCCTTCGATCTCGAAAGGGAAATTATCTGGGGCACCGCCATTTCTGCTCGCCTGTAGTTATTACCGTGGCTGTTATCCAGTGTTCCCAGGAAGCCCAGTTAAGTGCAAGGCGGTACCAGGCCGGTCAGTTGTGTAATACCTGATAACCGCCTCGGCTGACTTAGCCTGGCCTGGGTGTTCGGCCAAGTTGCTAACTAAGGTCCCGAGGGGTCTCTAGCCCTGTGCAGGCATGGTCGTTACCGTAGATAGTTGAAAAGAGATGATGGCTCATCAAGGCGCAGCAGCCTTTGATGCCAAAGCCGACGTCAACCGGGGCCTTTCCCTCCGAGCCTGAACTCTGTCATACTGCCATTTCGCAAGAATGAACAAGCCAGATAAACAAGCACGCAAGCAAAACCGAAAACCGGTGTCAGACGTTCTCGACATGCCCTCGCCGAAAACGCTTACTGCTCGGAGGCCGTTCTGACACAAATAAGCCAGGATGTTGGCGAGCAGTGTGGAATACACCACCAAGATCACTATCTACGAATCCACTTCGGACGACTCCCTCAGCTACCCTGTGTTCACTCGTCCGCTCGACACATCAGATTCCTGGCCAGTAATGGACCTTTCCTAATCCAGCGGCCACTCAGGTACTGTTGTGCCATAAGCCTTATAGCCGACCTCTTGAGTAAACCACATACTGGCTACCCTTCTTTGCCGGCAACCGAACGCTTTTTGTTCGCGTATAAATTAGCTACCCAATGTTCCAACCGCTGGCAGGCGTCTCAGCAGCAGCTGAGAAAACGATGTAGCCATGGTCACTTGTGCGCCAGCTACTGTATGTAGAGAAATAAAGAGATAGCCTTCCGCACCAGCAAATGCCGAAACTGGAAACTGGAAACTAGCAGGTTGCCCGTTGCCCAAAGTGCTTATCCTTCAAATGATTCGACTAACAACATGGATGCCTATCGCCTATAACATGCAAATAAAATAGGTATGGCTATTAGACGGTTCTTGCTTCAAGGCTAACTCAACCACATCTTCTCGGCAGAGACAGGTATCAAATCCTTCTTTTCAGAGTTTTGCGTTGTTGGACAGACTCAAAATGAGCTTTGCCAGTGACAAGGGGTAATGATGCTAGGGAAGGCCTAACGGAGAGAATACTGCTTTAATTATAGCCCAACGAGGCCCCGTTACTGCGAACTAGTTGGCGCTTGTGGTGGACTGGTGAAATGGACGTGTATCGACAAACGCATCATATAGGGTAGTTAGTAGGTATTTTTCTTCAGCATCCCGAGTAAATGTGACCCGATGGGAGGTTTCCGAAAGAATAAAGATCGTGGAGACACAAAATATCGCTTGACGTTGGGCAGAAGGTTGATCTCGACTCGCAGCGGTGGAGTGCACATAGGGGTGGCGACATAAGTCATAATGGAAAGTTTGGTTGGGTATCATCAATCAATCATGCTCAAGTCCATATCGATTGCTCAAATATATTTGTAGCGACCCACCCTGATATTGGTGCTCTCTCTCTGTGTCGCTCTTTCAGGATGTCTTGAGCTTCGTTATGCATTCGAAGGGTCGGATCTGAACGGAGGTGGCAAGACCAGGCGCGCAAAAATTGGCAATACAGAGGAGATGATCCAGCATCAGATCGCGCTGCGCGGCTCCTACCAAGGACGAGAATACATCAGAAAGATTTCAAGATGAGCTAGACAGACGCAAGCTTCCCAGATCGTCTGTGCGATGGCGGCAGATTGATCGATGGTGTAGGCTGTGGTGTGTGGTCGATTTGGAATGGGGCATGTCAAGGTCTGGGCTTGACTCAGCCTAGAACGGATGGGAAAGACCCAGGTGGTTTATAGTGCATATGGTTATAAGTAACGTGACAAGCGGTATTCTTCTACTGTAGTTATCAGTTGTATGTGCAAGTAAAGGGGCGGTGCACATGACGAATCGGGTATTGGCCATTCATGGATCTTGCTCTACTTCGTAATAATGGATGTTGCGACTGCGACCTACCCAGTCTATCATATGGTATTCCACCATTCTGATCTCCAACTCGGCGAGCAGTAGCATACCTTACGGTCTCGCATTCCTATTTCTCGAACACAAAGTGCCAGTTTCTACCGCTATTCACCGCTCTTATTCTCCAATAAGAACTTGGCACCTAAGTATACATGTTAGTGTTGTTGCGCAAAGACCTACTCAACAGAAAGTTCAGCCTAGATTAAGCCTCAACTAAGCTGGAGCCTCGTAGTTACCTCCTTCGAGTCGTCAAAAGGAATTCGCCTCGAAGTGGATGCTCCGGCTAGGACTCATTTCCGTTTAGGCCACTCGCTTTACGACTCAATAATGATCTATCATCTTCAATGATCATATACTTAGCATCTCCCTAGCAATGTTCAATCTTCGGCATACATTAGTCAGGCTCTTGACCCAAGGTTTCCTAAGCTTCAATGGCTTGGACTTGGCCGTGTACTGCAAGCCCCAGGCCTTCTCATTTCGGATGGTAATTGTTCCTGTCAGCTTCCGTTCAATACTTAAATTACGTGCATACTTACTGATCATGACTTACGTTTCCCGGTTGGGGTGAGTGGGAGGCCGCCTATCTTATGCTTGTTTGGGTAGGGATATCAGATCAAGATGGTAAAGGAAAAGGTTGGTCAATTTATTAGTCGTCTCAGCAAAGAATAGATGATATAAGTTTTCTCAACTGCTGCTACATCTAGTCCTTCTATATAGGCAGTCTATAAGATTCCATTCATACCCTACTGATATGTAACCGTTCAATAAAGATTAACCAACTTGGAGAAAAAGCTGGAATCAAGAGAAATTGAACGGCCGCACACCGTAGATAGTTCATCAAATCTCATGTTTGGTCAGCGGAGTAGAACATGGCTGGCTATGCTATCTGCTATATAGGAATCAAGGTAATGTAAGTAGATCTCTCTTCCCATCCGCTTGGCGACGAGGGTTTGTTTTTTCATATCATCTTAGGCCGGCCTTTAGTAGATATGATGTAAGTTGACTTTCATTTGGTAGGCTAATTAGTTTGCTGCCAGCAATATTTCTAGCCTCCTTGACACAGCGTATGCCTCAGGTTTCTAAGCACCTACTGGGAATTGTGGGAATCTAACCGGAACCCACATCCCCTTTTGGCCATTTCTGCTATGTAGCAACGATAGTGCTGCCTGCGTCTCCAGATATACTAGGCACAAGTAGAATGACTAGAAATGTGATGCTGCGTTATGTGCTGGAAGATTCCAGTTTGTTATGGCTTATTGTATGACACTTCTTGTTCTTCTATCTACTTATTTAAATCTTTACCGAGATCCATCCCATCCGTGTTCGGCTGGCCTGGTCTTCTTCGTAGCGACAGGTTATGTAATTGAAATCGAGACGACACGAGACGGGGAATACACTACGCATGGGGAAAGCATCTGGTAAGGGGCTTGATACCCATGATCCGTGACTGTTCTCAAAGACGTTTCTTCCGTCATGTCTCTGCCATCACCCGACTACAGGCCCACAGACAACAAGAACAAGAACAATGTGTCAAGGTTATTGCCGGTGGTCTAGGACAGTCTCTTGATGAAGGCTTGCTTGGAATCATGATTTCCATGCGCTTGGGCAATATGAACATACTTCGTAGCTTTACTGCGTGACGGGTTGTAGGTTTCTGTCACAAGTATACAACGACATAGAGGCAGTGCACGATATTTAATGTTCTTAGACCCAATAGTAACAGGGCAGATGAGTAACGTCGAGGCACTTGGCGAGTTGGTAATAGGATGCCAGGTCCACGTGCAGGTATCGCATAGTAGCGCAGGGGCCTAGGCCGGGGTCTGTTTGGGGTCGAGCTTCGGCATGTTTTATCCCCAGAGTGCCGGGCCCTGGGGCTAAGCCTCCTTTGGGGTAGCGCACCGGCCTGTCGAGGCTAGCTCTCTGGTTTTTTGTCTTATCAGAGCGCTCCTGGCTATGACGAAACTTGAAGCTGTTCCAGCTTTGCTTCATCGCCAACCCCAGCCACGCCTCCCGGTGTAGGAGCAGCTCTGGGCAGCATGGATGGCCATGGAGACTCTCCATGGAGTGCGCCGATTGGAAGCTACCGTCACTCGCAAGCGAACCTAGCCAGATCTCAGACTGTTCTCCTACCCTTGCGTTGACGAGGGTCTGCTGGCCGAATGGCGGCCCAAGCACCACCTCGTCTCTCTTCTGTGCCGTTGGCCCGTACGAAGTATGTGGGTGGACATGGCTTTGGACGAATTTATGTGTACATCGCAGACTTTACCCTCGCGGGAGCCTCCAACCAATAGCGAGCCCTTGTCTTTCGTGATAACTCGACCGGTTGGCCACTCGTGGGATGCAGCCATCCCTGCGTTCACCTCGACGCCGGACACTCTCTCGTCCGCGCGGGTCGGCTTGCGCTAAGTCCCTGGAGAAGCTCCTTGATCTGGTTCTGACCTGGCTTTCTCATTCGAGAGGCTGGCCATCGAGTGCAACTTTCTTTCCTACCGTTCGTTGGCAGGCGTTGCTCGTGGCGGGTACTACCACTGTTCGTTTCTATCTGCCTAGTTTCTTTCGTGCATCTGCTGGTTCAGGTATTGTTTGTCTAATTCATGGGCGGGCTCCTGATGTATCAACAATTCATTTCCAACCCGTAGTCCCTCATTATACCTTGCGTTCCTCTCGTCGGAAAGACCTCATTGCATCGACTGTTAGCGATTGTGAGATATCTCCCGCGTAGATGACTTGATCATCACAGCGAAATATCGTGGGCTCGACGCCGTCGCCTTGCCTTCTGCACAGTCGGGCATCAATATGCTTTCTTCGACGGAAAACTCCAATTCTTTTGGCCACTTCGGCAGCCAGTGGTCGAGAAACTCGAGTTGGGGGGATAATTCAAGCTTCTCACAGGCAGCCTACAATGGCAGTTCGACGTTTGGTGTCATTACCGAGCTGAAGTTCCAGGCTGCAAAATCGTCACGCCAGTCTACCATCATCCTTACAGCGTTCAACATCGTTTCCGCGGCGGCAACGGCAGCAGGGATCCTTTACAACAACTATCTGATTATGAAGAGATCACCGCTGAGGCGGAAACAACGGTATGTGCCCAATCCAGAGGCGCATCGTCCAAAAGCTAAACACCAGTTTAGGGTCAATATTTTTACGTGCGTTCGAGGTTCAGATGTATATCCTTTCATCCTTTCGGTAGCCATTGTTGTCCAAGGTATAATATTTGCTGTCTCGCAAGCTCAAGGTTTGGACAGCCTTTTCCAATCCGGATGCGCTTTGATATCACAATTCATGTGGCCTGGTGTGTTCTGCTCTGATTTACCTAGTTCTCCACCAGTAAGCTGACTACCTAACAGGAATTTTCATTGTACCCTATACACAACTCGTTTTCTCCGTCGAAACTGCCTTGCGAGCGCTCAAATCAGATCCATTCCCCCCGAGGGGCAAATGGACTGTGCCAATCTGCTTGACGATCGTTAAAATTGCATTGCTTGCCACCGGACTAGTCACTTTCTTTATTCGCGCGCCGAACATCTGTTTTGCTTCTCTCTTCTGGTTTGTGGCGAAATGGGCAGAAGGGGGCTTCGCGATCCTGATAGGCATTGCCATGATGATGGTGGCTTGCGCTGTAACAATATATCTTAAGCTCACGAGACATTCGATGATAGAGGACGAAGAAAGAGTTGGCGCTTCTCGGATGATCTACTACATCGTACTTGCGATCATCCCCAACGTAGGTGTTTATTGCTTATCATGACGTGAATGGACATTAGTTAACGAGCAATAGGTTTTGATGATCCCATTCTTTGGTTATCTATCTTTTGGAAATCCATTCGAAAATGGTGGCGGAACCGGATTGACGTTGTCAATGGTTTCTACAGTTGTCTCCAACGTGACTGGACTCATGACTGGCGGGCTCTACTTGTTCCTTCGATCCAGCACTATCGCTTGTATCACTCCGAAAAACAAGCTTGACGAATACGAGCGACGACAGGTAAACTATCAAGCTAGATTACGAAAACCTGGCGAGACGGATTTTAACAGTCATATCATGAAACCGGTAGCAGCGCCTCAGTGGCTACATGGTGCAGAGTCACAAGAGAAGCCAACAATACAAGATAGCAATAACTGCTATGAATCACAAGGCGGAACTTGGCCCATTGTTGCAGATGGCCCGAACCCTCTGAGATTAAACACAGCTTTCAAGCAAATGCCAGCCCTACGAAGTCCAACTGACACCCAAACACCATTATCCATGATGCCATCACGAAAACAATCAACAACATCGTACACACTGTTCCCAAATCAAAGCCTAGAAAGAGCGTCGAAAGTCTTGCTACCCGCCACGACGTACTCGCCTAACGCAGGCGAGAACTTAGGCAATGACTTTTATGGCATGCTTATACCACCGCCATCTATCCGGCAACCAGGGTTTCACCATCGACGTGAGTCCTCCATGGCCTCATCTGCAACAGTACAGATAGGTCTACGCCTTTCAAATGTCGAGGACGTGCGGCCAGCGACTGCCAGCACTGTTGGAGTACCTGAACGGACACATGACTTGGGCTGTCCTGAAAACCCGAAAATCGAGCTCATGAATAGGCCAGCTCCTCTATTAACCAGAGATAGCGTATCGTCGTCACCAATGTCGCAGCAATTTTTTAGACCAACCCAGCCGGAAAATGCAATGAAGAACTTGCCATCGGTCCCTCAAGACTCTCGAGTTGAAACAGAAAACGCACCCATTCTCAACCCGACTGTGTACAGTCCAAAAAGCCCTACCAAAGGAAAAGTTCCAAGTCCCAAAGGAGTGGGTTTTAATGTACCAACAAGAAGTGTTACCACGCCTGTTGAAACGATCGAAGTGAGAAGTCTAGTTTCTCACCCTAGCGGGGACCCTGTTGCTGGAGATGCAGACAGAACTAATTGGATATGAATGACGAATTATTGCGTCTTGGTTCCAGAGTATTAAGGCTACCTTGATACTTCTTCATCTCTTATATCGAGATTCTCGATTTAAATCATACCTATTATCCATTTACTTGGAACACTACCCATGTTTGGATGATCAGCCATGGATACTCGTTGCTGCAAAGGTAGCCATTATACGGCTATCCCGAGGCAGTCTCTACATGTGGGCAGGCGACTGTCACAATCATGATCTATTATTGTCTTTGACTATTTTCCTGTGTTCACTGGTTCCTTTACTGTCATTCTCATACCCAGGGCGTTTGGAGAAGGGAAGATCTAGCATGATAGGCGTCGATCAGAAAGGGGGAACTGCACATTTTGCTTCTACTCCCTTCGTCATTATTTTGCAGGGCGCAGCGCGTTGATAAATCATATAACCATGTGCCCTGCGTGTATGTTGAGTTTCTATTTATTATGTATTATGAGAATCGAGCTGAAAGATGTGGGTTAGATCTTTCTATCTAGGGACGATGAATGAGGGCTCGCAAGAGATAAAAAGGGAAGGCTGCAAGGACGGAGACAATTAAATCCTAGTTGCATACGACGGATGGCTATGCTTATTCTAGGAATTATAACTATCAAAAATGAAATCCATGATCAATGTTCCTCTTTTGGCATGAGACCAGTGCCATGAATGATATGCAATAAACATTGATACAATCGCATTCTCAGGAGAATGTTGCTAATAACGTATACACCTAAATAGAGCCTGGGAGGTAACACATTTACGATTTTCCATGGCTGTACGCTCCTCTCACCAATCGTCACTCTTGTGTGGGCCATCAATCAGTCTCGCCGCCATTACCATCCCCCACCTGTAACGCAGCCTTTTTCTCACGTTCTTTCTGCCTCCGCTTCAATTTCCGCTCCCGATTAAGACGCTTCTTCTTCTCCTGCAGATGCTGCTCCTTATCAAGGGCAGATGTCTTGACAGCCTCTTCACGCTCACATTTTTCTTTTTCTCGCACGCGTAGGAGGAGACGGTGCTTCTTGCCTGGGCGTGTTCGTTTCTTCTCTTTCAACTGCGCTATCGGCTCCTCTGATTTGGCTCTGGATTTAGACGGGACGGTTGAGCTGGAACCTGATATGATATGGATTACTCGCCATGGCTTTTCAAGGCCCCAGCGCCGCTTCTTCGCGTCTGCTAGCAGATACTCGGCGCTCACGGCAACGCTGCGGTATTCTGTTTCCTTCTCACGAGATGGTGCCGATGCGATGTAGTGAGAGCGCGGACGCGATGGCACCACGAAGCCGCCATCACCTTGGGCGGCAGGATCCTCGTCGTGCGTTAACACGACGGTGTGTGAGGGTGCTTCATCGCGAAAGAGACGAAAGACAAAGGCTTCTTCCTCTTTAGAAGCCTCTTGCGGATTTTCGTCATTTGCTCGGCCCACTTGCTGCCGTTGCGCCTTGGAGCCAGCTGTGAAGTTCAAGTTGAGTATACCTGACAGCTGTGCGTTGAGCCTTGCTCGCAGTGCCGACTCAACCTGTGGGTTGTGGCTCCTTTCTTCGTCAGATGAGGCCTCGTCTGAGGCTGAATCATTGATGTCCTCGCGACGAATGCTAAGGCCCGTGTCAGGTGGCTGCTTGGCAGTGGGAACTGTGGGCGGGGGCTCACCGTTTTGCTTGTGGAAGTGTGAACATGTTGTCAGAGTGGCGGCGAATGAGGGCGGATGACAGGCGGATGACAAGCTGAAGAAGGGTGTGTTTGGTGCGTGCGTGGCGTACCAACTAACCTACCACGAAGTACGAAGCAAGTCGTTGACCGTATTGCATGTGTAGTACATGTGTTTTACATCCATGTGTTCTCGATGTCGGCGATACAGTTGGTAAGTCGGACGCGGCGGTGCGACGGACAAGCTGGCAAGCTTACTGTGGGTCTGCCTGGCAAAGGCTCCGGCCGATAAAGTCGCTGCTGATAAAGATGCTGACCGTCAGTTTAGGCTTATCGTTTCCGCCCGGACTTCTTCACCTACCCTCAGTACCTACCTAAGAATAAGAAAAGAACCGACAAGCCATGAAGATCATGCTTTCGACTTTTCTTGCTACTCTAGGATCGTGCATCCTGTTATCATGAGATACCCCAGCTCACGCAATCCGCATCAGTGCCTCGTGTCCGCGTGCCAGCTCTCCATACTCTCTCTATACACGGCATAAGCGAGCGGGCCCTTGTATGCCAAGTGGCCAAACACCCACGTAACGACTGCTGTTGAGCATCCTCGCTACCTACATCTACTCACGATCACCAGCCCGCCGTGCCCGGCAATGGACTGCATGGCATGGCACTGCTGGAGATGCAAGGCAGCACGACGACTTTGGCTTGGCATGCGTAGCGCCTCCAACTAGCCAGCTGGGGCCAAGAAGGACAACCTGCTGGCTAAAGCTGTCTTTAGGGTGAGGATAAGAAAGGACTCAGCCGCAACCCATTCAGACACAGACAGACAAATAAGCCGTCTTGGTATGCTGTATGATGTCCGGCATAAAACCGCTAGCTACGTCAATGACTTGGAAATGGTTTTCTCTCCTCGTCTGAGAGACCACTGCTGTTAATACTCGCCATATAGCTCTCCGTCTTATGTTCCTTTCGACTTGTCTTACGGATATTAGGCCGCATCGGATAAAGACACTTAGCAGCCGCATTACGTGCGTGACTTGATTCACATAAAACCAAATCCCAGCCCAGCTTAGCCCACACTACCTTCATTCGAGGGCTTTTCACACAAGGGAAACACTAGACAGCAAACAGCAGCCTATGCAACGGGACGACTGATATGATGTAAATGGTAAGCCCCCCTCAATTTATAGTTGCCCTCTTCAATCGTTTGATTATGCCAAAATGTCGGTATGCCACCATGAGTCAACAAGATAAAGTCTTTCTGTTTACATTTGAACAATAGCGCGGGTATAGTAGGGGGTATCGTAGCTCGGATCTTCCGAATTTGATGTGGCAACGCGAAATGAGCAACAATAGTATGACAATGGCCAGGGGAATATCGAACGAATAATAATGGGAATGATCTGCGACTCGGAGAACAAACGACAACAATGACAAGATGACGACGCTGGCGACGCCGACATGTGACGAACGTCCAGATATGACAGAACCAACTCCGGATGCTTCCTCGATGCCCCAACCCCGTCTGAATCCCTTGTGTTTTGGTTAGATGGCGGTACGCGCTTATGAGAAATAAAAGTGAAATAAAAAATCCGTCTTCTGAAAAAGACCAAGTGGGAAGAAAAAAATAACAGAAAAGAAAACCCCCCACCCAAATGATTCTGGGAGAATGTCAAGGACAAAGAAAAGTTTCCAGCACCTCAGGGCATCCAAATCCCAACGATATCCTAAACGGTACAACCAACCAAATGGTCAAGCTGACACAGCCACAAAATTTACTCCGTCACTCCAAATCATCCAACTGTCGTTTCATACTATCATTTGAATCGTCCGTAAGGTCTGTTCATGTCGCCATAACGACATAAAGGAGTCCACGATTACCAATGTGTCTTCCTTTGCCTTCCTTCCTTCTTTTTTGTATGTTTTAATTCCCGGTTTTGTAGCAAAGTGCTACATATGCGATTGTCCCTTGGTTACTTCTCAGCCTCCTCGCTTCACCAAGTGTTGCAAAAACCGAGTCGAGAAACGGCCAGAAAATATTATACAGGCGACATATCCACCGAGTCGTTACAAATCAGCAAGAGAAGTCCCATTTCCCTGTTCCCATGCTTGTATTCCAAGACCCGGTGGCTAGTCAAACCCACCCGCAGACCCTGCAAGTGTAGGAAAATTGGAACAATGCTTTGCTTCGGCTACTAACTTTGCTGCTAGGGCTACGTTGGGCTCCAAGAGTAATTGTTTAAAGTCGGGGCATAGGTCCCTGGAGCACTTGGGTGCTCATTCTTGACTGATATCGAGTGACTGGTCTTATACTGGTCCGAGTATGTGTACGGCCTACTCTCATTGGCGGCTGTTCCACTATGGTACGCGTGCACCGTTGAGCTGCTAGTTTCACCCGCCGTCGTTGTCCAAGACGAGGTCGATGGGTAGTACTCGCGGGGCGGCGCATGTGCAACACCGGGGCCAGAACCGGTTGGCGCTCCACTTGTGGCTTCTGCACCACTGGTACCATATGTTGATGCCGCGTTATCGTATGTTGTCCCCTGCGGCGGGCCATATCGGTACTCAGATGTAGCGTCGTTGTTTAGCGAGCTGGTGCTCGGGACTGACTGGTGGCTTCCATGCCGCGGGCTCTTGGATGGCCGAGGGTTGGAGTCCACATAGCGTGGCACGCTGAGAGCATTGTGGTCCGCGCCGCTCGAACTTCCCAATGCTGGTGTGGGCACAGACATTTGGGATGGAGCTGATGTACCCGGAACATAGGCGTATTGCGTCCGGATTGGAGGGGGTGGTTGATCAGTAGCCGCTAGGGAGAGCTGCATCGACGGCATAGACGTTTGCAATGGAAGCTCCGGTGGCTCATGAGAATAGCCTGTCGCCCCAGCAGAGACCGGCATTTTCTGATACGGATCCGCCGGGATGGTGCTTGATGAATAGTTACCGGGTGCTGATGCTGGCAGCCCAGACATGGGAAGCTGGCTGGGTGGGTTCCAACTCGGGTATGAACTAGATCAGAATTGTTACTACCAGATTCACGAATCACGCTTCTTCCTCCGCGAATACTTCCTTAGGGTCTGTGTCACTATTATTTCGTGGAGAATTGGTGCAGCAGGTCATTCCCCTACCCCTATCTACCAAATTGAACTTAGAGAAGGGAATACTTACTTCGACCTCATAGTCATTGGGCTGCCGGGGATCTTGGAGGCATTAAAGGTAAAAGCCGACCTCGGCAGCTCAATACCGAGCCCCCTGAGCTTTGGGTCCTGCGGCTTCACTGCTAGAGGTCCAGCTACGATGCCCATACCCGTCTCAACGAGCGCCTGGCCGCGTGAACCGGCGCTTGACCCCAGAAGCGGGATTTCCTTTCGCGCCTGGAAGTTTCGTGGGCTGCGTCCCCTTACTACGATAGGTGCTGTGGTTGACTCCGCCAGGGCTACCTTAGTCCCATTGGCTAAGGAGCCCATGACCTTGAGATGCAGTACGAAATGCTGCTGTAGTTCTTTCCGTCGCCCGTTGTTTGCCGTTGCTCTATTATCATCCAATATTAGTAGTTGCACTACAAATGCTTTGTGTTGCTTCTTTTCTCTTCTCTCTGTTGGTAGCATCTTCAGAAAGAAGAACCTAAACATCACCTACATTCGAAATTGCAAGCGCCTCCAGCCGATTGGATATACGGCATACTCGCCCTCAGGTTCCTGTCCATCGTCTGGAAACGGAATCAATGGAAGTGATGGAGGTTCTTGGTCCGGCGTCTGTGGCAGCTCTGGTGAATTTGGCGGCGGTGTTTTCCAAGGGATTACAATAAGCCGCACGGGATGGCCATCAACAGATTCGATGGCAGAGATGGTGACCTCGGTGTTGTTTACGGGAACCGTTTCGCCTGTTTCAGCCAGAATTACAGACAACTGACCGCGTGGCGTGATGAGCGACCCGCTGATCTGGAATAGATTCCGCCGGTAGCATGTTAACTCTGGTTGAAGCATTGAGCCGTCGCCCGTGTTTGTGGGCATTTCAGACAGGAAGAACATGCCGTGCAACTGCGCAGACAGCTCTAGTTGCTGCATGCGCCCCCCTTGGTCCACGATAGTGTGCTTGTCTTGTACTCGCCTAAATGACAACAGCTTGTGGTCATGGTTCACCGACAGCTTTGAACCATCGTCCCGCAAGTCCTGGACAATCTCCTGGTACGGCGGGTGTGGAGGTGGTTGCTGTTGCTGTGCTGTTTGCGACTCACTGCCATGGTGCGGCCGCTTCAAGTTCGGATAGCTGTGGTGCTGTGTTAGTGAGGACTGGGGATATCTATCAAATGCGTCGGATTCATCCTGGGGGTAGCGTGGATAGTTGTATGGATGATCGATAGTGGGATGGCTGCTCCGAGGCCGTCCTGGATGTTGCGAAGAAGTTGTTGTCGCCGCCCCCGAATCCATGCTGTTCGGGAATCGTGTGGACAGAGAGACAGGGCCACCGCCGTAGTTCGACCAAAGACTACTGTGTGCTGGCTCTGGCTTCAAGTCTGCCATGGTCGCCGTTAACGTCGTTGTGGTGGACATGGGAACATATCTCCCAGTCTCGTCTTTCTCTATGAGTGTCTTCGTTGCGCGCGCCGTGCCGCAGCCACTGACTAATTCCAAATTCAGTCCTTAGTGTTGCCTTTCCTTTCCAACTTTCCAACGGTCAATGACAGACGATAGACGTGGGCATCAAAGTATATTCTGATAGTGTAACAAGTGGAAGAACAAAATGTCTCTATAGACTATCTGCTAACCATGGTATGATGATGGTGGTAGTGGTGATGATGTTGATAATGTTTACTTCGTGGGTGGGACAGGAAGGGGTCCTGCAGAGAGCCTTGTGTGGTTAGAATAGAGTGTGAGCTTGAAAAGGGTAAGGTTGCAGGCCGAAGTGTACTTGTATGAGATGGGAACCGCACGCGGTAGATGTTGCCTTGGGATGGGGGATATTTTGTGCAGATACAACGGCACGATCCACCGTCAAGGGGTAGTCAACCGTTGACGGATTCAAGGAGCCAAAGCCAGAGTCCAGGGGACGAGGTCCAGGTCGAGATCCAAAAGAAAGTGACAAGCGAATTTGGGGTCCGCGTTCAGAGGTTTTAGCACCATCTGCATGCCCAGTACAGTGTATATGCAGCTGGACTGGGAAGGAGACGGAGGTAATGGAGATCTGCTGGGGGGGCAGGGCAAGGTCCTCAACCACGAATTTGTGCCGGGACTTGGTGGCTACACGTACAGGCGGACTGCTAGGCCTGTAACATATAACCCGCGCCGGGATTATATCTCTCGAGGGCCTGTGACGGGTCAACCTGAGTTGACAAGAAGATGGACGAAGCAGGCAATACACTCCTTTCGTGTTGGTGTTTCCCAGCCGGGCCTCAACAAGCAACAGCTAGCCACCGACTCACAGACGTCCATAGCCTTACAGAGGAAAACATTGTCTCAGCCAACATGGAAAGGAAAGGTTATGGTACATGAACTATAGGCATTGTCTCTACTCGTGCCGGCAAGTGTCACTAGCAATAACCTTCATCGTCTGCCGACCCTAACGATACTGGCGCCACTAATTAGTGACACTATCGCGTAGTGCACAATGGTTCCCGCGGAGGCAAGACTCTCTAAACTACCTACACATACATAGTAGTCACTGTGGATAAGAGAGACGGCAGACAGGGCAGTGGAAAGAGGCAAAGTAGGTGGAGGGGGGGGGGACAGAGTAGGCAGGTAGGGAGGGCATGGATCTCTATGGAGGCAACGCACGAAGGGGGGGAGTCACCTTAACCTATCAACTACAACACAGCCCAGAACTACTCAGACGTCTTTGGAGTACATCCGTAACTACCTACATACTATCGTGTTATGTACTAGTATGGTCGCCCCCTCCACGGCCCTCTCTTTGTTACAGCTCTGGGTTCCGCCTCTCTTGATTCTGTCTCTCTGCCTCAGCCTTTGTCTCTGTTCTGTTGTTGCCTCGCGCCAGTATCGAGATGGACACTTTAGTGTAGGTATCGAGATGTATCTGCGCCCTGGCCCCCAAGACAAGGGACGATCTTGAACAAAGCTAGCAGCATCTAGCCTTGATCGGCTAGGTGAATAGGCCCGCTATTTCCTCAGGAGCCGTTGGGCATAAGTCCGCAACTATTGCGCGAGAAGGGAAAGGCGCGACGGCATGGGTATAGATGTACACTAGGCTACTTGGATATAAAATCGGTTCACAAGATTGCCAGCGACCAGGGGCTGCGGGGACCCCAGTAAGCTCGCTTCGCGCACAGAAAAAAGCAGGCCCATCCTGAGTCTGTGATGCGAATCACCCCTTGTATCTGGGTGAGGGACCTCGCCAGTTCTGGGCAAAACCACGCAGTATACACTCATAGTGAACTGTGTATACATACAATCATCATGCCTTGCTTAGTCTACCAGTGGCACCAAGTGCATAGTTACATGTAGAGGACAGGGCGCGAGGGAGGGTGGAGAAGGCCAGCGTATTCCGGTAGCCAGACAGTTGCTCACTCACCTGCAGGTAGTCAAGTACTTACACGTACATGTAGTGTAATTAAAGTCCTAGTCGTCGTTCAGAATGTTCCCATGTACGCTACTGTATGTAACAGAGCTAACGACGGCTTTGGCCCTCCATTAGTCTTTCGGCTGCCCGCCGAACGTACCAAGCTAACGAGTACCACAAATCATCGCGTACATAGTAATGCCGTATACCTACAATAAGGACTGTCTCTAGTAGCAGTACATATATACTAAGGAGTATGAGTAGTTGAAAGTGACACTACCGGTCCACTAGATAGATGGGGAACCTCGCTGCATCTACTAGTAGGTAGACTCGCCGAGGAGGACGAACACGAAGTCACCGTCCTGCTAGAGAGTTCTGCTCTGCACTAGTAGAGCAGAGAAAGGCGAGGCGAGGGTAACACAAGGACAAAAAGCGCCGAGAAGTAAGCGCTCAGTCATCGCAACTCAACTAGGTAGGTATCGCAAAACTCGGTCGCCGGCCCTGGCTGGCTGCCTGTCACGGTGCAGGCCAGCAGAGACCAAGAAAGGAAGACAAGATCGTGCAAAGAATGGCCCTCGTGTACATGTGAGTACCACTACCCGCAGGTATTATAGCAGGGAGGTGGTAATGTGAGTATACAACTCGTAGGAAGTACATCAGGTGGTGCTAGACAGGCTGCGTGTCCTACAGTACAGTACATGTGCTTATCATTCGTCTGGAATGAATGCATGATCTGTCTGGGTTGAGGGTTTGGTAGCAAGTAGCAGCAAGCAGCAGCAAGCAAGCAAGCAATCTAGAGAGGACGACCGAGAGGGACACACGAAGAGTCCCTGACGGGGACGAAATGCGGAAGATACAGATCACATCGCATTTTCTGATTCACTACATTCCCGATTAGGACCAGCGTTAGTAGTGGGCAGATCCACTCGACTGCTTGGACGACCCTGGCATACCCATCTCGGAGAGCCATCCAGGGCCATATACATTTTGGTGGAGGGTGATACAGCAGTAGCCACAGGTTCGCAGTCTTCCCTACACAGAGGAGATGCGCGTCCGCATGCTGTACCGCAATGGGGGGCCGGGGGGAGGGGGGGAGGCAAGAGAGGGAAGAGTAGAGACAGCCGGACGCAGCCAGTTCGAAAGGCAGGCATATCGCGGCGTCTCCCAACCCTCGCTGGCCACTCGAGGTGATGGATGATGGGTTCTTCGATGGGCAAGCCCCGTCGTCGGTGCACCAGCACGACCAGCGCTCACTCACTGGCACAAAAGCCGTTTCTTGTCATAGGCCATCGTATCTGATTGGAAGAAATTGTGACGAAAAACGAACCAATATTTCTCCTGGCTTGCTTGAACACCATCCACTTTTTTTATGCCGGTACCATGTAGTGAATAACTTGCAGAAAAAGATGTCGAGTTGGTGGCTTATCAAGCACCCTAAGTACAGACTCACATATACGGTATCTACAGTAAGTTCTGTTTTTGTGGCATGGCATACTTGCCCTACACAAACGGCGCTCCCATTCCCTTGCTCCGATGCGCATCGCAAACCACATGACGTTGGGGCTACAGGTTGATAACCGCCTACCTATGGTGTGTTAAGTGGGATGTCCACCATGCTTGGCGTGTCTTCCGTCTGCTCAGTAATATCTAATCAACTGTCTGTCTGTCTGTCTGCCTGCCTGTCCGCAATTCACAGGCATGTGCATTCGTCTAGGTATCAGGCGCAGCAGCAATATCCTGAGTGGGCTAATAGAGATCTGGAGGCCGTACCAAAATAGAAACCCAGGTTGCCAATAGGTAGGTTATGTAGCAAAATATATTAGATGTGGCTGCCGGCCGGTCTGATGAGACCACCCCCCTCTCAAATCTCTCCAGACAGACTACCCTCACTGGCGGGCAGTTACACTAGGTGGTCTAGTGATGCAGAACCGAGGAATCCAGATGGGGACACGAATGGGATGGATGGATGGATGAGTAGGCAGAATGACTTATGGCAGCACAGGCCGTTCGAGCGCGGCACCACGGTATATAGTAGTTTGTCTTGCTCTTTCATCTCCACATTACTGTGACACCGTTTCGTTTCCGGACTCTGTGGCGTGTCAAGTGTTGTTGCACAGCACTAACGGCAGTTTCAACGTCAAGGGAAAGGGAGGGAGACCAAAAAGAAACCCTTCACCACGTCGCTAAGGCGGGAGCTAGACCTTTGCTGCATGTCTCTCTCTCTCTCTCTCTCTTGTCTTCAACCAACTGAGAGCCGAATGGTTGGCTTCCAAAAGAGAGTTGAGTGCCTCTTCCGAAACTACTGTATGAAAAGGCCACATGGCTTGGTTACTTCAAGCCGCCCGTCAACGTAGTCTCGTCCTCCTTCTTTGATGGTGCCTGTTGGGAGGCTTGGTCCTGCATCGCGCGCTACTAGATCCGTATAAGTAGGCTGTTCCTGAAATTCGCAGCTGCATGGGCAAATTACTAGGTATGCACTCCGAATCTTGATCCCCTAGCCAGATCGAAGCCCATGATGACCCGGGTGGATACCAGTATGCGCTTCTCATCACAGTAGATAGGTCAAAGCTCATGGACCCTTCATCTTGATGCGCGATATTGTATTCCATACTATAGTACTTGCTCACAAGAAGTCTGGCCCCAGAACTGCAGGCAACCCCAGGCATTCATGGTGAAAGGCCCTTGGTACTATTATTGAGACTGCTTTTATATCCGGAGGAATTGTCTAAGTAGGATCACAGCGGGATTCGTGTCCAGATTCGCTCTGGTGGTCACCGAGTAGCTACCTACCTAGTTGACCATATTCTAATTACCTTGCGCGGGAAACAACACCATCACAAGATCTCGTAATCCCAACCAGGGCTTGACCACACTGGGTGACAATAAGCAGTGTACTACACAATAGCAGTCAACCTACATGCAAGAACAGTCCATAAACTACTTGGGGTATCAAATCTGGTGAAACTTTGCGGGACCCAGATTTTGGGCCGCGTTGTGGCGTTACGAG